TCATAAAATCATAGTCTTTGATGATATTCAGTGAACATTTTTCAGTATGCAAATTTGTCAAGCAAAAATTATCATAAAAATTAAAGGCTATACATAGCTATATATATTGCCTTCAGAAATGCTTATAATCAGGTTCATTGACCAGGCAATGAGTGAATTCTTAACTATATTCAGTAGTATTTCAAATACTTTAGCAGCTTAGCAATTCACCTTATGTAGCTAGATATATAATTGTTGCAAAGATATGAATTAAAGAAGAGGAAATTCAAGCTAAACATATACTTTTAAATGATATAATTTACTGAAAGAGATTTTTACAACTGTGACGATATTTTAATAATGTAAAGAAGTGCATTGCCTTGAGAGTAGAGAAACAAATACAGAATAAAAAATTCTTTAGCTCGAATTTTTATTATTATATGAATTATGCTTTTTAATTACCAGAAAACTTTACAGAGCCTGGATATTAAGCATCTGATACATAATCATCCTTCCTGTTCATGTTCTTCTTCACTCTACAACTATAGTCCTGCTGGACACGTTATTACTGGTGATGTAAATATAGTTAATAATGAGGATCTTAAATCATTAATTTCAAAAAGACCAAAATTTAGGGAACCCCGATCTTTTTGGGGTCAAAATTTCATAAATATTATGGATTCTGTGGAAGATTACGCCAAGTGATGGGCAAAAAATGAAAAAGAAGACCTTGGCACATTTTCAGAATGGATTAAATGTATCAGATGTAAGTTAAAATCTCGCATTAAGCGAAAGGGGCAGAATGAAAACCAACTTTCCTTCTGTGTTCAATAATTCAGAAGTGAAAAAAGAATTAAATAGATTACACGATCAGTATGTACTGGTCCCTGCTGACAACGCAGGTAACAACATTGTCTTTGTAAGGCTCATTATTTAAATTGTATTTTAGAGGAACTGGGGTTTAATTCAACAAGTGGTAATCCAACTTTTACCCATAGTGCTTCCTTTCTAAGGAGGAAATTCTTCAAAATCATATGTCAGTTTTGAATATTTTTAATATTCTCAACAACCAACATGAAATTGAATTACCATATCTAGACTGGATTCCGAAACTTCAAAAAAATCCTTACAAACAAATATACATAGCGGGTTCCAGTATATGTTCTACCAAACTTCTTTACTACTCACTAAAATATTTACAGTTGTGGAGAAACTTCAGGAGTACTGTGCAACAATATATTCGAGAAGTGGTGTAAATCAGATGTGGATACTTAAAAATTCCAAGGAACTTTTGGAAAATTTGAAATCACAAAATTTTACCAAAATCAACAACATAAAAACTTACGACTTTTCAACTTTATATACAACCATTCCCCACGATAAATTTAAGTCCAGGCTTTTTGACACCACTGACAGCCGCTTTTTCAATAAAAATGGAACTTGTAAATTTACTTACCTTATCATAGGTCATTTGCGAAATTATTTTGTTAAAAACATTCTGATTGTACACACAAGTACTCTGAAGTTGATATTAAAAAGATGCTTGAATTTCTGATTGACAATATCTATGTGGTTTTTTTTGAGACCATGTCTTCCAACAATCTATTGGAATTCCCATGGATACCAATTGCGCCCCGTTATTAGCAGACCTATTTTTGTATTCATATGAAGCAGGATTTGTTCAAAATATGAAAAGAATAAAGCACTTAATGTGGCCTTCAATTCGATTTTTAGATATATCGACGACGTATTGTCAATTAACAATGGTTATTTCCATTCTTATGTCGATAAGATATAACCCGGTGAGCGAGAAATAAAAGATACCACAGAATAATTTTGTTTCATATTTGGATATTTTACTAGAAAAAGACGTTAATAGTAAAACCAAGTTTTATGATAAACGTGATGACTTTAACTTTTTAATCGTCAACTTCCCTTACTTATGCAGCAATTTACCTTCATCACCTGAATACGGGGTTCATATCTCTCAGTTGATTCGATACGCAAGAGCATGCTCTACGTATGAACAATTTCTAAAGTTATTGAAAAACAAGTTGATGAAAGAAGAATATCAGCAGTCTCGTTTAAAGTCGGCATTTTGTAGTTTCTATGGCCGATACAATGACCTTGTCAGCAAATACAATTTATCATTGAGTCAAATGCTGACTGGCGTTTTTTATACCACTTGTTAGGCCATTATTTTAACATTTTTTTTATTTTAACATTGAATTGTCGACGGATTTTCCGTTATTTCCCGATCATGACAAGGAGCACACGGCGGGCGTGACCAGTCGGCAGGGGATGCTCACTCCTCCATGGCACCTGATCCCACCGTGTTCAACTAGCAACTGATGAATTGATCGACTCACGTTTCCTAACAATGGATACAAGAGTCATTGATTAAAAAAATATTAATATCACAAGTATGAATTGAGTCCAGAATCATCTTTGTATACAACGTGATTTTATCATTTTAATCTTATCTTAGCCTGACGATTTGCATTTTAATACCACGAACTATGCATTTTCTAAAATTGTATTTTATGGGAAAAAATAACTAAGATAACAATCAGATTGATCCTAAACACAATACAAAATGAGAACAAGACAAAACACGAAGCCGTCGAAATACTAGAGGTGGGACCAGGTACGTGTCTACGAGGAGCAAGCACTCTGTTCAAAGTCCACACCTGCGGTAAGACCTCTGTATTGATCACGTACCATAGCTGTAATTAGCTTGATAATATCGGCCTTACAATTGGTATGAAACGCTCAAATTCGATCCGACGATTAGTTGTTTTTGCAAACAAGGTCATTGTAACGACCATTATATTTGAAAATGCTGATTTAAAACAAGACTATTAAGTCCTCTGTAACATCATCTTATTTTTGAATACTAATAGTTTTCCTCGGTTTGTTTGTTTCTTGTTTAACGTCCCTCTCGAGAATTTTTAACTCATGTGGAGACGCCACCACTTGCCGGCGGAGGGCTGCCAAATTTTGACCTAAACTCGGCACTCCGGGCCATTGAGCAGAGAGGGATCTTTTTCGTGCCAGCACTTACTGCGACACGGTACCTCGGTTCATAAGGTCTCATCCGAAGGGCCGGTCTCCACGTTTTGCAGTGGGATTCGTCACGAAGAATCATTTCCTGTGTAAGATATAAAAAGCCGAGGAAAGTAGCGGGAGTAACGCAGTGGCTAGAGCGTCTGCTCTAGAGTCGCAGACTTAGGAGTTGATCCTAACCAATGCGTCACCCCGCGACTTTCCTCGGCTTAGTATATCGTACACAGGAAATAATTCTTCGTGGCGAATTATATGGGAGACAGACACACCATATGCAGGTGATCGTAGGATATTGCTGCATAAATAAGTCAAGTTGACTTTGAAATAGCAGAAGTCATACAAGTCACACATTTTAGATGTTAGATTGCCTAGTCTATATTCAGTATAACTTCCAGGTATGGAGATGTAGCAGACTCTATCGAATTCACTGGGATATACATGTATGGAGTCTACATATGATAAAAATAAACATATTGTTAATTGAAAAAGCGTCGTCGATATATCTAAATGTCGCACTGAATTTCACAGGAAGATTTTTCTTACTCTCATATAGAAGTTTTTGAATAAATTTTGATTCCTGGGAATAAAAAAAATGATACCGGTTAATAAAGGAGTACGATTAAAATTAGAGGCCAGATTTTCCAACTTTCTGTAAGATTCGCAATTGTACCAGATTATTGGAAGACGAGGCCTCCAAAGACTACAAAGATATTGTTAACAAGGAACTCAAGCACCTTTTAAAAATAAACTTTAGAGTACTAATCTTTTAATAAAGTATGTTTGTAGATGACATATCACTTGAGAAGATTTATTGAAGAAGCAGTTTTTATGATGTTAAAAAGCCTCATAAACATAGGTTTCATGCAGTTGATTTTGAAAAAAATATTCTGAATTTTTAAAAAATACTTTGGAGCTTTTGAGAATCCACTTCACATACATCTCAAAATACTGTACATCTGAAGTTTCTCCTTAATTGCAGGTAATATTTTTGTGAAAAGTAAAGATACGAGTTTGGTAGAACAATTACTGGATCCTGTAGCATTGAGAGAATCCTTTAATAATTAGATAAATTTTGATCATAATCAAACCCTAAAACCATTATAAGGGCTCTGATTTTGATCTCTTAAAACTGACAACAGTCTTGTTGCCTGGTTAAACAGAATCAACGTACGGTTATGGACATAAAGATCAATGTATTTTGTTAACTATGCGAGATGCACATTCTCATGTGTGAAATTGACGGGTTTCATTTAATGAAATATGAAGATAAATAACAGTTTCCAAGTTCAAGTGTCCGATTAAACAATTTAAAATTGAGAGCAGAGAAAACACAGACCTCTGAAAACATCAGAGATGGGATCAGGTGCCTGTAACCAGTAAGCATCCCCTGTTGAACGGACACAACCGTCGTGAGCCTTTTGTCTTGATTGGTAAACGGACTAATCCGCTGACAATTCAGTGTGGAAAAAAGGTCTAAGAACTTGTATTAAATATTTTAAGTTAACTTTCGACATAACAACAGGCTGTAATTGCAAACAAAGTCATCACATTTGTGAAATGTTGACTTAAAAAAGAGATTGTTGATACCCTTGAAAATCAACATACTTGCCAGTAGTCTGCCTCGGTTTATAAATTGTTTGTATGCAGAACATGCTCTTCCATATCGAATGAACTGGAAGATATAAAACACCATGTGCAGGTGATAAAGGCACGTTTCTAAATAAATAAGGGAAGTTAACCATAGAAAAGTTGAAGTCACCAGGTTTATCACGAGTCAAGTTGTTAGTCTGCAATGTCTTTCTCTAGAAAAACAACATATTATGTGAAACAGATGTGTCAGTCTACATCTTTATAAACTATTGTGAATGAAAACAAGATAATCGAAATATTTAAAGGATTCTCGACTTTATAAAAGTTATCCTATATGTGAAATAAAGAACAAATGACTAAATATATAATTTTCGCCTTCTTTATTGTAAAAAAAGAAATGTTTATCGGACACAAACAAATCATACTTGTAGTAGCATTGGATGCATTGCAAACAAAATATTTGATATATAATAAAGAAAACAATATGGCACAGAAATTCACAGCACAATAATGGAACAAATTAAGAGTCTCTCTCTCTCTCTTTTTCTCTCTTTCTGTTTTGATTTATGTCTCGTCACCGGTACATATTCATCCTTGGCCACTGCAGGACATAACACAGGGCCTAAAATCATTTTAATTAAGAACAGTAAACAAAATATTACGATCTATCTAATTCCTCACTTTCATTAATTCAGACGCATACATAGAAGAATCTCTCTCTCTCTCTTAAATGTTTAGAACATTTCATCGGGTTAGCATGTCACAACACTTTTGTTTATATAAGCTTCAATGATTTTTCTTCTTTTCTTTTTTGTTGTGAAATTCTAGAGTTGTATAACTGTGTAAAAAGCATATCCATTACTAATTAAAGTAACAACGCAATTATATATGTACAAAATCACCGGTACATATTCATCCCAATTCAGATCTAGAGAAATTCTGTTCAATGAATTGAAGGCACATAAAGATAAAATAAGCATCGTATACACCTCAGAAAGTCCTACTCTAATTCATATTCACCGTCGCCGCTATGAAGCAAACATACTACACACAACAGCTCTCTAAAACACATCAGGTATCCTATATCAATCTAGTGTCTAAACATACATTCGAATACTCTAGCATTTCCAAGCACACACTCCTGACATACATACTGGAAACTTAAAAGGTTCCACACACAAAAATCACCGGCAAGTTCACCCTTATGTGCTGCTTAAATATAAAATTCAGTGGCGCACACACCTGAGAATGCAACTCAAAAAGAAAAAGCAGGTTACATTGTATTATAGCAGTGCTCTGCTACACAGTTATATGTACATGTCTTAATATGGCACAAGAAGACACGGAGTACTAAAAAAGTACTTAAAGTAAGTAATGGAGTCCCATAACATAAGATACAATATTATGCAGTATTTCAAAGTTCAGCCTCTAAATGCAGAAATGTTAGAAACATTTCTTTTGCACACATATGCATACTACAATTTATTCTCTCGATCGAACACACTCCCTTTCAGTTTTCTTTTTCACGACAGGTTGTCATACCTTTCTCTTACTATCAGTCTCTTATTCTTTTGACATATAAGCATTCACATCAGTAAACAAACATCCTGTCTTACTCACCCTCTCACTTATATCATTTATGCCACTAATAAAGCATCAAATCTCACAAGGAATATTCTTACTTCACCGGGATGATCCATCATCCGACTTGGCATCAAAGTGCACGTTACTGAATTTACAAAAAAAGTAAACATAGTGAACTGAAGCTTAACACATGGAAGCATCAGTATATACATTAACTGAGCGTTCAGTTCGCTGAACTTCCCAAGATCTCTTTGTGCCGTTTCTCTTGTTCTCTGCGTGTTTTGGTTTTTTATCCATTTTCGTCGTTCAAGTTGGCATGGACTGGATCGACCGATCAAATGATGTCAAACTTTTTTAATTTTCCATTCTTGTTTGCTATTTCTCTTCGTCTTCAGAAGTCGATGACAATCTGTTGAATTTATTTTTTCTCGTTTCTTCCGGCTCTTCATACTGAAGTTAGTACGACGGCTCTCACTGCTTGATGTTACGGGGACCAGCGCCTTTTAAAATGAACATTAATTATCATTACCTAAAGGTGTTAATAAGATCGCTGTTTAAATACTTATGCATAGTGTATGTATAAGTTAAAGACAGTTTTCTCCATACATATAAATCTTATTTTCCAATGATAAGAAAATGATGAAGTGTCCTAGTTAATCTCCAAAAAATGTGTTTGACCCAAATAACATTTATATGTCAGTGTTTGCATTGATTTTTTTTTTCGCTGAATGTGAGGATAAACACAGACAAGGGCAATGACCTTTCCTTCCTTTGCCTTAAAGTACACACAATGTGCCTACGTCACTGGTGAATGTCCTATCTACTTTTATGGCTGATAGTGTGTGTGTTGTAGTAGAGTTTTTGGCTGATGTTTGAATTAAAGGATGTGCTTAATTAAATATCATATGTAATTAACTTCCCTGCTTAGGAGAAGTACTTCATTCTATATTTGTAAGTTTTCTCTACGCTTATACATGTATTTTCCTTAGGGAATCATATATTATACATAAATGTTCCTGAGGGTTTATGCTTTATTAAGGACAAATTTTTGTCTGTTAAGTGTTATGCTTTCTGGGTGATAATTATAGCAAATAGTTATTTGATACTCATCAAACTAATCAAGCTTTTCAAATTACATTTTTGATGATTCTATTTCAAACAAGGAAAAGACAAAAGGAATAAAAGTGATGCTGAATAATTTTCCCCTAAGAATTAGTTTCTTGAACTATCATAGTTTTTCGTAGACTGCTAAGCTATAATTCAATGAATTTTCATAAGTATTTACTTTATCCGCTTTCAAGAAGCTACATGTAAAACTTCAAAGAAAAAAGTATCAGAATATTAATGTTTGCTTTGGAATTTTTTTCTGTAATTATTCATTTATATGTAATTAAAGAATGCAAGGGAAAACAAATTGTGATTAAAAGAGGTATTCTTAAACACACTCTCTTATTGTATAAACTATTATATATATATACATCAATCATGTCTGACCATTGGTCAGTGTGCGTTAACCAGATATTGGTTATCTAGCTATTCTTAGCGGTCAACTCGGATCTGCTGATAACCAGTTGTCCTCAAGTTATCAAAAAGAAATTCTGGCGTTCAGAATGTTTGATATGCAAAAATCTGTAAATTTTTTGCTGATTTTAGAATTTATATTGAGTAAATCCAAGGGTTATGGTCCAAAGTATTTTCAATGAGTAGAAATGTGAAAAAGTAAAAAGAATATTCAATATGGCTGCCTTCCATAACCACGTACTAACCTTGCTGACAGCGCATTATAACATAGAATCATTATATATGTGTAAATTTAATATGAAAAAATAAGAAACCTACCTGGTCAGGGTGCTGGTCCCCTGTTTAACTTCTAATAATTCTGACCTAGTGAGTAGATTTGTTCTCCTAACCCAAATTTTGCATCTTATATACACCAAAATGGGGGCATTTAAGGTGAATGATCGGAGAGTAATGATTGGTGGAAACTAGGGCAGTGTGTTTGCGTGACATACAGTCTAGGGCTGAATGACCCGACCTCAGCAATCTGAATATGTAATGTTGCGTAGATTGAAAAATGCAAGATGGCTGACTAGGTTAACACCCTCCATTCGCAGACTTGCGGACATTGAACCGCGCGAAAATCAATTTCAAGCCCGAATAATTTTTCCACAAGACAGTAGACAAATTGAAGATAAACATTCAGTTTTCCTGCATGTGATACTTTTTAAAGTAAGATATAAGATAATAGAATAATTAAAGCATGCAGTAAGAGACAGTGATTTAAATGCCTCAAATAATACTATGTAGCATTCATCGTTATAGAATTATAAATGATATATCTATTGTAAATTTGAGAATATCAAATAATTCTTTTGCTAGGACAAGTCTCTGTTTTATATTATAAGACCCCAGACATATAAAATAAATAGGATGATCAGACAAAAGTTAGGGCATTCTATTGCAGTCCCTACCGTGAGATAAGTAAGGCGCCATTGTAGGAAATTCACAGTAACGAAAGGAGTCTTGAACCTCTTATATAATTATTTTCTGTTAAGAATAGTACCAAATCAAGTTGCCCATTCATTTATTAAATACCACATTAATAATGTAACATAATATTATTTTAAAAACAATCAACCAGAATATTATTCCTGTATAATGCTTCTCTTTTCCCCTGGTCTGTGGCAAATGCCAAAAGCGTTATTCTGAGATTCTCATCAAACAAGTTTTAATCAGTTCTATTATAGAATAAGAAATAATAATTATAATATAAAAATTGTTGCAAGTATGCTGATACAGCAATTAGAAAAGGGAAAATTTTATAAACCAATTATAATTGTAATAACTTTACACAGGAATAATAATTCACCTTTTTATCTTTAAATAAAAAATAAATGTTCATAAACAACCTATTGCAGATCATCGATCTGAATTTTTCTTTCTTTTTGTTGTGTAGACATTCTCTATCAGAGGTCATTGACTCCGAGGACGGAGCGCAGGCTACATGTTACATGTATCATTGTTTTATTCAGAGGTACATTTGTGTAGCTTAAAATACCTTCTTGAAGAATGTAAAAGATGAATACAAAATCAGCAAAATATGAGCTATACTACGTATACAATGTTTCAAGTACTTATCAGTTTTAATTCCTTATACACATTTCCATACAACCTTGAAAAATTGGGACAAAAGTAGTCATTTGGTAAGATATTCTTAAATAACAAGGCTCGCCCACATACTAACATAAATCAAGCAGAGAAATGCATTATAAAAATAAATGGAGGCATGAAGGATCATAATAGGTGTTTATTCCACAATCATGCATTTTATTCGACAAATGTATTTTAATATAAAACTCCTTGGTGCGATTTAGAGCAAACAGGATATTGACCCCACACCTACACGTTATGAATACACAGGGGTCTACTGCCTACGCATGTCTTTACAATATGGCTGATTTAAATCGATATTTTCTTCGGTTCATAATTGATAGTTCAAATCAAATTTTGCAACGTTTTATATTTCCGAGAATTAAAACTAATTTATAATGCTGATATTAGAGATATCATTTACAATGTAAAGTTGCTTAAATAAACCGACTGGAGTACACCAGTTTTACACAAGGTTCAGCCAGATGAGATGCTATATATAAAATAATTTTCTAGTTTTCAAACCCAGTAGAATTTGATACAAATAAAACTTTAAAAAAAAATTCATCAAATGAGGGCATAGTTTAAAGTTTTTCAGGCATGCTTGAGTGGTATCCATATTTGTATTCTCAATAATCACCACTAATGTAGCTGGCTCTTGGCCTATGTATATCTTAATCAATAGATGATTGTAATAAGGCACCTCTACTGAAATCGAGCGGTCACTGAACCCAGCCGTAAAGCTCCCTCCATCACGTACTCCATACCAGGACGTTAATGCGCTTCCAAATAACCATTGGTGGTTCATCGTCCTCTTCAGTATCTATACATATACCTGTTCGTTCTTTTTCTGTAAGCTCCTCAATTAAATCTTGATTCATATATATATATATATATATATATATATATATATATATATATATATATATATATATATATATATATATATATATATATATATATATATATATATAACTTTTACAAAAATTATCATGTTCAACTTACTTCGCTATAGGATCACGTCTTGAATTTTATAATAAGCGTTACATTACTTTATGAGAACTCCTATAAGAGGGTCCGTAACTTTGTGCATATTGCGATAAAGCAAAACACGTGTAATTGGCACGCAGATGTTTTATGGACATTCTGAATATATAAAATATCAGATCTCATGGAAAAATGGAAATTAAAATGCAGTTGGGCGACGTCCAAAAGTGTAGATATATGTATACAAACTAATATAAAATCAAAACAATGTGTCAGCGTGGACAGAACTAATGTTTAGTATCAGTAAAATTTATAACAGTTTTCATGCAACCAAAAAGCGTGGTCGTTCAGCATGTTTTATAATTTGTTTGAAGGTTGTCACAAGTGCTTTTGATAATTACATGTAATATTGATGAAATCTTTTGTCTACCAACATGCATGAAAACTTGATGCACACAGGAAGTCTATAGGAGTACTATTGAGAGGAGATGTTTTAATCAACTCTGATGGGTGTCACACGTGCTTTCGATAACGTATGAAATGTTCGTCGAATCAACATCCATGACACATGTACATGGTTCTTGATTCACATATGGAAATTAATGAGAGTTTTATGGAGAAAATGCATTTTTTAGCATAAATCAGTCTTGATAATTGAAGCATGATACATAGTTCAGTTATTGTATAGTAGCTTATCCTCATAATTTGTTTCTTACAGAGTAGATTGTAAAACGGGAGAAAGAGAATTATACATGTATTTAAGTGGCATTGTGGACACGAAATAGTAGACTAAGTAGCACTGCGGATATATTCTTTAGAGTATTTATTAAGGCCATATCCCCTACGATCTTTCAAAAGGTAAACGAAGATTTCCCAATGAATTTACCTTACAGACTGTAGCTTTGATAAGAGACAGCAAGAAAGACATAAATTATATAATGTACAACAGGTATTTGTAGACAAATCTTGAGGGTATCGGTTCATTGATACAGTCGTATTATATATTCCAAAAAAATTGAGAAAAAAATAATCCTTTTTACGTTTTCCCAAAAAAAGTTTGTTACGTTTTCGCAAAATAATATATACACATGTAGCTATACTGTATTATTGTACAAATTAAGCACCTTTCCTGCAAAATGTATGTATAAGTAACTTCCGCATGCGCATTAAAGAACATGTACATGTATGTGTTGGATATATGCCGAATACAGTTCTATATGAAAAAATATCAGGCAGTTTGAGGCCCGTTAAGGCCGAAACTGTCTGATATTTTTAAATACAGAATTGTATGAGGCATATATTCTACTTAAGGAGGCTGGGGGGTCAACAAATTAACCGTCAGATATAACTTTATTTTACAGATATGATATCTTAAGCCGTCAACCATCATTTGGCAAAGGAAAATTTCGTACATTTTAGTTTTTAAAATTTAATCATTTTTGTATATCTTTATATGGAGCTTTCCTTCTAAAGGAAATCAATATAGTCTAAAAATGGCCACAACCACCCAGCCCTCTTAAAACATTGCCTTTTGATTTACCTGAGACAGTCCGATATTATAACAAAAGACAAAAGTGTTAATGACCACTGAAGCGATTCTTTCAAAAATGCGTAAATGAAAAGTACTCAGTATTTCGGGAATCGGCTACACTGAAGTAGGTATTTGAAGTAATTTGATAAGCTTGATAAGGAAAGTGCACGTGGGGACAAACTTTTTCTTCATTAAAACATACAATGAGCTTAAACCAATGCATCGGATTATGATACAGACTACTAGCATCTAGTGAATGATGTTTTGGAATGAAAAGGAACATGTAGATTTGAACTTTGATTTGAACTGAACAACCACATAATATAAAGCAGATGCTTAGGTCATATTAGGCCATTTTTTTTCTATCTTTAGCGTCCGTCCTATATAATAACATCCAGGAATTGAACATTTTGATGGAATTACAATGTATGTCAATTTCTTTCAGAATTTGTACAGAATCTGTCATTTAAATTAAGTAATTAATTATCATATACTACCTTAATTTTGCAAAGGCATTCATCTTTACGAGAAAACGGAATAATGAAATCAAATTTTTTGATTGTTGTTCTTTCTATGTTTTTTATACATCTCTAAAGTTTGTGTTTTATTCGGCTTGTGTGTTGTTGTGGTTGTTCTTTTTTTATAGGCAGATAGGGTTTTGAATGATAGGTTGACGCTAAACAGAGAAAAAAAATTGGAGTGGTCCTATTTTCAATTACAGACACTGTAAATAAGTTTGAAAAAGATTGCATGTGTAATGAATACTTCTGTAATGAAACCATTTGTAAACTCTTCTATGGTTAAAATGAGAGATTTACCAGCCAGCTCTGTTTATAGTGGTTAAGTATGACCATAATTATTCAACCCAGATAATGGAATTTGTGTCTTGTGGTCAAGCACTAAATAATTGATTAATTGTATATTGCTCAGAGATGAACTTGTGGTATTCCAGCCATATTTCGGCGGTAAAGATGATTCCTTATGACCGGTTTTGAAAGTTTTTTTTTGAGGTTTCTCTCGATCGTGTCCCCAGTGAGCCTTCTCTTTTTCGAAAAACCAGAGAAACGACTTTTTGCGTGCCAAGGGGGTTGATACATTTCTTAACATTTAATACGTTTATTACAAGTTTAGGGACCCGTTTTTGTGACTTGGTCCATCTCATTTTCTTTCTACCTGTAACGGTATATTAGGTTTAGTTGGAAGTTTAAATTCTTATTTTCATTTTCTATATGATCAATATTCTGTTTCAATGAATACACTGTATATGAAATTTAACTAATTTGTTAAATAGTCACACTTTTTATTATTATTATTTTTTTTGTTCAGTAACAGTCCAATTTTGAAGGATATCAGTACTGAGACAGTCTGGTATTACGATTAATATCAGAGTGCTCACTAATATCGGACTGCCAAAGGTAAATTTTTACACTGCAAGAACAAAGCAATGACATCACAGCAATGTTTTAACATGCATGTTGATACGACAAACATTTCATGAATATTATCGAAAGCACATATGACACCCTTCAGAACTTACTGAAAGGCCTCACGTTTGAAATCTGATTGAAATTGTACTCGTTCCTAAAATTATTTTTGAAAAGAGTTCTGTCCAAGATGAGTTCAACTCATGACTTAAATTTTTTATCGATATATAGAGAATAATACAGATTCTCTTCCATATCACACTTGTATCAGCCCGAGATACCAATATCAGCCAGAGTGCCAAAAGCCCGGGGCCTTATATTGGTCGAGGACCGATACAAGGTGTGAAATGAACAAGGGTATGTATATTGCATTAATTACACGCAATAATCATTTATTTGAACAAATACAATAAAAAAAAATCATTGACTTTAACTTTACATTTATTTTTAACAAATTAACTGATTAAATTTTTCGCAAAACCGTAAAAAGAGTTTCTGGAAAGGTAATTTTTTGCGGAAAGGTTTGCCTATTGTTACATTCATAGAATTAATTAATGTGAAATAAAAATATAATGGTGTGTAACAAATAGGAAATTTCGGTTTGTCAAAAGATTCTACATTTTGAAACAAGTCAATACTTGCTGCGTTATTGTTTTGATCTCAAACACTTTATTCTAAAATGAGACATATTGAGAACGGCTATAAATCTTGGGAATTACTCAGTAAAACTTCCGCAAGAACGAAGAAGAAAAATTGCTTGTCATGTTTGTATTTAATAGATTAGAATCATTTTTGAAATTTTATGATTATATCAAATTGAATGACCTATAATCTATAATATCTAATAAATAATCGAAATTACATGTATTTAAATCATCTTTATTGCCTTCAAATTTACCCAGCTTTCTACTTTTCTAATAGTAAAACTGCATTGAAACAAAAATATGACAATATTTAAAATGTGCTACCTTACAACATTGATAATGACTTGAAAATTCCACTCTTTGCAATTCTGAATAGGACGAGGTCCATTTGAAAAGATCGTGTTTACTTTATTCTATCTACATCTAAGAACAGATGAGCAATGATGTAAGATGAAATAAAATAATTTATTTTGGTATAACATAATATAATAACAACTCTTTCATTACACAACTTGAGAATGTTTCAGAATATTGCTAGCATCGCAAATTGAGAAAGTGAAAGACGAGGAAGGTATAACAGAATTACACCTTAACTTTTCAGAATTGTCTAAATTTCAGCAGAGTTTGCGAAACCAACTAAGGAAAATTCCGGTTGATCATAAATACAAGCCTCTTTTGTGTTACTAAGGACATTGGGTCGGGATAACTGATCTTTGCTTTGTTTTAATTGTTCCGTGACGAGTTGTCTCTCATTGCACACAGGTTCAGTACTAGCTCGAGTTTCCTGTGCCTGTTTGACTGAGATAGGAGTACTGAGCTTTTCGTGACTTACAGTTTGTGTTTCACAGTTACATTCCTCTGCACACTCTCCTGTATCTTCTACACGTACATCTCCATATCGTGACGGTACACCGACTGGAGAACAATTAGTATGACAGTGCCCCATATTACAAAATCCATGAATACACCTTTGTAAGACGTTGCCCTCTTGGAGGAATTGGCTGACTGGAGGATTACGTCGTCTTTGCTGTTCTACAGCCATAAGAAGTTGTCTGAGAGGCTCCAAATATTCAAACCCGTCTGATCCATTACTTCCTGATTCGGTTTGGGTCATGGAAGATTGCTCTGTTTTCTTTTCTTTCACTGAATCATTTCGGTTAAGAGTTTCATAGATATGATCCTGAATACCAAGGTTTGAGTCTTGGTCTGAAGTTTGGCATTCAAAATCACACATAGATGGAATGTGATTGAAATTATGACTAACTTGTGCCACAGTGTCACTTTCCAATATTTTATCATTAGTTCTGCAACCCTCTGAAATTCTATGATGTACATGATTGTTGGCAACATCTGGGTTATCACCCATGAACACCCACGAAGTCACACGTTCACTGTTCAAATTTTTAATATTTGTTTTCTTTTTTACAGGATATGGGTTTTGCAAATGTATATTTCTTGGAGGAATTTGCAAATTGTTTTGCTGTTTTACACTTTGTGGCACATTTGCATTTGTTATATGAGACACACTCTCAGACATTCTAGGGATCTCTGGCCCTTCACCCGGTGATTTCTGTCCATCACTGCTAACTCCACTATCGTTAGACTCATTGCTGTCTGTCTTAACACATGTGGATTTACTATCTTCCGCACTTATACTGAATTTCACTTTATTTGTTAAAGCGTCACTTGCTTTTCTCTCCACTTGATTGTGGAAGTGATTTTTAACATTATGCTTCTCGAAATTTTTTATTTTGGAATGCATTGACTGGGAATATTTGCTTTTAATTTCGTTGAATACGTCGGAGGACGCCATACTGAATTCGTCATCGGAGGGATATTCATACGAAATCCGTCGGTTCCTGACGTCACCATTCTCCACATCCACAACTAGGTTATGTTTATACAAGGAATCCATCTACAGTACAGATAACTTTTTATTCAAAATACGAAAAAGTTAATTGACTACTAAATGAACCCTAAATGCATTGGCCTAAAACGAAGATATACGTAAAAGACCCTTACTTACCTGACTCGGAATTGATGGATGCTTATGTATAGATTTAGAGCGACATTGTTTGACGATTGCAATGATTGTTGCAATCAGAACAATGGAAGTTGGCAGTGTGATAAGTACTATCACTAGAGGTTGAAAGATATCTCCCCATCCACCAGGGCTAGAGGGTGATGTTGATCTAGAGTTCCAACGGGAAACAGAAACCATAACCTATAATAAAGTGATTGAACAGTGATGTTTTTGACAAAGATATGATAGTAGATATCACTAGAATAAAAAATTCAAATTATTGAAAATGATTAATATTTACAATTATAAAAAAGGATTTATTTTTACCGGATAACCCAAAATGGCACTCATTTCGACGTCTGATACTTTCTGAAATGTCAATTCTGCTAACGATGCATGGACGACAATTCCGTTATACATAACAAGAAATATTATTTCTACTCGTTCTTCAAACTTTCTATTGATTTCTCTGATCTGCAAAAGTAATGAAGGATTGTGTAATTATACCTTGTCCAATATTGTAATAACAATCATTTTAATCTGCCTACCCCGCCCCCCTCCAAAAATGTTTATTTTTACCTTCACTGTTATTCCCGTATCTTGTACTCGACCTGTAGAGTCATTAATTGAGTTTCTCTTTCTGCGACCATGCAAGCCTTCTATATAAACGGCAGTGAGGTCTGAAAATCGAAAATAACAGAAAGAAGGTTGTGATTGTAAATTGACGAATAAGCAATATATAATATCAAATTTATTTCAATTCAAGAGGGAACACACCTTCTTCTAGGCTGGATTTAAAGTCGTCCTTAGATACGTCTATTTCTGGTTTAACGTTGATTTCTACGACCAAAAGGTTTGTCTCTGGGAACAGAAATACCAGTATAGAGCTAGAAGATGTATCAAACACTGGCGAAGATGGTTTAATCTCTAAAGAAGTACTCGAAAATATCTCTTGTTCTTTTGAAAAGCGGAGATTACTCTCAATCTCATGTTTTTCAGTTTCAGTCTGTTCAGATGTGGGAATGGTATAAATTTTTACTGTGGGACTATGCATTTCTACAGTGAACGCGCTTCTAGTTGTGTCAAATTCTTTAATACTTCCAGACAAAATTGCAGAGACGCTTATTGGTATGATGTCAAAGTGACTTATCCCTCCTCCTTGCTGCACCTGTACACTGCTTGGTGTTGAATAATTATACCAACTAGACGTAAAAGATTTCTGTTCCTGTCCTATAATGCTTGAAACTGGCAAAACAGTAGCTGACATTTTCTCAGTTCTTGAAGACAATCTGTCCAAGGAAGTCAATGTTGTTTCCACATTAAACGTATGTGTTCTCGACAAGGTCAAAGAGGAATAAACATGGTCTGGTGTAAAAGTTGTTTCGAAATCTAATGAACTTAACAGAGATGACAAAATTGTTTGAGGGATTGCAAGATCGTAGTTTGATGAAGTTGTAAAAAACTTCACGCCACTGACATCAGACGCATCTATCGGAAATGAAAACTCCGATGTATTTTGGAACGACGAAGGATCAACTTTATTCGACAAAATACTATTCTCATAAGTTGTATCAAGCAATGAAACATTCGTCTTAGTGAAGCTCTGGGAAGACTCTGTAATGGAGGTATTGATAATATATGATACCGACACAGATGTAAATTGAGATCGAACAAGACTGTTTCTTTCTGATATATGTTTATCAACGTCAATAGTTGATGTTACAATGTTCTTAGAGTCGTGAATTGATTGTCTTGAAGCGGTAGACGCATAGAGGTGTTCTCCCATGGAAGTAGATAATCTAGGAATGAATAACGATAGAATGGAAGAATTAGGAATAAAAAAACCTAACGAGGTGTGGCGATTCATTTCAGAATCCATAACAGAATTTTTCAGTGTTGTAGATGGTTCAATGTTAATTAAATTTTCTTCCGTCGTAGATGGATTTGCCCCAGTCATATTTTGTAAATTCTTTGTCGAATAATGCACATCTGTCGATGTCTGGAACACATTTGAAAGCATTGCAGAATTTGAGGTGGTCGTTTCCAGCCTAATTATGGACGATCGAGATGAAGAACGAAAATCAAATCTTCCTATAGATGCATCACTAGTGCTAGTGTCTTGAGGAGTTTGCTTTGATACAATTTCCTTTGGTATGTGTGATTTGGGAATTTGGAAAACATTCCAATGATCAGTTAATGTCGATTGCAAATCATTCAACACAGGTGAGCTGTACGAAGAATCTAGTTTATTTAGTATTTGCACACTTTCTGTTGTTGATAAGGAAATGTCAAAAATGTCCACATTTGAAATCTTTGACAAAATTGCCGGAGTTGACATTATTTCTGTATAATACATCGACGACAAAAAAGAATTTTCATATTGGTTCTCCATTGTAGAATATAATGTGTCCGAAGACTCGCTTGTTTGCACAAAATTTTTCCTCTCATTATCAGAAGCTAAAGTTTTCATGTCACTGGGCATCACGATTGTGTGGGATTCAGCAGATACATAGTCAGAACTAGGTGTTGGTATTTTATAAGTCAGGTTTTTATTGTTGGATTCATCACTTGTCTCCACCTGTACCACCGCATTATTGAAGCTCAATTTGGAAAGTATGGATGGCTGGGTAGTATGTGAATCGTATCCTGGAGATGGAGTTGGATGGATTAAAGACGTCATAACATCTCCAAAACGGAACTGTGATGAAGTGGCAAGATTGGAAATACTTAAATTTTGGTGAGACAAAAATGTAAAGTACTCGCTTTTTGATTGATTTTCCTTATCATTGTTCCAAGATTTATGCTGAGATGTGTTGAATTTATTTAAGCTGACATTATTTTCGAACCAAGCTGTATGCATTTCACTCTGAGCTGAACTCATCGTGTGTGTTTGATTATTTAGTGATGAGAAAGCGTGTGAGAAAAAAGATCTTATCTGATTTTTAGTTTGTTTACTTGAGGCATCGAGGGCTTTCTCTCTTGTATAAAGTGATGAGGTTAACAAAGCTCCATCTATTTTATCACTTACTGTCAACAAAGGTTCCGTATTGGTGGTCCAGAACCTCGAACCATCTTGTACCAAGGTAAAAGAGGATTGCAGTTCTGGTTGTGAAGTAGGTTGCTGAGACAGAAGTGAACTTGAATACGATGTCTCCTGTTGTGAATTTACACTTTCTTGTTCTAGTTTAGACGCAATTTCCTGTGAGATTATTTTATTACTTACTGAGTGAAATATCTCAAAAGTGGGTTCAGACGATGCAACAATTGACTCTGTTGATTCCTGCTCATTGATAGTAGCTAGGGATTTTGAGTCATTTAACAGTTGATTTGAGGACACCTTTTTGTAATTTTCCACTGTGTCAGTCCTCAATGAATGAAATACCTCAAATTTGGGTTCAGATGAAGCAACAATTGACTTCGTTGATTCCTGATCGTTGCTACTAGATATAGGTTTTGAGTCATTTAACAATTGATTTGAGGACATCATTTCCAGTGCTTTAGTTGTATGTAAATCAAAGGAAAGGGTGGATTTTTCTTCATTAAAATTTTCATTAAAGGTATCTGAATTAAAAGTGGACCCTGATTGGTGGTCTGAATCAATGAATAGCAAGGAAGGTAATGAAATGAAGTATTGCACATCAATGTACTCCGTCTCACTGCCACTTAATTCATGTGTTGCATGTGTATAATCAGAATTACTGATTATTTTGGTAGACATTATTTTGTTCTCTGACTGTTTTTCATTCCTCGCTTGAGTTTCTTTTCTTTCTGAAAGTTTTTGGCTATCAGGCTTTAATCCATCATAAGAAGGAGTACTAGTTATATTGAAATTTTCTTCGATAGGTTGAAATGAGAAAGAATAAGATCCATATTTAGTTGAACTTTCGATGATAGAAAATATCTGCTGTAGTGTGAAATACGGGGTAGTAGAAGATCGATAAAATTGTGAAGGACTTTCTTTGCCGAAATCATCTACATAGGTGTGGTATGGAAGATCTGTTTTGAAAATTTCAGAGGATGATCTTTTTTCTTGGATAGTATTAATATCATTCTGATTGGTATTAGATGATTTATTTTCTACTGAGGATATTTTAATACTTTCATTATTTTCGGTAAAGTTTGTTCTAGTTAGCGTAAATACATTGTTATTTCTTTTTAGAATAAAAGGTTCACTTGAAGGTCTGGAAGATACCGTTTCTTCTGATTCCACATATTCGGAGGACACGGCTGAAAAGTTTGAATTGTCCTGTTCTTTAAATTCCACAACTTTTTCCTTCTTCATCAATCCAGAGTATGATGCCTTTGTTTCAGGAGAAGAAGTAACATCAGGCAGGAATTTTGATTTTATGTCAAAAGAAGTTTCGATGACATGCGCGTAAGAAACCTTCGGGGTGTCTAAATTAAATTGGTTGAGTAAGGTATTTGATGACGTTAGAATAACCTTTTCATCTTTGTGTGTCGTCATTATTTTGTTTATCAAAGTTTTGGGGTCATCTATTTTTTCTTGGGCTTCATAATGAGCTTTGCTTCGTAAGTTGTAGGAAAAACTGGGCATTAATATGGATTGCGCATGTCCTGTAACTTCAGGAGAAAATTCTTTTTCCTTCATTTGTGTTTTGGACGGAGAAAGTAAGTTGTATAATGATGATATTGTTATAGGCATGAGCGTCTCATGTGAACTATCGAAATCCAAAGAAAACCCGGAAAGCAATTTCACTGTCTGGATCTCATGGTGAATCTTTTCTTTTGATAATGACGGACTCGTTTGAATTAATGACTGTATTGATGGTGGTAAAGATGCGTTATTTTTCGACATTAAAAAGAGTGAGCTTGATACTGCTGTCTTGGTGTTTTCAGATATTGTATCATAAACTGGTGAGATTTTGGAGTAATTACGAGTCGACAATGACAACTCCAGACCCTGATCTTTCTTCGACATGTCTTCTCTGATAATTGATGAAGTAAGAATCGGTAAATTTGATGATTCAGTTGTGATGGGTTGCGCTGAGACGTTGTGTGTAGTTATCATCCATGCCTCTGCTGTAATTTTAGTCTCTGTGTCTGATTTACTTTGTTTAAATTTGGAGGTGAGATATCTTGATGAAGATTTATCAGGTGACATTGTCCGATTCTGACCAGTGGAATTTAACGTCACCATATCTTCTGCATATATACTTTTCGTTGTTGCAATGAATGTATTTGATTTTAAATCCATATATTGTGAAAGTTGATCGGTTGTTTGAAGCGTTTGAGTTGTTATCGATTTTTGAGGGATTAACTCTCTGATGGCTTGTTCAGTAATGTCTGAGGTTTTACTGATTGTAGGAATTGTTGATTCTTTATACTGTGTCTGTAAATCCGTTGACCATAGACTCAGAGTAGTGTCCACAATTCTGTCGGAGATAAATTTCAAAGTGACTGTCCGTATTTTATCCATACTTTCTGATATTTTACTTGTAGTAAATGCCATTTGCTCTTTATAATGTTGAGGTGTGTACACTGTCGATATTCCAAGAGTGGAGTCCAGTTGGTGAAGAATGGAATTGAAATCGATTGAATGCTTGCCATACGTAGAGGTTATGCTTAATGTGGGTGATATTAATTCCTTGTATTGTGAGAGTGTATACTTTGTCCATTCTTTCGGAGCTGATTCTAATATATGAGGGGTAGAACTTGAAGTGGTTGTTACTTTGTCATATAGAATTTCTGGTGTTAAGCTGAGTGTTGGTGATATTGATGCTTTGTATGGTGTTCTGTATGGAGATAGCGTTTCTGTTGAGCTCGTTGTGCTGTTCGACACGTGCTGCGTGTCACTGAGGAGAGGGAATGGCAGTGATGATTCCAACAACTCTGAAACAAACAAAAATAATTTAAACTGATAACTTTATTTTTCTCTTGTCATTTTGTTTCAATATCTGTAATGCGTGATATATTTTAAGAAAGATAAACAAATGCACATGTAATTTTTATGTTTTTATATTCATGCTAAGAGATTTGCGCAATGTAAAGTATGTCTAAAAAGTTTAATCAACGCTGAATATTTGCCAAAATTCTAGCTTATAAGTACATGTACCGCTGTAAGATTGTAATTAAAATACATTTTAATGTATCGATCAATCAGTGTTTCAGGACATAATTAATCTATGTTTCAAAAGCATCTATTAGTATGAAAACTAGCGTAAGTTATGACCTCTTAAGCTGCACAATTAATTTCACTACAATTTTTATTATAGTGAGACTTATTATGTAATATTTTAAGATCTGCAGTATTTTTTTCGCTGAAAGATTTAGTTTAATTGCTCAGCGTTAATTGATCGCTTAGTCGAGGATTTCAGACTACGTTAATAAATGAGTTTTCAGTAATTGACATGCAGTGTTTGACACGTTTCGTTCGACATGTGAACACGAAGTCGAAATCTTAATATGAGATGATACCTAATTAATAAAACTCAAGCGCGGGTGATTCATGGAAAGGTTTTCTAAAAAGCATCTGCCAAATTGAAGACCAAATTCTGTCTGTAGTCCTGGGTATTCTGAGTCAGAGTTCCTCTCATTTTTTGTTCTCCTGGAAATCGTTAAAAAGCTTGCAACATTTTTTTCTATCATATCAATCTGTAAAAATCACAAGCGCTATTTGTTGCGTAAGAAATTAATGCTTCTCATGCCTATTTTACGTGAATTTTAACTTGGATAAGACGCTGTCAGATCTCAGCGTGACTGAGCTTCTATAACGACGTATAGTTTGCCTTCTACAGATGATTACAAACTGACAAAGTCTAAGTTTCTCTAAGACCCCACGTACTTGAAACAAGAGCACCTCTTTACTTTCAGTCTTACTTCACACAATTGTCACTCAGTGTGGGTTTATTCAATAAGCGAACCCCCATTTGAGCCACTGTAGTTTTAAAGAAATTGTGTTCCTACGATTCTGTGTGTAACATCACTATTTAAGACAATGTTTATATTTCTAATTGTATAGAGTGAGAATATACATATACGTGTACTCCTACTGTGTTCATTCAACTATAGGTATATCTGCTATGGCATTACGGCTTTAGTCGACCATTACTACCTCTACTGGATCAAACATAGTCTTAGTTTAATTTTTTTTTTATCATTATTGAAAATGATGTCATTAAAAGTGTGAATTTTACGACCCAAAAAGAAAGAAACACCCTTCTCAATTTGTAGGACCGATAACCTCACAGTTTACGTGTTGTTTTTTATTGTATCATCTTGTTTTATTGTTAATTAATTACAAAACTCGGTTGCAAGTCTTTTAAAGTCTCGACGGGACTCAATCGTGATAGATGAAGCTAGATAACTTTGTTTCTGAAACACATCAATCTGGTAGCGGCGTGCATTAAATGAAGGAAATATTACAGCTCATTACCGAGGCATTCAAACAATGTGTAAATATGAATTCTAAAAAAAAAATACGAAATCAAATCCTGCATTCATTTTCAGACATGATAAAAACTTTTAAATATAGACATATTTTCCAAAATAAGGGTGTGTGAAAGAGTAATTAAGAAGATTCCATTTCCGCAGAAACATAGAGAAACATAGCAATGTCTCCGGGACTTTGTTATGAAATACTTGGAAATTTTAAGAGAAACAAGAGATCATAATCCCCTAACACTAGTATAGTATGTTGTCCCCATTAAGTATGTTACAAGAAGGAAGTTTTAGAATGCAGCTGCATAATATAACCTTTGATCAAAAGCAACAGTATTATCGTCCTTGTTATCAATTCTAACTTTAGATAAATTACTTTCAGTCATGAAATTAAAGAGATGCCAAAACACTCTTCATTATTCATACCAGCATTATTTACTGTGTCTTTTTTTAAATCAAAGTGACAAAGATAAGTCGTCTACATGTAAAAAAGCTTTACATATATCACTATATATATATATATAAATATATATATATATATATATATATATATATATATATATATATATATATATATATATATATATAGGAAGAGAAAGTAAAAAGTTTTATGAAATTACAGGCCCGTAGGAAGCAATTTCAGTTTGGGGGGTACAGCCATACATTTTCAGTTGAGGGGGCACTATCAACTACCAAAATTTCTTGACAAGCAAAAAAAAAGGACATCAGACGTTTTTATTGAGGGGGCACAAGCATATAGCATCTATGTTTTCTATAGTAATCTATATATCGGCAAAATTATGGGGGGGGGGGCAGTGCCCCCCCCCCCCGGTTCCTACGGCCATGAATTAACCTTAATCAATACTTTCTTTGAATCTAAAATAAAGCCCTGAACTTTTTTTTCATTCTACATGGTCAATGAATTGCACTGCCATAATCTGCAGATGGCAACACTTAAAAAAAATTAGATTTAAAGGATAAAAAATGCGAAAAAAATCCAAGAACTAAATGCAGGCTCAAACAATCGAGATAAGTCACAGTGAGGCAGGACAAAGACGTTCAGAGTCTGGTCTGAAATCGGAGAATTGGGGTTCTGTAGCTAACAAATACCGCGAAACTCAGCAAGATAAGTACATTTATAAACAAGCCTCGATAAAACTGTTGTTTTATGGGATTCCGTCATTTCATTCTCTGTCTGAAATTTATTCTTTTTTAAAAATAATTGAATTGCTTTTTTAAAACTAGTTCTATTACGAGGGATAGGTTTTAAAACGTGCGGAAATTTCAACTAACATTTCAAAGGGTTTCTTGGTATTTGTTGTTTCATTTTATGTATAATTTGATAACATCGAAAGAAAACTTAAACCAGTTAAAAAAAGTTTTCACTTGGATTTTCAGTTTTGTAGATATATAGTTTTGTTTGGTATATTGACGTCCTTACACACCACCAGAGATAAATGTACGATTACTGTTTGTCCTTCAGTCATGTAGGATAAAAACATCTGCATTTATCCTGATAAGACATCTTTATAAGTATTCTCACAAAAAGCTCTTGACAATTGCACCGGAAACAAATACTGAAGCAAATCGAGACGAGGACGAACAGGAACTTTTTTAAACGTATCTCGTTTTCCCTGAATAACGGTCTATTTTGATTTACAGTTCCTTGAAAAATGTAAACATCGGCGGAGTTGATGTATATTCATAAATTATGATTATCAGAATTTAATATATAACACTGAAAATCAGACACATATCTTGAAATTAAACATAGAGTGAATTAAAAGTGAACAAATTTCATGCAACATTTAAGAAAATTTGTACAAGTACCTTCAAGGCATCGGCAGCGAACCAGAAATAAAACAAAGGTCACTGGAATTATCCAACTGCATCGACCCATAATCCTAAAATCCTAAAAATTCAGTACTTTTTGTGCATCAGAAAACGTTAAATTCATCCTAGTTTTGTTAAAGTATGACACACTCTGCACGTCGTTATGTCCTTTTCAAATAAAAAGTAAGTAAAGGCGTCCTTCTCATGTTGACAGCTTTACAGTTTCTCTGCTTACACTTACGTGTTCCCAGGCATCTTAAGATGTTAGTACCTGTTTTGATTTTCGCTTAAAAACATTACTTATGTCAGTGAGAAAAGCAGCAGCTTGGAACCAGCGGCAATGAAATGCTTCCTGATTTAAAACGTCTTTCCAATCGCCTTTCAAAGAGTTGTGCATGTGCGGTTTTAATTGATCGTTAGGCTTTATCTCCGTCAATCTTGTATTGCGTAACACTTATCCATTTCAGCCACCAAAAGCACGTGTTAGAGATGTTTACATTCCAAAATAAGGCTAAATCTTTACCATTTAGTTATATTGTGGTTTTACGACACTCATATTCAAAGTTAATACTTTCCGATTACTCTCCACATTAAATTCTGCAAGTCACGTGGTGTAAGTCACGTTTTTGATGAGTTTAGTGCAGTACCACCAACAGCTCGGTGCGAAGTGGGGCATGACTTTGGACATGAAAATCTATTAAACAACTCAGCCATTCTTCAGCAGTAATGACACACGGAACTGTTACAAAAAATCCGAATGGGAAGCTAGTTATCTTTTCCCTAGAAGTCTTTCAGATTAAGTGGTAATTTTAACAAAAATATATTACTATTCTTTATGCCAAATTAAGCAAAAGAAAAAGAACAGTTTGCATTTATTTTAAAATTTTCTTTAGCAATAACCGATTAGCAAACGATCTTAGGTATGGCATTCCTGACATGAGTTATATCAAGGATTTTTTAAAGTATATTTTAGATAACTACTCCTATAGGATGACTCAAAATCGCAAAGAAAACTGGTGATCAGTGTGCATCTTACTTAGCAACGGTACAATTAACTTGACCTTTTTGCACTTAAATTGCAACGTTTAGGTTAATCATTCTAACCCTAATCATATTTTAGCAGGAGCAATCATGGCAATAAATATAATCTTATTTTATGTATAATAGTTGAATAATATTTTATTGCAAATTAATGCGCGTTAATTATTGTGTGACCTTTTTGCACTAAAAATCATATTTGGTGTATTAAAAATCTAAATAGGTAATAAAATATTATCGTGTGTCAAGCTTTTTATGGCTGTAGTGCTAATTGGTTGGAAGTATCGTGAAGTTTAAAATTATGAAAGAAAAAGTTGGGGTCAGTGATTTAAATTTTGAGATATTGGTTAAAATATGCGATTTTCATGCCAAAAAATATGTAAATTTAACATGACTTCTTCATATCTTCATTTCTTGGCAATGTCTGTTGAGTGAATTTGTGTAAAATTTGTTTTAAAAATATTAATTGAAACATATATTTAATATTCTTAAAGAAAATTATTCTCTGAGTAAAACATGCAGGGCTAAAGTTCCAAAATATTAAGTTTAACAAATGTGTGAATTTGAAGTATTTTCCTCTAAATATCCTTCCACCACAAGAAATAATCTCCTGTAAATTTTGCTTCTTTATGATTTTGTGAGCACTTTTTTAAATTGAATATTGAGTAATATGCATTGTTAAATTCAGATATTTGATAAAAATTGAATTGTAATAAATAATTTTGAAGTTAGAGGCTCTGACCAAACTTTTCTCAAAAGCTGACGAGTGACATACATGTATTTTTATGCATTAATAAGATGGCATTAAGATCTTAAACTCCGCAGCTTTGTTTATTTCAATTTACTGTCACCTGGTAAATTTTCAGAAATTTAAACGTCACAGTTTCATAGGTCAAAGTTCGTTCATCGGCAAAATGATCGTCGCCTGACAGTCTGTTCTACTTGTTTTTGTTATAACGTTTTAGAAAAATGAACTTCCTCCTTGTAATTGTATCTGATGTCAACATAACTTGATCATATATCAGGATTCAAAATTCCCTCTGTCCATTCCCAATTTCCAGATATAGAATGAATCTCTTTTAAAAAAGAATTATCTCTTAAGTCATCTCCGAACGCATCTTGACTAGCACTTTAAAAAGTACCATTTAGTGACTAACTTCTAAAAATACAGATTCTATCCGATTTCATTGAAACTTGAAATTTACAGTCACGATACATTTTGAAAGTAACTTCTTATTCGATGACTTACGGAAACCAGAATATTCTGTAATTTTTCTAGATTGCAGCTCCTCCCATAATTCTGTCTGACTGAAATTGAACATATTTTTTTTTTACATTCTTTAGCCTTATTTTCAAAATTATATCACATCCTGGAAAATATGAAATATTACGTACTTTGTCACTATCTGATTTCAATGAAACTTGATGTTTAAAGACAGTGTAAACTACATCACGATACAATTTTTTAAAGCAACTTCTGATTACGATGACTGGTTTTACTGTTGTTATTGAAAACAGAATTCTAAGCTCGTTTAATAAGTAATGCGACCTATGGTTTATCATAATAAATGAAGAAGCATTTAATTTTTTTTTCACGATCTAAAAGAACTACATAAGAATTTATAATCACCGAAATCCTCATGCTTTTTCCTACAGTCTTCGCAAAGAAATTCACTTTTAAAGTAAGCATGGCCACTACACTGAGCTGAGAACTGTTTAAAATGGTCTCTGCTAAGAAGATGAAAATGAGGGATATGTAAAAATTAAAAAAAAAATCGCTGAAGAACCAGTATGAAAGATGTAGGTTTGATATCTGGAAAGACAAACCTTAATTCACGCTGTACAGTGTTCAGATGGATTAAGAAATCCAAAAATAAAAAAAGGAGTGTTACAAGATCGCAGTAGAACTGGTCGATCAAAATCTGTAGGGATACCAAAAACTGTTGATGCTGTGAGCAACGTAATATCTATAAATGCCATATTTACCTTGGAAGACGTTGGTAAATCATCACATTTTATAGAGTTCTGACAAAAAGGAAAATATTTCTACATGTATATTAGATTGGTGCAATATTTCCTAAAAGATGTCTAAGAGAAAACATATACGTTAAATATGCCAATAGTTTAATAAAAAAAATAAACATCAGTACAAAAGAAGGTATGTTAAACTTGGGTGACGGGTGTCAGAACATTGGTCACTTTTTATTGCTTAAAAGGAAGAACAATATTAAAAAGTGGAATCAAAGAGAAAACTGTCTCTTGTTGCAAAGAGAACAGAGCTCCAAATATGTCATATACAGGTTTTCTCTTTAGTCAAGAGGTTCGATGAAATTGGAGATAACGAACAGTATTCAAGCTGAAAGTCCATTTAAACAATACAAATCGAGAGCAGAGCAAACTCGAACCTCTAAAAACATCAGAGGTGGGATCAGGTACCATGGAGGAGAACGCATCCCCTGCCGACCGGGCACATCCGCCTTGTGCTTTTTGTCATGATCGGGAAATAACGGAAAAATCCGTCGACAATTTAGTGTGAAAATAATGGCCTAACACGGCAATCAGCATTTGTAAATAATGGCCTGATAATCAGTATGAATAACGTGAGTCATCATTTGCTTGCTGACAAGGTGATTGTAACAACTATAAAAATTGCGAAATGATGAATTCAAACGTGAGATTGTTGATATCCTTATTTCATCAGCTTGTTTGTCAATAGCTTGCCTCGCTTTAGAAATTGTTCATAGGAAGAGCATGTCGATATTACACGAACCTACAGCCAAAGGATTGATTGATTAGTTATTGCTTAACGCCGATTCGGCAATATCTCAGCCGTATATCGGTGGTCACCGAAAGGATGATTGATTGATTGTTATTGTTTAACGCCGAGCTGGCAATTTTTCAGCCATATTTCGGCAGGAGGAAGAACCATTGATGGTAGTGTTTTCGCATTGAGGAAAGTTAAGCAGTTTTTCCGCGAAGGAAGTCCAAAAACCGGTCCCTGAGTTCATTGTCTTCTGTCTATCAACGCTGCTGCAAATAGGCATAGAATGTATAGGGAATTTTGAAGAAGAATTACAGGGCCTATAGACATCCTTCGTATTCGCTAGATCTCAATCATTGTGAGATCCTCTATTTCCAAAAACCCAAGAAAACAATCAAAGAAAGAGTTTACAAATTTAGGTATGTCACGGAGAGTGCTATTCATTAGTGTCTTTTGAGTATCCCTAAATAAGAGTATGCTGAGATGTTCTGATCATGGGTATAGAGACTAAGGTTAACAGGGAATACTTCTTCTTGTCCTTTTCTTAATTTTAGATTGCATTTTGCATTACTTATTGAACGACGCTCGTATTTTGTAATTTTTCGAGAATGCAACTCCTCTCATGATTTGTCTGACTGAAATTTAATTTCTTACAAGAGAAGACCACATCACAATACACATAACGAAACACGAAATAATCCCCCCCCCCCCAAGTTTTGACACTGTTTTCTTCTTAATAAGGTAGAATAAATGTATGTATTGTAACATGCTGATATACCTATTCATTTAGTGGTGGTTGTTCCTTTATGTAAAGGAATAAGTCGTTGGGCCAGACATGAAAAAGAAGACATTTACACTTTGTCAGAAGTGTATCATACGTATGTTAAAAGCTCGCATTCGAGGAGCAATATGAAAACAATCTATCCTTCTGTGTTCAATAACTCAGAAGTGCAAAAAGAATTAGATAGATCACAGGATCAGTATATACTGGTCCCAGTCAACAAAGCAGATAACGACATTGTCTTTGTAAGGCTCATTATTTGAAGTGTATTTTACAGGAACTGGGATTTAATTATACAAGTGGTAATCCAACTTATACCAATGCTTACTTTCTAAGGAGGAAATTCTTCAAAATCATATGTCAGTTTTGAATATTTTTCATATTCCCAACAACCAAAATGAATTTGAATTAACATATCTATATTGGATTCTGAAACATAAGAATCCTTACAAACAAAGATACATAGCGGGTTCCAGTAGGTGTTCTACCAAGCCTCTTTTTTTACTCCTCACTAAAATATTAACAGCACCAAAGAAAAAAAACTTCAGAATTACTGTGCAACAATACAGTCGAGAAGTGATGTACATCAGATGTGGATTCTTAAAAATACCAGGGAACTTTTTGAAAAAAAATGAAATCACAGAATTTTGCCAAAATCAATAACATCTAAACTTACGACTTTTCAACTCTATATACAACCATTCCCCATGATAAATAAAGTTCAGGCTTTTTGAAATCATCGACAGCTGCTTTTTCGATAAAATTAATTTGTTGAAAAAACATTCTGATTGTACACATAAGTTCTCTGAAGTTGATATTAAAAAGATGCCTGGGTTTCTGATTGACAATATCTATGTGGTTTTTGGAGACCAGGTCTTCACACAATCTGTTGGAATTCCAATGGGTACCAATTGCGCCCCGTTATTAGCAGACCTATTTTTATATTTCTATATGAAGCAGAATTTATTCAAAATCTTATACGTGAGAGGGAAAACATTTGCTATGGCCTTTACCTTGACATTTAGATACATGTATTTATTTCCCTTCATATGTCGACACGATATATCCCAGTGAGCCTGAAATAAAAGATACCACAGAGTCTGACACATCTGTTTCATATTTGGATATTTTACCAGAAAAAACGTTAATGGTAATCCAACAACTAAGCTTAATGATAAACGTAATGACTTTAACTTTTCAAACGCCAACTTCCCTTACTTATGCAGCAATATACCATTATCACCTGCATATGGGGTTCATGTCTCTCATTTGAATCGATACACAAGAGCATGCTCTACGTACGAACAATTTCTAAAACGAGTTAACTAAAGTTGTTGACAAGTTGATGAAACAAGTATAATTTATCAATAGTCTCGTTTCAAGTCATCATTTCATAAGTTCTATGGTCGATACAATGACCTTGTCAGCAAATACAATCTATCATTTAGTCATATGCTGACTGACGATTTTCATACTAATTGTTAGGCCATTATTTACACACTGAGTTGTCCCGTTATTTCCCGATCATGGCAAGGAGTGCACAGCGGTGTGACCGGTCGGCAGGGGAGGCTTGCTCCTCCATGGCACCTGATCCCACATCTGATGTTTTAGAGGTCAGTGTTTGCCTTGCTACTGATCTTTATTGTTTCAATGGACTTTTGAGCTTGAATACTGTTCGTTATCTCCATATATTTTAGTGTAAAGAGTAATTTTAATTTAATTTAGTTTTTACAAAATGTTGAAAATTAAATTATATTGTACCTTCTATTCTTCCGTTTCAGCAGATTAGAAGTGATAAAGAAATCGGAATGACTAAAGAACAATATAATATGGTTCTAGTTGACAAATCTTGTTACAATATCGTCTTTGTTTGTAAAGCTCATATTTACAATGGGAGTTTAGAAGATTCCCAACTTTGTAACATTTATACTGGTGACATATAGGCCATTGTTTTACTGCTTACTGATTTTAACTACGGACTACCTGCTCAATATGGAAGGTTCTCGGCGGGTGGATGTTTAATCCTCATACGCATCTGATCCATTTCTGGTGTTTCAATGGGAATAATTTATAATTAAATATATTTTAGGCAGGTCTGTATCAAATATTTAGGATGTAGGTAATGTAGGTATAAATGCTTACAAAATTACTGAAATGAAAAAGATAGTTCTTGCAAAACAAAAGTGTGGATATTTAATAGGTCTAACATACTCGTCGTCAGAACAATGTATAATATGGACAGTTAAGTCTTTTAATGACAAAAATATTTGCAAAAGTTTCGTTTAGTTTTCAACAAACGCTCTGAATATGATGTCTCACTCTGTGCCGAAATTAATTGGCACTTGTTTGAACAAATTGTTTTTTTTACATTCTTTAACCTTATTTCAAAATTATATCACATCCTTGAAAATATGAAACATATTTCACTATGGCAATATAAAAATAAATCATAATTCTGTACATTGATCTGAAAAGGGAAGATGAAATTTTAGGCCAAGGTCAATATCCATGTTATTAAAACTAATATATTAAGCAATTCAAATAAATCCTTCAGCTCATGAGTAACGTACATGTACTTTACAACGTACCTTTCCAACTGATGATTTTTCAAGATATTCTTAATTTAAAATCAAAATACCATCAGTTGTCCTTATAGAAAAAAATCAGCATACATAACGAGAAGGTTTGAACAGAAATCAATTGATAAAAATGCTTGTATTTTTTATGCCTCCGTATCGAAGATTCGGGGGTATATAGTATTTGCCCTGTCCGTCCGTCTGTCTAGCTGTCTGTCTGTTTGTCGCAAAAACTTTAAAAATGCCCATAACTTTTGATTGGTTAGAGCTATGGCTTTCATGTTTCACATGTGTATTCCCAATGACAAGACCTTTCTTTGGGTACCACCATATTTGACCTTTTGACCTTGACCTTGGAGTTTGACCCAGTTTTGCAAAATTTTTCCCAACTTTAACCTTGGCCATAACTTTTGAACGATTGGTGCTAGGGCTTTCATACTTCACATGTGTATTCCTTGTGGCAAGACCTTTCTTTAGGTACCACTATATTTGAGCTTTTGACCTTGACCTTGGAGTTTGACCTACTTTTGAAAAACTTTAACCTTGGCCATAACTTTTGGATCGCTGAAGCTATGGCTTTCATACTTCACAAATATAATCCTTGTGACAAGACCTTCTTTGGATACCAACAACTTTGACCCTTTGACCTTGGACTTTGACCTACTTTTCGAAAACTTTAACCTTGGACACAACTTTTGAAAAGTTGTTGCTAGGGCTTTCATATTTAACATGTTTTTTCCTTGTGACATGTCCTTCCTTTGGATACCAACCATTGTAATCCATTGGTCTTGACCTTGGAGTTTGACCTACTTTTGAAAAACTTAAACCTTGGTCATAACTTTTCAACGATTGGTGCTTCAGTTTTCATATTTCACCTGTATATTTCTTGTGAGAAGGCCTTTCCTAAGGCACCATTAATTTTGACCATTTGACCTTGACTTTGATGTTTGACTTACTTTTGAAAAACTTTAACCTTTTCTATATCTATTCAATGGTTGCTGCTAGGGCTTTCATATTTCACAGGTATATTCTTCGAGACAAGAACTTACTTTGGGTACCAACATATCTGATTTGCATTTGAGAAAGTTTAACCTTTGATATAAGTTGCCATACGGGGGCATCAGTGTTCCACAAACATATTTTGTTTTTTTAAAGAAAAAGTAATAAAAATATAGTTTTAGCTGATATATTTTTTTTTTTTTTCAAAATTTGATTCAGGAGAGGTGTATAGCATATCCAGGCATCATAAAATCGCACATAAATCCTTCATTTATGGCAACTCTTAAATTACACAGGAAATAAGAAAAAGTTCAAAACTACGTTGCGTGTGTCCTTTAACTGGGAACTAGAATGCTGTTACATGTACAAAAGTACACGAACATAATCTTCGTGCTTAAATTTAATTTAAATAGAAATCTTCTGATGATCTAATTATGATATTCCAGTTATCCAGTTAGGGTTCAAAGTTGAAATAGGTGATATATATATATATATATATATATATATATATATATATATATATATATATATATGAACAGACTGTATATGACTTTAACTTCGAACCCACTGCCATAAATGTACATCAGATGAAACAATGCAATCATAAACAGGAACGGCTGATAACAAACATACGGGGATCATTTGGCTTCGAGTGAACTTTATGGTCTTTTTGGGAGGGGGAGGACATTTTCTAACTTGACCGATAGTAGAAGAGTGTATTGAAATTTAAGTATTTATGTAAATAATTGAATCTTTTAACAGCTTATGAAAGGCTAAAATGAAATGTGACATACATCTGTATTTCATATCCTGAAACTTATTCACAGAATGGTACAAATAACAATGTTATGTAAATAAATTGTTTTTAATATCAAATAGTTTCATCAACATAATTTTGAGAATAGATTTCCTTTTCCTGTAACTTGGATAATATTTTAATTTTCATTATACTAGAATAATTTTGTTTTAAAATGGTCTCTGTTTCAAGGTTTTCGCAATTGCACGGGACTTAGAGTCAGCAAATATCAACTAACTGCTACTTTATTTTCATTTCCACAAAGTGCGTTCAAACCCCGTAAACTAAACTAAGCACATTAAAAACTGACATCTTTAAAAAAAAATAACAAGAAAACTACTCCATCAATCCTGCTGAATCTTCTACTTTATCATCACCATCATCATTTTCTTTGTTTTTATTTTAACTCCAGAGGCCCCCTCCCATTTTCCTGTTAGTGCCTATAGCAGACTCGTTAATATTCTCTCACAGATATGAGTAATTCAAGGACTTTTAAACTCCCACGACTGTTGATACGATTCCGAACTGATGTCCACTCTCCTAAGCGGGGCCCTGTCTCCTACCTCACTGGCTGCCAATCACGTGAATTCCTGAACGTCAATCACCTCTGTCTGTCATTTGTCATTTGATAAAAAACATATAAGACAACAGACGAGTTATGCTAAAAAGTATTTGGTGTTCACGCTATGGGTCACTTTTGATGGTTCCTGATATCACTACAAGCATATTTTTGTTTATTGAAAGTGTTTGTAAGTATAAAAATAACAGGCATCGTTCCTTTTCCTTATTAGTATTAGAACCATGCGGCCTATAGTGTGTGCAATTCTTTGCTGGCTATGGACAGGATATTTAGTAGGTAAGCATAAAGATTAAAAAATACCGGCCTTCGATACAAAATATGGCATCATGTAGCTAAATTTTATTATGAATAATTGGATATTATCGAGTTCTTGACTAAACAAAAATACAATTTCAAAGAAGGTTTGTCCCTATTGCTAATGAGGTAGACATTGTAAATTTATGAAATATTATTGCATATTACGTCCCATTTAGAAACAAAGTACTCTGTAGTCCGATTAAGTGTTTTGATAAATTAAACCAATACATACTTTTCTTTGCTGCAATAAGATTAATTATCTACAATGAAGACTTTTAAAGCACAGATCCACCCTAGTGGGTTTTTTTTGTTTGTTTTATATAGTAATTGATTTTTGGTTTTGTTTGTTTGTTTGTCTGTTTTGGTTTTTTGTTTTGTTTTGTTTTTTTGGTCAGAATCATTTGATTTGATTTATATACACATATTTTTTCCAGACTCTTTTTTTATTCCTAGTAAAAGGATTGTCAAGACAAGAAGCAAAGAAGGCCAGAGCAGTTTACATGGTATTCTTGGACATATGAATGAATTGATGAACTTTGCAATCTCAGTTACCAATCCAATTTCAAAGTCAAGGAAATCAAAAGTAGAAAATATTGGAAATACAAAGAGATCATTTGTTTGTCCATCGTACAAGTGTTCCGATACAATAGAACCCGGATGTCGTAGATCTGTGTACTACGTCATCAAAGGGCAGAGATGCATGGGTTGTGACGTGGACGTTTGCAAAGTAAAGAAGCGCCGGGAAAACGCACGGATTCCTCTTCATCGGTCAAATATTAACGCGGATAGAGCTATCGAAGAAAGAATCTCAGTGAATCCGTTTAATTTTGAAAAGAGATGGCTCTTTAGCAGAAATAGGAAGGGACCCGAACAGTTGGACCATTCTAATTCTTTTCAACCAATGATAACAGTTTCCAATGTTGATCGCCTGCCTCCAGGCTCAGAAAACAGCTGGATTACGGGCTCACTGTTTTAATGTAGCTACCGAATTAAAATATGTATATAGTGATCGTGATAATTCCAAATGGTATGTTGGTTACATGAAGTTTATCTGTAATTTTTTCGAGGGCATCAAATGCTTTTTTTGTATGGTTCGACTGAAGATACTCTTGTAATAAATTCAGTGATTGATTATGAAGATCCTTTTATTAAGATTACAATCCCAGGGGAAACGTGTACATGGCCAAGTCCTGATACTGTTGAATTTTGTCGTGGCATTCCAAGTGCTTGACTTTAATTGTGAAAGACTTCCGTACCTACAACTGTACTAGATATCAGTACTACGGGTCTCACATACAAGCAGCATTCTAAAGACTGAATCAAAGTACCTTAATATATTATTCTTGTAAAAAGTCTAATTGAATATGTAAAACCCAAACATTTCAAGAATGAAAAATGATGTGTTTATTGACTTTTTGTACATGAAGGTTTAATTACTCCTAACAGAGAAACGGGCCCGTTATCGGTGGCAGTCACCTTCCTGAAGGTTAAAATTAATAACAATTGAAGTTACCTGAAATTGTATCCAAACCAAGGACACTATCATGTTGTAAATTTTGAATTTACCGGGTGGCAGTAAATACAAATTTTACAACATGATAACTGACAACTTGTAAATTTTGTATTTACTGCCACCCGGTAAATTCAAAATTTACCACATGACAACACTCTTCAATAGAGATTCTCAAGATTTAAGAAAAAATGAAAATGCACATAATATCAGCATGTTACAGTTTAATTATAAAAATAGTCAGCTTACATATTTTTTAATAAGTTGGTAAACAAAAGTAGTATAGAATGTAGTAAAAAAAAAAACGCTTAAAGTAAACACTCTATAATGAATTGACGATTCATGATCATTCCCCTTGGCTTTGAAATATTGTAAATTTAACAGTACAGTTATAGCGCATTTCGTTTTTAAAGAAGCAAAGCCGTTTCTTACATAAGCACGTTTCACTGTCTATCAACACTAAATAAAAAATATATTGACAATTCCTACTCATCTGTTGACAATGTTTTTTTTTCCTCTGTAGGAGGAATACGTTTTGATTTGCTATAATATTATGCTTTGTTTAAGATCATCTGCTTTGAACCAGTACTCAGTGCCCCACCCCTTCCTCCAAAGATTGCCAGATTATAATATTTCCGGATGTGATTCTTCTGCCCTATCACTGAATCACTTTCAACCGGTGAAACTGAAAGTAAACAATCATTGCATAAAGCAAAATAACATCATTCAATAAAGCGAAAAACTGAGTAACTATATTTTCCAGGAAATAGTATAAAGGATTGGCAAAAACAAGTCTGGTAACCGATCAGCATCAAACACATAACCTGCGACGAAGCATCCTGGGAAAATAATAGTCTAGATTATTGTCATGTTGTAAATTTTGAATTTACCGGGTGGCAGTAAATACAAAATTTACAGTTGTCATGTTGTAAATTTTGTATTTACTGCCACCCGGTAAATTCAAAATTTACAACATGACATTATCATCCTAGCTTGGCCCTTAGGGATGATTTTAGGTATTGACAGGGTAAAATATAGAAAGCAATATAGTATTTCACCTCAAGAACTTGATACCCATTTATCAAAGTGGTATGTTTACAACCTAACTATAGAGCATGAGCATTTTAGTGTAAATCAACTCAGGCACGCTTTGTAGCATAGGCGTCTCCAGCAAAGTCGCTACTTTCGACTAGAAGATAAATGTTCTGTAATTTAATTTTAATTGCGGTAAGCTCTACTTAAACTGTTGGGAATGCCCTTAATGACATCGGAAATATTAAATATGTTATTGGTGGTTAAACACGAAGTGATCATTTCTTGAATTAGATTGTCGTCTCAGAACATTTCCGTCATATACTGTAAGATACTTGATAACGTGTACAGCAGTAATTGACCAAATTTATAATTTTAAATTACAACAAAGAAAACTTCCGCGAAGTATGAAAAATTTGAATGGTATACGTCTTCTTGCAACAAATTGAGAGAATTGATTGACCAGAAGAAAAACATTTTTTTTTTATTAATAATCATTCCAGCTTTGGTTATGATAGCCTCTCAAATGCTTGAGTCCTAAATGAGTAACCGGAAAACTGTTTGTTAGATTTTTCAGGACACAATTAACATAATTTTTTTTCACAAAGGAATACCAAATTCTTACTAAAAAAAGCAGAATTTGTCATACGTTTATCGGACAGAGTGCACTTCTTTTTTAGATTAGGTAAGAGTAATCAACTAATGATAAGCTAGTATTTGACTCGTCAGCAGGAAGGGGGGTATTTCTTTGCAACATCTGAACCTAATAGTTTCACTTCTCTCACGATACAAGAAATGCATATTGTAACAATTTTTCATTTTTAAGTTATTGTGCAAAACTTAATAACATTTTCAAACAAACGAGAGAAATGGGACATATCACATATGTCTGTCCCTGCTGACGCTAGTTTTAACCTTGCTCACGGAGGCGGACAATACTGACCCCGCTTTACGACAAAAACTGTCATTATATGTTAGGGTCCGACATCAAACGGCGCTTGATGTAAATAAAGACGTTATCTTGGAACGTTGTTGTAAACTCCAAGCCATTCCGACATTAACACGACAGTAAACACATTCACAGGAAAGAAGAAGACGGCGAAATCTTCTAAATCAACACATAACATTGTGTGGGTGACATAAAGAGGTGTCTGATACAAAATTGGACAGAACACGTAAACTGTTATTGATTCAGGAGATAAAGGAATTATATATATATATATATATATATATATATATATATATATATGTGTGTGTGTGTGTGTGTGTGTGTGTGTGTGTGTGTGTGTGTGTCAAATAATGGATAAACATGCCTAAAAAGCACAATCTAGATTTAATAAAATTAGAATAAAAGTTATACTTGAGTTGAAGAACGTGCATGCAACACGACTGTCTACCAAACATTCATTCAAAATTATAAAAATGATCAGCCGTTTTCGATACTTTTCAATTACTTTTTTAAATTGTAATTATTTGAACTTCATACGGTGAGAAGAAGGGCATCCTAATTTCACAAAATTTGTCAAACTTATATGAAATATTTTAAGGAGAAAATGAATAAATATTTTCTGACTGATGAATATTTGAAGGTTTTCTCTTTATTCATGAGGATTATTTTTGAATTTCTGTATTTATTTACTATCGCACACTTAACACCAACATATAATTTATTTATTTGTATTGATACATTATTTGTCGCGGCGTGTGACTTGACAGTCGATTCACCGCAATTTGAATGAAGTCGCTTCAGAATTAGCAAAACAATCATCGGTCGAAATCAGAGAAAATGCAAATATTCCATATCGGGTACTGGCTATTTATATAGTGTTAAATTCTAAAACCATCACTAACACACAGTGAAAGTCTCATAGCAAACAATAGTTAACAATACAGTTCCCAGTTTTACTAATTTTCCTCAGTCTCTCATCTCGCGCATGCGCATGCAATATTCCGGACTCACAACGTAAACAGAACATGCCATTACCATTATTTGTATAGCTCTCCAAATTGCTTTGCTACATGAATTCATATTGTGAAGTTATAGTGCTCATGTTATGAACTTATAAGTAAATTATACCTTACATGTACAATACAATACCTGTAAACAGAACAAATGATTGAAACAAAGGAGCACTTAAGTTATTGACAGCAATTACGTACATTGTCATTAGAAAATTTACCTGAAAGCAGCAAAATGCAATTTGAGAGTCTTCCCAACTGCCTCTCTGATTGATTCTCAAGATGTGTCATTCCTAGTGCATGGTCATGTTCTAGTTCTAAATAAAAGAATAAACGAATAAACGAACCTTACATTTATATCCTACATGAACAAACTAACTTGAACCAATGAAAACTAAACTACATGTTGCTTTTTTTTCCAGGAAGAAGCCATTCCAGCAGCTTCCATAGCAAGAGTTTGAAAACAGACCTAACAACTGGTATGAAATATGTCGGTCATATTCCACCCATTGATTAGACCATAGATTTTGCGAAATTATGACTTTCAATAAGACTGTTAAAACCCGTTATACATACATCAACTTATTTGTCATTAGTCTCCTTTACTTTTTAAAAAAAATGATCGAACAGAGAACATGCTCTTGTGAATCATTTGGAAGACATTGACGCCTTATGTAGGTGCTAATGTAATATTGCTATAATATTGCAACACAAGATCAACTTATAAAGGGGCACATTTGAATCTGAAACTGTCTGAATATGTAGTCCTTTCCAGCCCCTTCATTTTCCTTCAAATCGATTTTTGAATTGATAAGCAGTCAAACAATAAAATTGAGAGGTATACTATAATTTAGATATGAAATGGATCAAGCACTGTTACTGCAACAATGTGGGCATGTTAATATTTTAAAACTCAAGCATTGTAAATATGCACTTAGTTGCTGTCAACAAAGTATTTTTTAAAATTATTATTTTTTCATTAAGCTCTGAAATATACTGAAGAGTGAAACTAGTGGATAGAATTGGTATTACAAGGAATTCTAGCTTTCCCAGACGCGGACTTTTTCTTACAAAATCACATTCCACCTTGCCACTAACCCGTTCTAAACTCACTGTGAAAATTCTGCAAACAAATTGTAGAACCAATATATTACTAGTACTATTATATTCAGTCAAACATATTTAATTTTTTTTTTCATTTTTGCATAATTCCATTCTCTTTTGCAAAATATTATTATTTTGATAAATGCCATTAGACCATTGAAGATTTCACCTGACTGGTACTTACAATCTACTACAGAAAAATCCCACCACAAGCCATCAAATTCACGTATCAAGGCCCTTTGTCATCACATTTGAGGATGTTTGCTGTTTTCCTATTGCAGGAATGACATTATATAGCGTATGTATCATCTTTTAAACAGAAGCAGCTTCTCTGGTTACACGTAAGAATACATACTGTCATAAATGAACATTTAATTATTATATTGATTTGCAATTTCATTTTCGGGGACATGAAAAAACCCCAACAGTGAAAAGTCATGAAAGCACATGGGTTTCATATAAATTACTTTTCGTCTGTCTTCCCGTTCTACAGAATTCAAATTTTACTTGTTCAGAGTAATATAGTTAACTTTGAATGGGGCATATTGCACTTTTTTCTAAAAACAGATTTGATTGGGGAAACCCCGTTAGGAATCTAAAATTTACCTTCTTACTATATTGACTATAATTTCAATATGTCAAACATAAACACATTCTGTGGTTATTGTAGCATCATAAGACCTTTAAATAGATAATAATGAAATGACATTTTATGGTAAACTCGACCCTATACGGAAACTGTTAATTGTCAAAGCTATTAGATAATTATAATTTAACCAAGTCAGAATCTCTTAACTTCAAAGTGTCCAGACGCTTTGTGATGTGGAAGACATTGCTTTAATGCAAAATTAATTATCGTCAATTTATATTTTTTTTAAGTCAATTTTTTTTTTATGATTAAATTTTTCATGCAATTAATGGCACTGTAACTGTTCCTCTAATTTTTGCTGAAGACGACGTGTCTTGTTTTTATTCCACATCATCCTTTTATATTAATCTAGATATGTAAATTTTCAGATGGATTTTCCAGGAAAGATAACTGAATTGTCTAAGAGGCTGGCTAAAAAATTTTACGACCGCAATGATTAATATGCAAGCTGCTATTGCTGCCTCTTATTGATTAGATTGGGTTTACCGATGTTACTAAAAACGACAGGCATTTATTTACATCGTAGTAGCAAAATAAAAAAAAAATTATTAAGTTATGCTAATTCAAAGTTGTACATGCCTTATTCTTTTAATAAGAAAAAAATCACAGTGAAACCTGTAGCTCTTGGAAACAACAGTTTAAAAAAATTGTCATTTTTTTTTTTACCCCTGCCTAAAAATTGTTACCTCCTTCTATACATCCTTAGCTCATTAATAATTATTGTTTCATTAATAATTATGGTTTCATTAATAATTATTGTTTCATTAATAATTATTGTTTCATTAATAATTATTGTTTCATTAATAATTATTGTTTCATTAATAATTATTGTTTCATTAATAATTATTGTTTCATTAATAATTACTGTATTTGAAAATTTCAGATAATTGTACATGTATACCAAAAAAGCCTACACATTTGATGAGAAAATACGGAACTTCAAAGTTTCCCTCATTATATTGTTCTTAAAAAATAACCTTATTTTAAAAGACTCTTTTCACAGAAAATTTCTAATGAAAATGTTAATACATTGTGGTTTGACCTAATCAAAGAAACATGTAACTTTAGTGGCAAATTAATTGACACATCGATACATGGAGTATGTATTGATATTGTCAAATATGCATTTATAAATTTCATTAAAGTAAAATTGTTTTGAATGTTGACATTCTAAATGATATATACCCAATTTTCAAATGATTTATGGCTTTTATTCAAATCTATTAACCTTAATTTTGATTTATTTCCTTGAAATCATTAAACCATATGGTAAAACAATTGATTTAAGGACATACATGTAAGCTTCGTGCGTTGGGCATTCAAATATACGGCTCAAACGCTTTATTAAAAACAGTTTTTGTGTACAAATAGAGCCATTTTGAACATTAGTAATTTTTCCCTTTAAAAACAAGTTACCCAGAAAATGAGGTTTAAGTGCAACTATGTTAAACATTTTGAATGATGAGTGATTTTTAAAAAAAGCAAAACTCCATGGCTTAAAAATTTTGCAATTATCTTTTTGATATGTCGTGTACAAACTAATCGTTGTTGAAAACTTATTCATATTTTTCATGTTTAATAAGAATAAAGCGGAAATATTTCGATAATTGAAAAAAAACCCTTTAAGTTTGAAAAGTCGACTCCAAGGAGTACATTCTGTACTTTGATTTCATTGATGTTCGATCAGTAATGTATATAAACGGGGCCTCTCTTTCCGTGATGTTTTATAAATTCTTTAATTCTTTATTTTATAATGGATTCTCATGATTTCACCAAACCACAAATATTTTTGTGTCGTGTGCCTCGACAAAAAGAAATCAAAATATTATCTCTCTCTCTCTCTCTCTCTCTCTTTAGTTTTAATTATGGGAGGGATTATTATTATGTGTGACGCAGTAAAATCAATCATTAAAGCAAATGTCCTTTTGATCATTGATGACTTTTCTCCACCTTACTTTGTAGATTGTCGACGCGTTTTTATTTTGTAGAAGATGGTAAAATTATTATTATATTAGTATTAAGCTTTGACGGATGTATCATAAATTAAGATTGTTTTGTGAGGTTTATAATGAAATTTAATATAATGATCAATGTCAATCATAATACGACATGCATTTTAATTATATGATTTTTTAGAGAAATATTTCGACTTTGTAACCGCCTCTTAGACGCACCGGTTATTAACTATTTAAACATCAGTTAACTAGTATATATAAATAAACAGTCTATATTTGGAGGAAAACATCATGCCGGTATAGATTCTTATCTGATAAGAAAGACGTTAAGTGATTTATGATTATTGCTTTGACACACGTTAATTATTATTTCCTGTCGTCTATATATAACCACTGTCGTCTTGATTTTCACAGCCTCTGTTTTATTTGTTCATAATTATGAAACTGCAGTTTTCATGCCTCCCGTAATCAAAGATTCGGGGGCATATAGTTTTTGCCCCGTCTGTCCGTCCGCAAAAACTTTAACCTTGCCCATACCTTTTGATTGGTTGGAGCTATGGCTTTCATATTTCACTTGTGTATTCCTTTGACAAGATCTTTCTTTGGGTAACATCATTTTTTACCTTGACCTTGGAGTTTTACCCAGTTTTGCAACATTTTACCCAACTTTAACCTTGGCCATAACATTTGAATGGTTAGTGCATATTTCAAATGTGTATTTTTTATGAGAAGGCCTTTCCTTGGGCACTATTAATTTTGATCATTTGATCTTGACTTTGATGTTTGACTTAATTTTAAAAAACTTACCCTTTTCCATGTCTTTTCAATGGTTGTTGCCAGGACTTTCATATTTCACAGGTATATTCCTCGAGACAAGACCTTACTTTGGGTACCAACATATTTGATTTTAATTTGAGAAAAGTTTAACCTTCGCTCTAAGTTGCCATACGGGGATTCAGTGTTTCTCAAACACATCTTTTTTTTTTTATTAAAAGTGACAATCAATTAAACAAGAAATATTAATAACATATACTTGTATAATATAAAAGATTTTATCCCTTTTGACGTGTTTTTATGCCCCCGGATCGAAAGATCCCGGGAGTATATTGTTTTTGTCCTGTCTGTCTGTTTGTCTGTCTGTCTGTTGTCAACTTTAATCTTGCCCATAACTTTTGATTGGTTGGAGCTATGACTTTCATACTTCACATGTGTATTCCTTGAAAACGACCTTTCTTTGGATACCATCATATTTGACCTTTTGACCTTGGAGTTTGACCCACTTTTGCAAAATTTTATGAGACTTTAACCTTGGCCATAACTTCTGAACAGTTGGTGCTTGGGGAAACTTCTCATGTGTATTCCTTGTAACAAGACCTTCCTCTGGATATCAACCTCTTTGACCCTTTGACCTTGACCTAGGAGTTTGACCTACTTTTGAAAAACTTTAACCTTGGCCATAACTTTTGAACGGTTGATGCTAGTGCTTTCATACTTCACATATGTAATCCTTGTGACATCACCTTCCTTTGAATACCAACCACTTTGACCCTTTGACCTTGACATAGGAGTTTGACCTACTTTTGAAAAACTTTAACCTTGGCAGTAACTTTTGAATGGTTAATGCTAGTGCTTTCATACTTCACATATGTATCCTTGTGACATCACCTTCCTTTGGATACCAACAACTTTGACCTTGACCTTGACGTTTTACTTACTTTTGAAAAACTTTAACCTTCGCCATAACTTTTGAACAGTTGCAGCTAGTGCTTTCAAATTTCACAGGTATTTTTCTTGAGACAAGACCTTTCTTTGGGTACCAACATTTTTTATCTTTTGGCCTGGATTTTGACTTGCATTTGAGAAACTTTAACCTTCACCATAAGCTGCCATACGGGGGCATCAGTGTTTCACAAACACATCTTGTTTGAAATTCTTATTTTATTTAAGGTTTCTTGAGCTTGAGATGCATATTTTTGTTATATAATTGTTCTGAAGTGAAAAATAAATTTTCTATTCGTAAAACTAAGTTATCGTTATGTATTTCAGAACAAGAATTTCCCGAGGGTTTGTTGGGTATATCTTAATTCATTCATATTTATAAATTTTTGAGTGTATTTCTGTGCGTTTCTTACGTCAAAGGTTTGAGAAGTAATTATATATTTGAGTAGCACGTCTCAGGGTCATTTCCTCTAAAAATTCTATTGCGAACCATGATTTTAGCGGGGTTAAAGGTACGTGGATTTTTGTTGTTGGTTCTGCTTAAATTTTCTTAACTTAGGGTGGGTCTGGGAAGGAAAGAAATTGGCAAAACATATTTTCTAATATTACATTTTAAAAGAAATTGATTTTAATTTAGCTATTATCAAAAGAAAAATGTTAGTAGTATAAAATTTAAAGTTTAGAGTATGATAATACGATACTTACAGCAATCTAGAAGACACTTCTTTTTTTCTTTATGAGAAAGCGGCACGACATCTCTTCTCTCGAGTTTGGTAGGGATAATAAAAACAGGTAGAAGATATAAGATAATACAACATAAGAAATTAAGTGAGGAAAAAAATAATTCTGGTCCAAATAGTAAACTAATCTCTATCAAACTATGTTTCATAAGGTACCAGTTTAATTGCAGATCATCATAAATATTTGAACTGTATTTAAACAACTTATCTCTTGTCACTTAAACAGCAATTCCAATTAAATTAAGATCACGTGGTTGGAGAATAGCTTACAAAATGAGAGCAGGTCTTGTCTTCTCTTAGTTTTTCCTTAGATAACGAATAAGTTCACTGTGGGAACATTTACTCAGTGAAATAATTTTTCTTGACAAGCGACGGAAATTGAAAGCAATGATGTACAAATTTAGATGTAATAATCAAGATTTATGCTTGAGTGATTTCCAGCATGTTTTAACACATTAACGTTTGATACCATCTGTATTTACCGTTAATTAAGATCAGGGACGGTTTTGTTGACGTGGGAAGTGGTATAAAGTATCTGGAATCCGCTGAGGAATCAAGTTCAACATAAATCAGGATGAGGAACTTCCTGATATGGAGTATATTAACACTTTTTAAATCAATAACAGGTAAGAATAAATCAATTTCATATATATATAACCTTACATACGAGAGAAATAAAACGTCAGGTTTTCGTGTGAACAATTTAAAAAAGAAAAAGATATCTTACTTGAAATTTAAACTTAACAGTATTTGAATCAAATATCGAAATACGTCATATCAATTACATTTTACATTTTTAAAACAAATTATGCACAATGGAAAAACGTTATGTAATTCAATATGCGCCAATTGCATATAACATCAATTTTTGAACCAACTGAGTTTTAATATCATTCTTTTCATTTGATAATTTCCACGGTTTATTTCCTGATGTTTGGTTAGAGAACTTGCAAAACTGCACTATATAATGTTAAGAATTTTGTGGTCAGTCTTACCATGAAATTATGAGTCAACCAGGATTTGTTTATATTTAGTTCATTTTTTTCTTTAAAATGTCAGTGTATTTCCTTTTCTCCTGGAAATACTGGCTATCAAAATTACATATTATCGACAATTTTATGGTGATATGGGTTTTGCTTAAATTTCAGATATTTAAAAGAAAACGAACGAAACTTGATTTTTATGAAGTACCTTTTTTCATGTCCAGAATACAAATATCTGTAATTATTCGTTATTCGGACTGTTTTTAGAACAAGCCCATGATGTGTTCTACGTGTTAAGAATATGACATTCATTTTTATCTGTCGATGACATTTCATGATTACTAAGGGAAAATTATTTTTTTTTGAAAATTCATCACATGACATTTCAAACTAGTTTGAAGAAAGACATATATATTTACAATGTAAAATTCTAAGTAAAATGACTTCCCGGTATTGTAATATAATTACCATTATCATAGAATGTTAAATGGAATATTCAGTTGTGTTGTTTATCATGAAACTCAAAAAAATAAAATAAAATAAAGAACATATATAAATAACACAAATAAACAAAAGAAGAAAAAAATAACACAACGTTAACATTTTCTTTACCAGGTCAAATGCTTCCTCCATTCTTCTTTCCTCCAAGCTTTGTTCGTCACGAATTTCCGGAAGGAATAAATATACCTGGTGTGGACCCATCTTGCCCTCCACCTATGCATTGTCGTCTTATCCGAGACCCAGATTGTATACAACCTCAGTTTACCATGATTAATGGACGGAGATGTCCGATTTGTCCGAGGAACAGTTGTACTGATCCACCTACCCCTACAAGACAGAGGGAGGAAAATATAGCTACTTCGAACACTGTAAGTGATGGCAACGTGATAGAAAATACTGATCAAAGGACAACAGAACAGAATAGGAGATCTTCAAGTTCAACTTCGTCATCAACACGTGTTGTAATTGGAAATGAGCGAGGAGTACTTATACGAGTTGATTCTCCCCCATCCCGTCGACGTCCTGCATCTAGTTCTCGAAGGAATCCGCAACGACCTACTTCTCGAAGGCCCCCAGGACCCCCTTCTTCTCGAAGCCCTCCCGGACGTCCTCGCCGTAAACCCTCTAGAGGTCCTCGTCGTAGACCCTCTAAAGGACCACAGAAACCAAACAATGCACCACCAAATTCTCAAAAGCAGCTTCCTCAGGTTGAAAACCAGAAGGATGCTCATACTCTTTTCCCATTTGATATTCTTGGTGACAACAAAATAAGTGAAACGAAAAAACAAAATGAACAAAAGAATTCAAATCCTATTCCGAAAAGCAACGTTCTTGAAAAGTCGGATGCAGTAAAGCCTGAAAGTACACCAGTTCCTTCACATGGAAAGCGAACTGAGAGGCAAACAAGACCTTCTATCCGTTTGATTTTCCAAGGTCCCCCTTCAGAAAGAAATGAACAATCTAACCAAAACCAGCGAAACACACAATTACCAAACCGTGTGGCACCTTCTGGAAACAATGTCTTAACAAATAGAATGCCTCTTATAAGGTTCCCTTTCCCTTTTCTAGGTATACAAGGGTCTCCTTTTACAAGAGTTGTGCAGCGAGGCTCACAAGGTAGACAAAATAACAACAGAGAAACTGGTCATGCAAATAGCAACGGACAACCGTCGAATCAACACGCTCATGTTATCCATGGTATGCATCCCTTGATGCAAATAGCTCTCTTAAATCGAGCAAGATTTATGAACCAAAATGCTGCAATTCGTCCTTCTAGCACAGCTGCTCCAGATGCTTCGTCAAACAATGCTGCACAACCTACGCCTTCGAGAAATAATAATATCCAAAATTTTTTACCTCCATTCCATTTATTCAATCCCGCACTAAATCAGAATGCTGCAAATAGATTGACAAACAATGTTCAACCTAACCAGGTCTCCAATACAAATTCTGAGCCATCGGTCCAGACAGTTAGTCCTGATCAACAAGCAGAGATAAACAGGTGGTTAGAGCAAATGGCAATGCCTATTCAACAGTCCCTAGGCGAACCAAATGCACAGCCAAGCAGTCAAACACAGCCACAAGTAAACCAGAACCAATGGTTGAACCAAATGGCACAACAAGTTCAGCAGATGTTAGGAAATGGTCAGCCACCGAATCAACAGACACCGCAAATGCCGGCTGCTGTCCAAGCTCAGTTTCAACAACGATTGCAACAGATGGCACTTCAACAACAACAGCTTCTAGCTGCTAGGCAATCAGCAAATCAGGTGACTTCACAGGGCATGCCATCCAATCGGATACCGCCTCAGATGCCGAACTTTAATCCACTTCAGAACTCTGCCTTAAGAGGGACAATCACAGCTGGACCAAATGTCGCAAACCAGCCAGTGACACCACAAAACAATGTCGGTGGGACCAATGCTCAATTTACCCAGTGGTTAGAGAATGCTTCCCAGCAAATCTGGGAACAATTAAGTGGTGGTACGAATTTCAGGTCACAACCAAACCCTAGTCCCCAAGTAGTGGTAAATCCACAACAAACTGTAAACAATTCGCCTCCACCAAATGGAGGAGTTAACCAATTAACTGTTGACAATTGGTTAAATAGTATGGTACAGCCAATCCAACAAGAACTCGGTGGAACTCCTGGTAACAACCAGGAGGCGCCCCCTGGAGGAAATGACTTAGCTGGAAGTACTTGGTTCAATAATATGTTAAATCCAATACAACAGGGTTTGGGAGGAGTTTAGTTCCCGAAAAATCATTTCGAACTTTCAGCAACAACCGAAACAGTTGAGTAATCACATTATTCATGTAACCATGTATATTGTTATGATAGTAAATTTAAACTTATATATGATATTGCGATAACAATGAATATTTCGAAATGTCTCACAAGTTCTTTTTTTAAATAAGTTTGTATAATTGCACAGAGCTGTGAAAAATCTCAAAGTGATCTGACCGTCCATAGTTATATGTACTATTTAGTTCATTGTAATGTCATGTTTAACATGTATCCAGGTTTTTACTTACGCTGTTACGATTATTGTTTGACTACCATTTTCTGTACATAGTTGTTTTAAAATAATTTATATGGGGTTGTTACAAATTAAATAATTTTGAAAATCAATGATTTTGCAATCTTCTTTTTGTTGATAATGTACATGGTCTATTTGTTTCTATGACCTAATTCTGTCAACGATCCTGGCTTCTGACTTAGGCCAGTGCATTGGTGTTGAACCAAGGTAAATCAAAACAAATTGACAATTTTCCACTGTTTACAATGATTCCTTTACATGAAAAAAATAACTCCATTCAAATGAAATTCAAATTTTTTCTCATGTCTTGTGTAAGCCGATCTGGTTTTATATTCTTATGAAGCAGAATACACTGTATTCAAAAATTTATTCATGAAAATAGGAAAACACTTGCTGTGCCTTTAATTCGACATTTAGATATATCGACGACGTTTTATTCATTTAAAACAGTTATTTTTATTCATATTTCGACTCGATATATCCCAGTTAACTCATATTAAAAGACAATGCAGTCTGACACGTCTTGTTTGACTTTAGCCGTTAACCGCCAACTAACACTTCACTATGTGACAAACGATGGCTTCAGCTTTTTCATTGTCAACTCCCCCTATTTATGCAGTAAGTTCTAATGTCATCTGTGTATGGTGTTTATGTCTCCCAACTGATTCGATAGGCGAGAACATGTTCTGAGAACAATCAATTTCAACTGACAAATAAGTTGATGTGACAGGGTTATGAACAAACTCGTTTAAAGTCAGCATTTGGAAACTGGACGATATAACGACCTTGTTTGCAAATTCAGCATATTGTTGGGTCGTATTTTGATTGACATGTTTCAAACTAATTGTTAGGCCATTGAGTTTGTAATAATTTTGACTAAGAATTGTTCCGTTTACCTGATCAATACAGAGAGATCACAGTGGAATTAATTGGTCGACAGGGGATGCTGCTTCCATATAGGCACCTGTTTCAAGGGGCTCAGTGTTTTTGCCATTTTCATGATTCGTATTGTTCGTATTGTTTACTGTATTTAAAATCACAGTTCGTTATTTTCATCCTTTTTAATATTCATGCTAAAAAACGATAAGTTCATTTATATTTTACGATGCAATAATAAATCAATATCGTAAAATATCTTTTAAAAATATCCCCTTTTCTATGGCATATTAAACGTTGCAATATTCGATCTTTACTATTTGTATTGTATAATCTTCCATTTGTATTGTATTATTTTATTCATACTCTATAATCTTCCATTTGTATTGTATTATTTTCCATTTGTATTCTAAAATTTTCTATTTGGATTGTATAACATTTATTTGTATTGTAAAAAAAAATCATTTGTATTTTATATTGTGTATCTTTTTATTTGTATTCTATATTTTCCATTTGCATTGTAGAATTTCTTATTTGTATTGTATAATTTCTTATCTGTATGCGATAATTTTTACATTTGTATTGAAGGATTGATTATTTTTTTGTTACGAAGGATTTCATTGGTCAAGTTTTAGCCTTTATGTAGCATAGTGTCCAAACAAGCGAGATGTTTCGGGTGAACTGGGCTCCTATGCTAAGGGACGGTCATTTAATTCTCAAGGGGGAGGGGGGGGGGCTGTTAAATTTTGTCGAATTAGATTATTTATTTTCATGATCTTGCAGGAGAGAATATTTATGTCCAAGATGACCAGAGACAAGGAGAAGAAGAAAAAGAAGAAAATCTGCCGAAACCCGAAAACTCCATTTCTTTAAAGGGGTGTGGGGGGGGGGGGGAGGTACCACCAGTCAGGATCAAATTATTTATTTTCTCATTCTCTCAGACATTTTTAAGGACAGATTATTTATTTGCCATCTGCCAGCGCTCCCTTTTCATCTAAATGGCCGTCCTCTAACATGCACGCAAATACATATAGGAGCCCAGTTTGCTTTGAGCACTCGGAACATCTCGCTCATTTTCAACACAATACAGTAAAAATCTTGACCAAGGAAATCCTTCGTAACGAAATAAACAATCCTCGGATACAATTCAAATAAGAAATTTTGCAATACAAATAAGAAATTGTACGATGCAAGTGGAAAATATAGAATGCAAATGAAAAATTATACAATTAAAATAATAATTTTTACAATACAAATGGAAAATATAGAATAAAAAAATTATACAATACAAATGAAAAATTATAGAATATAGATGGAAAATTTAACAATGCATATTGAAAAAATCGAATATTGCAACGTTTGACTTGCCATACTTTTCTTTAATTTAAATGCAAATTTATGCAAAATATCATTTGCTAAACATCCATGTTTAATTTATTGTTATTTTCTAACAAATCTGACTTTCTCCGCTTGATTACTCGAATTGAAAATAGGGCTGTAACATGAATAGATAAAATTACCTAAAAATCTCTTTTTTTTGTCATGAAGATGCTTATACATCTTTGAAGAGCAGAACAGGGGGCCTATCCCAATTTCATTATCGATAGTCAAATACAATGTAAAAAGGGAAGAGGATAAACTCGGAAATGGTGTTGCTAGCCAATTTTCTAATTGCACCTTGTTAATGAGTATATAATTTTATAGCATAGATTTTGGTTGATAGGTATAAATACGATACGTACAGTAACAGATGATTCACTCAATTCAGTGGTCCGGGGTACAACATAGGAGTGCAGACTTTATCAGACTATTACTTATAGGTTATTTGAACTTATTATCTAAACTGCATTGTGATATTAATAGACCATTTATTTACATGTCACTTTCCTGTTATCAAACAGAGCAGTAATATTCGCTTTTGTAATCTAAAATACTTTCAACTTCTGTTACGAACGGCAAAGTTTTGAAGAAAATGGATTTTGTTTTTAAAATATCATTTATAGATATGGACTTCGATGGACAAGTATGAAAACTTTTCTACTATTACTTTTAAAAACGTATATCAATCAAAGTGCTTCTTCCATATAATTATTTGAAACATGGCCGTGATAGAAATCATTGAAAGTGTATTGGACTAAGCATTCGAATGTCGAAGAAAGTGTACGTGTAGCAAAACCTGGTAGAAAACGCTTTAAAAACTAAAAAGGGTTTCCGATGCATGCAATTTGCACGTATCCTTGAAAACAATGTTGATACCTACAATACGAGATTAAACGTCCGAGAAAAGTGACGTGTGAAAATATGAGATAAGGAAAATTTTGTGTTTTGAACCCTATTTTGTGTATTACATAGTACTGTGATTTTTATCAATTTATCATTGCAGGAACATCACTGACTTAAATAAGAGGGTTTCATAGCTTTATATTTACTTACCTTTCATATACCATTCGTGCTTTTTGAGTTCAAAGCTTTTTTTTAAAAAAGACATGTCCAGTCAATGAAAACAACCCACTTCATGAATATTAATATTAAGACTTTAAAAGTCATACATCATATTAAAACACATGATCATCCAATGACTTTTTGGTTTTACATTAACATTATTAACGTGGCAGGTCGATAATAAGTGTGTTAAATTGTTCTAATAATATTATTTCTATTGAACATTTACGCATGATTATCTTCAAAATTCAAAATATTTCTTCATTTGCAATTAACGTAACAAGATCACGATTTCTTAACCATTTTTGTGTTGTAGTTTTTATACTCATTTATTAACATATGTATGTATGTTTATTTTACGATTGTAAATATACAATGTTATAAATTGATTGTCATATATGAAGAAAATATCACATTTTCGCCACTGCGTTAGATACATTACCAATAATAATTTCATAAATGAGAACATTACTGACACAGTATCAAAACAATATGTGTTTGTGAAACACTGATATTCCCTTCTGGCAGCCCAAGGCCAAGTGTTGAGTTTGTAAAATGTAGGTCAAACTGCAAAGTCAAGGTCAAGAGTTCAGAAATGATAGTATCACAGGAAAGGTCTTGCTACAAGGAATACATGTGAAATATGAAAGCCTAGCGCCAACCATTCAGAAAATATGCCCAAGGTTAAATTTGTTCAAAAGTAGGTCATTCTCCAAGTCAAAGTCATGAGGTCAAAACTATTAGTACCGAAGGAAAGAGTCTTGTCACAAGAAATACATCAGTGAAATATGAAAACCCAAGCACCAACCATTAAAAAATTATAGGCAATGTTTAAGTTTTTACAAATTTAGGTCAAACTCAAAGGTCTTGTCAAAAGCAATACACTTGTTATATTTGAAAGCACTACCATTCAAAAGTTAAGGTCAAGGTTAAAGTTTTTCAAAAAAGGTCAAACTCCAAGGTCAAAATGTCAAAAATGTTGGTACTCAAAGAAAGGCTTGATCACATGATATACATATATGAAATACAGAAGCCCTAGTACCAACTGTTCAAAAGTTATGGCCAAGGTTAAAGTTTGGTAAAAAATTGCAAAAGTAAGTCAAACTTGAAGGTCAACGGGTCAAATACATTGGTACCCAAATAAAGGATATGTCACAAGGAATACACTAGTGAAATATGAAAGTTCTGGTCCCAATCATTCAAAAGTTATGGCCAAGGTCAAAAATTTTTCGGACAACCATACAAGCAGATTAAAAAGACAAAAAGACAGAAAGACGGACAAACCAAAAACTATATGTCCCCTAATCTTCAATCAGGTGGGCATAAAAAATAAAAATGAAACAGTCACATCAAAATGATAGTCTTTGTAAAAAAAAATAACTCGTGTAAAGATGTTTTGATTTATAATACTCCTGTCTCACAAAATACAAAATTTGTAAATATATGTATTATGATTATTTCCCAACAACACTGACTGAAACACCATTTACATGAATAACCACAGCTTCACTTTCCTTCCCCAGACGATTCACACCCCTCATGGCGTAGTACCCAGCAGGTACGCTTAATTGTAATGTGTCTCTGTCAAGCACTTTCAAAAGTTCCCATACATCTGCTTTAAAGGTGTAAACTGCCCAAGATCTCACCGTATTTGATGAATCTGAGGACCAATGCAGTTTGGAGTCTGCACTTGCATGAACATTTTGTGGAGTTGATGGTGCAGGCGCTGTTAGCCACGCCATTTCAGGTTGTATAGCAGGCGTTGAATACTCGCCTGATGTAAAAGTATTGGCAATACCATGAGTATTATGCGAAAATATTTTTGCACTGAAGAAAATATTTCCTAGACTGAGGTGATCACGTCGGTCACGTGACAGTCCAACTTGTCGTTCAATCTCACTTACTGACCACGATTTGGTCTGGACTCCACTGGCGTAGTTTCCGGCATACACATGACGATTCATCTTGTTCTGTTGTAGCCACCAGTCCAGCAGCACAGGATAACTCTGCTGTGGTGGATCTATTTTCCAGTAGAGCTGCGGCGTCAGGTAATCTACCCATCCTAACTCCAGCCACTTTTTAGAATCTGCATAAAGTGAGTCATAACTGGACAGACAGCGGATCGTTGGAGGATGGGCGGATTTCCAGATGCCAAATGGACTGATGCCAACCTTGACATGAGATTTAATGGATCTTACTGAAGTATAAATTCCTTGAACAAGAGTGTTTACACTATCACGCCTCCAATCCGCCAATGATAGCTGACCACCTCCTGAAATGTAAGCGCTATATGTGTGAGAATCTGGAAAGGGTACACCGGATACTGGGTAAGGGTAAAAATAGTCATCCATGTGAACGCCATCAATGTCATACCGAGTAACTACATCTCGAAATACAGAGAGAATAAAATCTTGAACAACTTTAGCACCGGGATCCATCCATAGATTATGACCATACGGGTAAGTATATTGTGGAAATCTGTGTGCCATATGATTATGTGCCAATCCGGATGTCGAAGAACTCCCACTTCTAGCTCTGTAAGGGTTAAACCAGGCATGTATTTCCATGTTTCTTCTATGAGCTTCCTGCACAGCAAATTCTAGAGGATCATAATAGGGACTGGGTGCTTTCCCCTGTTTTCCCGTTAGGTAGTAACTCCAAGGTTCTAAAGAAGAGTTGTACAAAGCATCCCCGGATGTTCTCACCTGTAATACAATGGCGTTAAAATTGTCCTCCTGGAGTTTATCTAACATAGTAATTAGTTCGTTTTTCTGTTGGGAAGTTGTCAGGGAGTGAGATGATGGCCAGTCTATGTTGGCGACTGTTGCTATCCAGGCCCCACGGAACTCTCGCACAGGCCAAAGGGATCCATCTGTAAACAAAGTCGGGTTCGGCATTACTTTGTAAACACTAGGTAAAGCAATATTTCCGAACAAAGTGATTTTCATGCTAAAAAAGCTTTACTGTAACACATAAGGTTACAAACCCTGAACTGTGAAACAAAAAGGAAAGCCGAGGACAAGGAGAATTAGAGTGGACATCATTCTGTAAAGAAATAATGTGATAAATGTCTTTATTTGTCAGTTTTTACTTCCTTGTTTGTGATTCTTCCCACTACATGTACAGCCCATCTATAATGGATTTTATTTACTTCCTGCTCTCGGGTTAATGTTGATAAGTGACGTCTTATTACAGAATTTTGAGTGTCGTCAGTTTTGAATTCAATTACATGCACACTTTCCTGTCATGGTATGTGTACATAATTCATTTAGTGTTTGTATTTGTATGAAATTTTGAAGTTTTGGAATAAAACATATATCAAACTCCGATGTTAGTCTTTGGAGTTGTTCTTTGCCTAATATATGTACAAATGTACATTTACATTCACTTTATGGTTGACATTCCAAGGTATATATTTCTGACGAAAAAACAAGAGAATGTGGGTGAAAATCTCTTCAAGTTTTTTGTAGATGAAATAAGACTTACATTCTACAAGGTGTATCCACTGCCCGGTAAACAGTGGTGAGGGAACCGAGCAATATTTCATACTACGATATCATCAGATAAGGCTCTTAGACTAGATAGTGATGACCTTGTATTTAACCAGGTAATCAAAGAAGAATGTTTATATAGCAGTTTTGCGCTGCCTTCAAGTTTGGCTTAAAAGTATATAATTCTGATTGTGAGTTAATACTATTTTATAGTAGTTTGACCCCTGTATAAAACATAGGAAAGGTCATTGAATAGTCTGAAGATCTTCTAGTTCACACAAACACACACACACACACTGTTAGGGTGTTGGAGTCTTCTTAGATCCTCTTATTTTTTAAAAAAATACTTTATTGAACAAATCTTGAAGTTCATGTACGACACGTTGAAGGAACAATAACTCCGATTTCAGAGTCCCGATGAACGAGCAGAATGGTATTAATCGTTCGTGCAAAGAAAATGTACCAGTATTTGACCGATAGCAGAATATATTATGCGTTCTTGAGTAGTGACGTCGTTTCTAGGGATTTTGTTCAGATCGATGACCTGAAATGCTACAAGTTATTGACAATGAAGAGATACAATGTGTGAACTATGAGAATGTGTTTGAAATGACGTGGAAAATATCATACCACATAGATGTTAAAACATAGATGTTTTATTATGATTAAAGTTTACATTAAAAGATATATATTTTCAATCAAATCCCATAAGACCTGTAATTTATTTGGGCTCTGTTCGATTTTCAAAAATCACTTAAACACCAAGTAGAAATTGAAATTGTTCATTTATTGATTAAATTACGTAGAAGAGTGGAATAACCTAATCTAACAAAATAATCCGGATGTAGAAAAACATTTACATGTATTACCACATCCGGACTGCATGTAAAGATATTCTACTTCAAGATGTAAAAATACAAATTATTATGCGAACATGATACTATTACATAATATATTTGAAATTTTGCAACTGAAAATCAATGTTGGGGAATAAAAAAGTTAAAATACACTAGTTTTTACCACAATAAATCCCAGACATTGTAGAACAACTTTATGTCAAGGCGTGAGACTGGTCGACAGGGGAAGCTTACTCCTCCTAGGCACCTGATCCCACCTCTGGTGTTTCAAGGTGTCTATGCTCTGTCCACGTGTTGTGTTGTTTACAACATTTACAAGATCGATGATATTGATCTCAGTTTCTTCATTTTTTGAACTTACATGTATCAATAAAACGGCCACGTGCCACATCTACAGAAGCAAGACTAAAAGCATGCATCCAAGATGCAAAGTGTACTTGCAGAATTGGCTACAGCCTCACTGTTTCTTGGGAATGGAACTATTCCAAAAATATTAACCTGGTCACTTATCTAGAAAATATAGAACATAAACAGAATGCGAAACTCATCTAACAGTATACATACTTATTGTCATCTATGCAAAAATAATAACTACGTAGGTATAATTTTGTGAATCCCTGGTCGCTCATCTGGAAAGCCTGGGTTACTTTTCGCATACAAAACCTACATCTGCAATTTTACCATTAGTAGTCTAAAACAATCTTAGCGTTACATGTACTACTCTATAACAAATTCAATTCTTAAAATCCAAACTGTTAAAAGAATTTAATAACAAGCTTTCTTAAGGAACCACACAATTTTTGAGGGGGAAATCTTGGATAGAGATCAAAAGCTGAAAACCTTATATTTCATCTACATGACATGGCCAGCCATGTGCAATTCTGCGGAATCACATTTTCTGTTCAATCCATGGGTAGAAATTTACGCCGATTTCTTATATTGTCATTGTACTGTTTAAATGTACTTTTATTACGTTGTGGCAAGTTTCCGCGGAAAATTTGTGACCGCGTACATCGCGAAAATCAATCCCACGCGGAAAAAAGTTTGTCTACAGTATAGGGAGAAGCCATGACAATGAAGTGAGACAACATATGGGTTGGGATAACAACAATACATTAAAAAGTTATAATGATAAAAATAAATCTTAAAAAGTGTGCAAAATTACCATTGTGTTGCATATGCATAAATTTTTGTTCTTCGCCTTTTCTCTTTTCACCTTTGCGTAAAATCTCTGCAGTTTATTTTTATTTGGTAGACATCTTTATTAGTAATGCAGACGTATATTACTTTCATGTAACACATTTACAGGTGTTAAGTGTTATCTATTAGATAACATACATACTTTTTTATGCAAATATTTCTAACCCATTGAGGTCAATATCGTTTATCGCTTGAAACCACCGTGGTCTTTTTATCAGCATATTACCTGTACTTCCGGATTGTTCCAATTCAACTGGTTGACAAACATGACCGAGACGAGTCAGCCCCGGCGTCCGTCACTGCCGTCCAGAGACAAGTGGCGATTTGTGGCGTCCGACAAGGAGTATTCTGTGGAGGAATTCTATTCTATGTTTCATACTACTTTTCCTTGTGTTTCCATTGTTACCCAGGGTTACTTTGGCGATATAGGGATTGAGGTGATCGGTAAAGAACAGGTAAAGCTTTCATTTGCATGTAGTATTAAATATAAATCCTTAACTTGTTAAATCAATTATTGGAACAGAAAACGATAAGTGGAAAATATTAATAATGTAAATTGAAAAATAAATACAAATTCGCAAGATGTATGTAAAAACATATATATTATTAGTGTATATTTGTTAGGTAGCATTTAAAAAAAAAAAAAAATCCAGGAATGCCGTTTGACAACAGATGTGTCAAAACATTTCTCTTGAAATTATGGAAACTCGTAGCATACATGCAATCTATAACCACATATTATTACTGATTATTACTGACATTTTAATTTCATTTGCTTACTGTCAATCGCATTTTCCTTAGCGATTCCTATTTGTTCGTGGATTAAGTACTTAGTACTTTTTTTTAATTACAATTTCAATAATAAAAAAAATATTTTAGTACTCATTGTTTTCCTATCATTGCCAGTTTCTCCTTTTTTTTCGCGGTAAAGGCGTAATCTTAATATAAAACATGCATATGAGCTCAACACACCAGAAATATGAAAATTTTATTTAGTAATATTTAGGAAAAAGTGTACCACTGACATCAATCCATTGTCATAAATCATAATTTTTAAATTAGAAAATGGAAATGCCTGTTATTATGATCAACAGTAACTGTAAGTGAAAGGAAATTGGATAATTGTATATCAATTATAAGAATTTTCATTAAAAAGCTTCTGCGAAGCAAAACAACAACCTCTGAATTATTTCCATAAGTTGTTCTCCCTACAAAAGTAAAACAGTTATTCACCTCTTAACCAGGCATTCATATTAATTTCAGGCAATATACATCCAGAAGTTAAGCAGACAACAACGAGTTGTGGCTGACATTATTTCTGGGGAGGAGAAATGTCAGATTTCTATACCCACGGCTTATAGGGCCAGGTTCTGTGTTGTGGAGAAGCATGGAAAATGTAAGTTTCTTTGTGCAAGAAAAAAACTTTTAAGCATGCGAGTTTTTAGCTCAAAATTTTCTGTAGATTTTTTTTAATCTACAGAACTTAAAGGATTGCCAAAAAATTGTAGCATTTATATTTGTGTATGGAGAACCTTCAATGTGCTTTAAGTGTTTCCCTGTTAACTTTGTGTTTCTGAGCAAGAAAAAATGTAATGACCAGAGCTTTTTTCGCTCCACAGTCGCCTTGTCATCTATTGTCTGTTTGTTATTATGTTTTACCCACATGTTTGATGGCAGGCAGAAGTTTAGGGTATTTTTGTGTATTTTTTGTGATCTTATGATGTTTATAAGGGGGTCAACTTGAAATACGTGTACATGTATACTGTTCCTTGTGAAAGACTACAGGGTTTGAATTATTATTCTAGTATGGTTGACCTCCTTATTCCTATGTATATCATATTTCAATGTCATTATGGTGCTGGGGGTCAGATTTTGCAATATTTTGCCTAAGACCTGTAATACTCCATACTTGAGTCCCCCTTTCTGACCCCCAATTTGGTAACTGTTTTACTTCTTTTCGTCATTTACTTCAATAAATGACGTTTCACTTCTACATGATGTTATTTGTTTCTACCTATACTTTTAAAAAAATCAAGCTCAGTCGTTTGGCAGGAGAACTAATGTTCATAAATGTGATATTGCCAAAATCCAATTTGCCCTATCAGTGCTTCATATTTATTATATTCAAAAAAAAAAAAAAAAAACAAACAAAAAAAAAAAAACAACAAACAAACAAAAAACCATGAATAGAAACTGAAATTCAAAATCAATGAATGAAACTAAGACTTGTAAAATACATTTTAATATATGCACTTGTTGGGCATTTGTTTGCTATCTGCACAGCTGATGCATACTGATATATTTCTTTGCGATATATTTCTAAATACGACGATACACTGTATTTGTTTTGCCCTGATTTGGACACAACCGGGGTCTTGTAGTGTTCGTCTTCCATCCTTCCGTCTGTCTGTCCGTCACACTTAATTTGCGTCTAGCTCAATAAGAAAATGTTCAATATAAATTCACAGACTGTTACATACTGGCGAGAGTTATTAAATTGTGGCATCACTTTCTGATCTTGATCTTCCCTGTGACGTTGATCTCACTTATTCCATAGTTTGTCTTTATCTCAGTTTTAAGGTAACTATTGAAGATATTTTCATACAAAACATGGATACATATTGGTGAAAACTTTTCAAATAAGTCAATATTTTCTGACCTTGACCTTCCCTGTGACCTTTACTGTTTAGCTCAGTTTCAAAGCAACTTTTGAATTTTTTTTTCTAAACATTTACGCTGATACATATTAATGGGAGCTATTCAACTATGTTCTAATTTTCTGACATTTACATTTCTTGGGAACTTAATTGACTCTATTATCTAACTAAGTTTCAAGAAATAGTTCAAAATATTTTCATCAAACTTCATACAAAGAAAGAAATCAATGGTGTCATTGGTTTCTGACCTTGACCTTCTTTGTGAACTTGACATCACTAAAAGAAAAAAAAATCTTGAAGATAACGAAGAGTGATCGATTAAAAAAAACCCAGTACAAATCAGTCAACAGAGCATAAAACACAAACCCCTCAGAAATTCCAGAAGTGGGATCAGGTGCCTAGGAGAAGCAAGCATCCCCTGTCGACCAGGCACACCCGCCCTGAGCCCTATGCATTGATCAGGAAGATGATATATTCTGTAGCCATATTTAGTATAAAAACAAAGGCCTTAAATTTGGTAAGAAATATGTCAGTGAAATAAAAACCTAATGATAGATAATATTTCTTAACAATGTCATTATAACGACCATATAATTTTAGTTATGCTGACTTTAAACGAGGTTGTCGAAATTTCTTTAACATAAACTTATCTGTCAGTAACCTGACTCAGTTTAGAACTTGATCGTACTCAGAGCATGCTCTTGAGAATCAGTAAGTTGTGAAACAAACACCATATGCAAGTGATAGCGGAATATTGCTTCATAAATAAGAAAAAGTTGACGATGGAAAAGCCAAAGTCATCTCGTTTGTCATACAGTTTAGTTGTCAGTTGGCCCATATCGTATATAGTCGGTAAAACATCCAAATATAAAACAGATGTGGCAAACCCTGATGTGTCTTTCATTCCAAGTTCACTCGCATTTATCGAGTCGACATATGAATGGCAGTAACTTTTTAGTGCCCATCGGAATTCCAACGGTTTGTTGGAAGACTTAGTCTCCACAGACTACAAAGAAACTCCAGGATTCTTTTAATATCAACTTCAGAGTATTTGTGTGATTTTTAACAGTCATTTTGTTGCTGACAAATCACAAGATGTGAAACTCTCCGACTTCCATTTTAATTGAAGAAGCAGCTGTCTCCGATATCAAAAAGGCTAGTTTTTAATCGTTTGCGAGGAATGGTTGTATAATATGTAGATTGATTGATTGATTGTATTTTACGTCCCGTTCGAGATATCACTCATATAGATACGTCACCATATACCGATGAAGTGCTTCAAATTTAGACCTTTACTCGGCACACAGGGCCGTTCAGCAGTGAGGGGTCTTTATCGTGCCAACGCCTGACGGGGCCCGGTTTTTAAGGCCTCATCCGAAGGATCCGCAACTTTCACTTCAAAGTGTCGAGCGCTTGGCGAAGGAACAGTTGCTGCCTATTTTTTATTGACTTAGGTCAGTCGCGGCCGGGGCTCGAACCCACGACCTTCTGATCATGGAGCGAGCGCTCTACAGAATGAGCTACGTACATGTAGCCGTGACGGTATATAATATGTAGAAAAGTCAGTAACATCAAAACGTATGACTTTTCTACAACATATAGAAAAGTCATACGTTTTGATGTTACTGACTAAAAAAAAGTGTGACTTTAAAATTTCTAACAGTTCTATGGAGTTCTTGAGAATGTACAGTTGATTTTACACAACTTCACAAGTATGTTGTCGCGCACAGTACGTCTGAGGTTGCTCCTTTACGGCAGTTAATATTTTTGTGAGGAATAAAGATAGGGACTTGGTAGAGCAATTGCTGGAGCTGGCAATGTATCTTTGTAAGGATTTTTATGAAGTTTAGGAACCATATACCTTTGTTGACTGAAATGTTAAAAGTATTAAAGACTGAAATGTGCTTTTGAGGAATTTCATCCCTAGAAAGTGAACTGTGAGTATAAGTTGGATTTCCAGATGTAGAGTTAAACCAAGTTCTTCTAAAATACAGGATAATAGTGAGCCTTACAAACAAAGATGATATTGCTACAATACTCGTCTGATGAAATCATAACATATTGTTGATGTAGGCTTTCGAATTCTTTTAAAACCTCCGATTTAGTGAACACGGAAGGATAGATGGCTCGCATATTGCCTTTTTACTTTTTAACACAATTTTTAAAAATATTTCTAAAAAACTTAATCCATTCTGATAAAATATTCAGGTCTACTCTTCATATTTCGCCCAACGTTTGCATAATCTTCGACATTATTCTTAATTAAAATACAGTTCTGTCGCCAATTTTTAGATCGGGCTCTTTATATTAAGGATCTTTTAAAATGACTGCTGTAAGGTCGTCATATTCAACTATATGAACATCACCAGTAATGACGTGTCAAAAGGGACCATAGTTGATAAAAGAGGGAGAGCAAGAACACTAAACAGGATTTGGTTTAAGATATTCATATCTAGACACTGTAAGGTTTATTTGTAATTAAAAAGTAGGAAATGCGGGGTGTAGGCTTCAGCCTGAAATATCATGGAATGCCAGAGTGTTTTTTTTTAGGATGAAGAATGTAAATAATGTTCCCAGCATCTTTTTCTTTGTTGGCCAATTTAAGTTTCAGGAACCAATGGAAAGAATTTGAATTATTATGTTGCGAGACACCTGGCGGCTCAAAGAGTCTGTGCTGAACAATATTCATAATCAAATGCACTAGCCTGTATTCTGCAGTTTAAGAATCCAAGTATGGACTTGTGAAAGTTTTAAATGGTCTATTCGAAAAGGCTAAGGAAATCCGCCACTTTTTACGGAGGAGAATACTGCTAAACTAACTAATTTGTTTCTTAAACTTAAAAGAAACGACTCGGTAAATATTAGTAATGTTCTTAATCACAAAAGGGTCCATGTATTCCACCATATCTCAAGTACACCTTTTATTTCTTATGAATATTCATCGACTATTACTTCCAAACTTTTTAATTATATAAAAAAAAATCCTCAGTGCCTAGTTATAGAACATCCATAACATAATCCTACCACGTGTTTATGTTTTTCTCTTCTCTTCCTAGTCCGAAATATCTGACGTTTTCCTGTTTTTTTTTTCACGATTTTGATATTTTACGTGCAAGGAAAACGTCAGAACAGGCGCCATTACAAAAACTGTAAATTTCGCCGTCTCCAACCGGAGCTGATTTTCGATACTTGCAAACTGAATTAAATTAAACTTACAATTTATCAATAACACAATGCTTCTAATACTCACCAATATCGATGAAAAGAAAATATCACTCTCTACATTTCGATACAGGTCTTGCAAGATTTTAAAATGCACGAATTGAAAACAAAACTCGAGGGTCTGAAAAAATGTTTTCACCGGACTGTATATTTTATAAACAAACCATAAAAACGATTTTGATGAGTACTAAAGGCATTGTTCTATTGATAAGTTGTGAATTCAGCATTAATTCGGTTCGCAAGTATCGAAAATGAACCCGAGAATGTCGCCTCCAGTTGGAGGCGGCGAATTTCCAGTTTTCGTAATGGCGCGGTTCTGACGTTTTCCTGACACGTAAAATATCAAAATCGTAAAAAGCCAGGAAAACATCAGATAATTCGGATTATTCTTCTCCCTACAACTATAGTCTAGTCCTCCTCTACACGTTATTACTGGCGACGTAAATGTAGTTAATAATGAGGATCTTAAATCACGTATTTAAAAGGAACAAACTTTAGGGAACCCTGATCTTCCAAAAGGGATCAGAAGTTCATAATTATTATGAATTCTGTGGAAGATTACGTCAGACGATGGGCAAACATGAAAAAAGAAGACCTTGACACTTTGTCAGAATGGATTAAAAGTATCAGATGGATGTTTGCTTTTTTTCTCAAGATAAGTGTTGGTTTTGATTATTTTTTTTTTCATTTTCATATGTTCACCTTGTGTAATCAGTACTTGAATATTGTTTTTAGACTAAATGAAAGATAATATTTATTCATTTGTGTCTTACAACAGATGCCCTAGTAAGCAATTTCAGTTGTGGGGGATTGGGGGGGGGGGGTGAACCAAACACCAAATAGAAATTCTTTAATAAGCAAAAAAGGTCAACAGACAATATTGTATAGTGTAAATTGGCAAAATAAGGAGTAACGACTCGCAATAAAAGACCATGGTCCACAACAAAAGAGCACTTTATTCCACTACGTAACTAGATGAAAATATTAACATTACAATCACTCTTGAGTTTATCTTTAATGTAATATAACAGTTTTGTTACATTAATTTTTGACAGGCACTAAGGAATATCCTTTGGCTGAGATTCTGCGCTTGCGCAATCTACCATGTGTTGTCCGATTTTCACCGAACAATCAATTTCATCTTGTATCGGTAGAGGGAACAAAAATGGAAACAGACAAACTCCGTTTACGTCTACAAAGGACGTATGAGGAGTTATATTTGGTTGGAAATCCACTTACTGAAAGTAATCATTTGTACAAATGATCCGAACATAGGGCAGAGATTTTAGTACATATTTCGTTTGAGAATGACCCTATATTGTAAAAGTAATGAAAACGTTTGCAGATATTATATGATATGGAATAGTTTTGGATCAAATGTTATCTTAAAGAAAATGCGATATCAACATGTGATATCAACAATATACAGTTAAACTTCGTTATCTCGAAGTTGACGGGACCGTTGATGAACTTTGAGATATCCGGGGGTTCGACATATCGAGGGTTATAATTCAAATGAACTTCAAATAAACTTAGTGCAGTGAACATGCACTTAATAGTAAAAACATGCCGAAATACTTCTTATTTGAAATTCTGTATAAGATTTCTTTAATATACATGTACATGTATTTAGCAATCAAATATTTTTACATCCTCTTTATAATTCACAAAATAAAAGCTTTGTATAATATGCACAGAAGTATAATCCAACGCGGAAAGTCAACCGCTAGCATCGTTTCCCATGTATACATAACCGGATATCGTCTATGCATTGTAAATTTAAAACCGGTCGCTGTCAGAATAACGAAAAACGAAATATACATTTCTTTTATTGGAAAAACATGTTCATGCATGTAAAATCAGTTAAAAGAAAATTATTTTACCATAATAAAATCAAACACAAAAGAAAAATCACGCACTTTTGTCTAACAACAGAACAACACTGAATCACAGGGCACTACAGCACAAGTTTTTACTGCGACACATGCTCACATGATGGTGTGTACGGACGATTGTAAATTCTGCACGCTCACATAGGGAAAATAAATTCTAATTGCATTATATTACAGAATTTTATTTTACTTCGATGTTTATAATTTTCACTTCCATATGCATAAACTATGTATGCGCGCATATTTCACATAGCATTAAATTGCGATTAATTATCAAGATAAACGTACCCAAGCCACAAAACAATGAACGTGTCATCCACGCGTATGCATTAGACTAATACACACAACCTTTGGCTTGCATAATTACAATAAAGGTAAGCCATACATACACTTCGTATAATTATCGCGCTATTATCTGTTGATCCCAGGAACACAGGTAACCCGAGCGTGACAGACAGGTGGGTGTTATCAATAGAGCATTCAGTTTACGTAACGGACTTGATCATCAGAGCGGAAAATTATCCTGACTTCGAGATAACGCATGTGATTTTAATGAATGGGTACACAATTTTACTTCGAGATAACCGGGGTATTCGACATTACCGTGTTCGACATAGAGGGGTTTATTTTAATCATTTATAAAGCAAATTTCGTCGGGACCACGGCCTTACTTCGACATATCCGGGGTATTCGAGATATCCGTGTTCGAGATTTCGAAGTTTAGCTGTAGTTATATATATATATATATATATATATATATATATATATATATATATATATATATATATATATATATATCAAAAGCAAGGATGTACTTACGTTTCCTAGAATAACATTTTATTTTCTATTTCTATAGCCACTATTTACGAGGAAATTATGCTGCTGCCTTTTTACCTGAACGAAATAAGATTGTCCATGGTTACAGGTATCCTAGGTTACCCTTCAAGTTGGTCATCATATCTGCAGAATCTGTCTGTTGCAAAACTACCCGATTCCGGAAAATATGGAAACTCGGGTAAGCTGTTCGGCAAGTGAGATTATATATAGAATGGCTTCTTTGTATTTTTCTTCCTTTTCTCAAATTGTAATCCTAGTAAGAATATTGTTTTTGCTTAATCAAGAAAATAGATAAGAAAATAATCAAGATATCTATCAAAATAATGAACATTTCAGATATTGCCATCTACAGAAAAACAGGATTACAGTCCTTTGAAAGTTCGGGGGCTGTCCCAGAGACCTATTTAAGTATATCAGCTGTCAATGTTCAGACAGGACATCAATATGAAGATTTACAAAAGAAAGAACAGATCGAAAGAATATATGATATTATTTGGGACTCGAATAGTGGCTGTTCTGTTGTAAAGGAGAGACAAAGCGGCATTTTTGTACCACAAGAGACTAAACAGGCTCGATACATCCAGTGGAAGGAAGCTAAACTATCAAAATCCCTCCCTGCTGATGCCAGTATGGAGAAACGTTATGCTGAAAGACCGCTACCAACTCCTCCAAAGATTTCGCAGACGGAATCAGAGAGTTCTAAGGAAAAGCAGTTAACATATCCTAAAGATTCAGATGAGAAGTCTACTCAACAAACACAAAGCGCCGAGGTCCCAACGAACGAAGATCAAATTTCAGCGAAGGAAATCAAGCATTCTATAGATAGAGAAAAACAACCACAAATGGCGAAAAGTCAGATTCAAATAAAAAATGAATTGGAGAAGGAACTTAGTACAAGCACAAATTTTGAGATGAATCAAAATTTTCCAACTCATTCTAAAGTCCATGATTCCAGCAAACTACCACCGGTTCCAAAAAGACCCGCAAGGAACAAAGGGATCAACGAGCTCTTGGCACCTGATATGGCAGCTGAACGTCAGAAGCGGATTCCAAGTATGTCTGTGTCGGAAGTGACGTATTGGTTAGGCGTGCTGAAGCTGGAGCAGTACGCAGACACTTTCAAGGAAAACGATGTGGATGGTGTTCTCCTCTCTGAACTTGATGACAGCATTTTGAAAAACGAGTTTGGAATGTCTCGTTTTCATGCAATCAAACTCCGAAAGTTTATTTCCGAAGGATATATTCCTCGTCAGTAAACATTCAAAGTGTGCCATGTGAAGTTCTTTCTTTCAGTTATAATAGTCCATCAACAAACGCCATTAAAACTCATGTATCATAACCATTATGACACAATAACAAACTATTAAAATTTGAGTACACAAGTGATTATCTCCTCCAATAAATGTTTATCTTTCCCTAGAGCTGCAAATTCCACACTTTTTTCTGGCTCTAAATCATTTGAAGCTCACACGTTGCACAGAACCGGCTTATGACCTAAGAATGTATCAATACTCCGGACCAAGATTATTTAGATAAATTCAAAATCAAGAAGATCGATTAAAAGTAATATTTTGTTATATTTTTGATAGAGTCAGAAATGATTGACGGAGTAGATAGTGTGTGCAAATGATGCATATCCCCTACAGAGTGTCATGACCCTGAGTCTGAGCCAAGGTTATTTGGTCTGGGAGACAGGAATCAAAGATTTACAGATCAAACATCTGTAATATAGTGATTAAAGAACATCATATTTGACAAAGATACAGCTTTATTTCCCAAAGAAAGTGTCTCACCTTGAACTAATGACTTGGCATAGACAGCAAAATTCCATGTAAGAGAGGCAAATTTCTTGAAAATAACAGAATTCTTTCATGCAATATTTACCTGCTTCTTGGCCGTACAAGTCTCATCGGGACTGCTAGTTCTTGTAACAGTGGTGCACTGGAAACATTCTGAAAAGAGATCGTCGAGTTTTTCTGTCCTGTACATCGTAATTATTGTCTATTATATGACGATGAACAAAATCATCATAGTTTTTTTTTCTATAGTTTTCTACAATAGATGTTCTACGATTAATATTTTGAGTTTGTATAATCATTTGTTCCTGCTTGAAACCAGAAATCCTAAAAATCTCTTTAATATAACAAAATAAAACTATATAAAGCAATATAGAGCTAATTCTATTAACAAACACTGAATAGATGTTTCATTCCTATTTTTCTGTATGAAAGAAGCATTTATGGTATTTATCCTTTCTTTAAAGTAAAATAATATTAACTTATGATTTTTTGGGCCTCACCAGTTTTCATATTAATACTATGTTTTATTCCATAATGTTCAAATATATATTTTTAAAAGATACTTTAGAATTTATTGATACTAGTACATTAATATCATATCTAATACATGTATATTTCTATGTATATAATTACATGGATATATATTGAAAAAAGCCAAGTAAGTAAAAACTACTCCCTAGTCAAACTGTTCACTCACGATCTCAGGGGACTTCCAAGATGATGTCTTCATTATTTTTCCAAACTTCCAAACTACTGACCACTCCTTAGCCAAACTACTGAGACTCTCTAGACAAACACTCACCTCCCAAGACAAACTACTAATTTCAAGACAAACTGTCGTACTAAATACTCTTAAGCCAAACTACTGACTACTCCCCAGTAAACGTCTAGCCACTCCTTAGACAAACTACTGACTACGCTCAAGACACTCTACTGACTACTCCTAAGACTAGCTGCTGACAAACCTTTGAACCCAATGCCCGATAGCTTCAGTGATGGCTATTCCTGTGACTTATTATTGCAATGTCTGATAGTACCTAGATTCACTAGTACTGATGGTTATTCCTGTGACCGAATGTTGACTTTCTATTCGTGGCTTCTCTATTCAATAGACCCACAGCTGCTTAATACTCCTACTGCACTGCTGTCTATACAAAATTATTGAGCATTCTATTTATACCTTATATCCACTTTTAACTACTCCCTTGTCCCTGTTGGTCATTACTTGACACTGCTTGGATTCTCTGTTGAAAAAATACTCCATTGACAGATGTTCTATAAGTCCTGGTACACATTATTGACATGCTCCTGGTCTACTTCCAACAAGCAACTCAGTAGTTTTTTGTACTTTTTTCAATAGTTGGAATCATCGAGCCATGTTTTATATCGATAAATATGAACATTAACGTTGTGTAGTCTTATCTATCCGCATTGCGACATTTTGATATATATACTATGCATCCGTAAAAGTTAGTTCTATAAAATTCTTGACAATTTATTCATTTTACAACACAACACCAGGGATGACGCGTACATTTTAAACAACGATTTCTTCAGATTCAAAAGTATTCTGAAAATGCCATTTATCGACAACACCAAAATGCAAACTTCAGCTGAAGTTTTCCACTTTGAAATCCGGATATATTCTTATATTTCGGAATTGCAAAAAACAGTTTCTCATTTGTGTAAAGCAACAGGATTTGAAGGATTTTTCTCCAGCCACTCCTTAAAGCAACGACATACACTCGCTCAAACAACGCGGGACTAAATGGGCAAACAGTCACAAATCACCAAAGGAAAATACAGAATCAGTTGAAATTTCGTGAGCGGAATAGTGAAAGGCGGAAAACTGGATGTTCAACTAAGCAAAAAGCCCAAGGTTGTATGTAAAAAAAAAAAACCCGCATTCATCTGATTCTTCTTTTGTGTCCCCAAGATTCTGTGAATGTTCCGTGTACCAATCGTTGTGAAATAAATAGTAATGAACGGTGAATTTAGGAAATTTTATTATCGATTCTACGGATTCTTCTACAATATTTCATTTGAGACATTCAGTTCACCATGGATTATTCATGCCAATTTCAATAGAATTTTTTAGTGAAATATTTATAATTTACTAGTACGCTACTAATTTCATACATTGTTCATATTAAATTGTTTGATTATCAAAGCCTTTTCAGTGCTGTTTTTTTAAATTTGTCTCGCCCTTTGTTTTCAATTGAATGTTACCTGTAGCTGTCCAATAAGTTGAATCTTATTGGACACCTACAGGTAACTTATTGGACTGCGTGCAGGACAATAAGAAATTTACTGAACCAGGTTTAACAAAAGATGACGTCACAAAAATGTTTTAAGAAGAGACTAGTAAATACTATAGAACAAATTATTGCCTTATTATCTAAAAAATGACTAAATATCTTCCGGTTTGCAATTGTTATGTAACTAAATATAACCTTGAACAAAACGGGTTTTTAAACGTTCTTCACAATGCCGTAAGGGTTCATGGTACGCTCCATGGTACGCTCCAGATGTGCTTGACTGTTAAAAGTGCAGGCATTTTTATGTTTGTACAACTGAACGCCCTGTCAAGTAGCCAGGAAGATCTAATGTATGCAAAAACCAATATGAAAGCGCGTTGTTAAACTCATACATTCGATGAGAAGATTTCGCTGCAGACTTCCTTGATATTAAGGAGACAAGTCATGGATTCACCGGCTGAAAAAAGCCGACAAAAATGTCAAAACTTTGTCGTGTCGGATACTGAGAATTCAGTAGAGGATTTCTATCGGATTTACAGGGCTAACATTCCCCAGATCATAAGGATAAAGGAGGGGGAAGGAAAGGGAGGAAAATTCAACGTCACACCTGTGAAGAAAAGTCAGGTAAATGTAACATACTTATCAAATGTTTTCTAAAAAGAGTGTTTTGAATCTACTCTATAACCTTTCCCCTTTTCTTTATTAAGAAGTCTAATTCCTTCAATCTTGAATCCTCCTCGTATTAGAAGACTGGTGGCACATGTCCTAATTAAAAGCTCCAATCATTTCAGTTGTAAATTTTGTAAATATCGTAATTCATGCATAATAACTTTCTAAGGAGTGTTTGTTAGAACCTGTGAGAAAAAAAAAATTAAATAGTATGCTCAGATGGATTTATTCAATGCATATACTGCGCAATAAATCTTTTTGAAGTAAAAGGTTTGCAATTTCTTTTTAATTTTATTTATTTACTTACTTTTATCTAGTGTTTCTTTCATGTTTTGTTATTCATTCCAGCTACTGGCTCAATAAAATAATGCATAATGCAAACGATTTTTGTTTATTCTTGTGTTTTGCAGCAAAGCATATAAAGGTAAACAAGTATGGATAGTAGTTTAACAAGATGATGATATGAATTCTAAATCTGAAAATCGAAAAGTCAATTTGCGAAAAAGTGTAGTTATATTAATATAGATATAGATATAATTATATCTTAATACCAGATATTAAGTTTATGTGTTTAAGTCCTTTCGAGAACTTTTCACTCATTTTGAAACGATCCCATTTGCCGGTAGAGGGCTGCAAATTTAAACCTGTACTCGGCACTAAAGGCCTTTGCGTGGTACATGTAAGAGACCTGTTTCGTACACTTACGAAATCTCGGTTTAAACTGTCTCATCTGAAAGATCGGTCTCCACATCCCGCAGTGGATTCGAACCCGCCACGTATTATCAACTCCTTCTAGAGAAAACGTTCTAACCTCGGCCGACAAGTTAACATGCAGGTTACCAATATCCTTTCAGAGAATCTGATTTTAATATTGGTAAATTGTTCACTACTAAAGTACCTTCAGTATCTGAAAATATACATGCAAGATGCAACACATTTCTGTTGCCTTAAAATTGCGACTTACTTATTTCAACATTCGAGTTAATATACCGGTAATTCTGTTGCATGTCGAATAAATTAGCTTCGAGTTGACATATAAGTGGCATGACAACAGAAATATATTGGATCTTGCATTTATAATGTCATTTACTGACGCTGGTAAAAAGATTTACCCAAAATCAAATCGGACGTTCTGTAAAGATTGGCAAATTACATGTTAACTTAAATCTTGCATGGCGATATAATTATCTTGTATGTACTTATGTAGGGGACTGTAATGTAGAAGGCTGTAATACGCCATAATACTACACAAATTATAATATATAGCAATATTAGGCATATCATGAATAGGCCTAGGGTTGATGGTGTTTTTCCTTACAACAACAACACCAAAAAAGTTGAAACGCCATCCTTTGGTTATATTTAACCTAAATCTTGGTTATATTCGGTCAGAATAGACTACCACAGTTTCCATCTTAACCTAAATCTTGTGAACAGATATACGGTAAAGTTTTATAAATCTGATGCAAAAAGATTACATGAAATACAACGAAAGTAAATTTGAGAATATAGTTTGTAAGTTGATCTATTTCAGATACGATTGAAATAGTCGAATGGTTCAGAAAGATTGACTTCCTTTATCCCCCATTTTATCGAATTATAATATTTTCCTGTTTGAATGTTTACATACACCTTCGTTGTTTAACAAATATTTCCCTTTTATGACTTCTCGTAAATTATCCATCCAGGTAGAAAATGTGCTTTTTAAAAGTTCATTTGAATTTTTTTATTGTTATTTTTCATGTCTGTAATTTAAAAAACATTTTCTCCTCTCTAATTAAGTCTATATTTTAAAATAATTAAATTTGGACACGATGACTTATATGCCTTATAGACTATGAATATAACAACATTTTTAATGTTATCGATTAACAAATTTCCCCAAGACACAATTTTTAAGAGTGTAATAAATTTTATATGGCGTTAGGAATGTGCTAATTGGAAGTAAGTATCCTTTCAATTTTCCCCCTCATATGTTTCCTGACCGGCAGACAGACAGAAAGAACTACTTGGAAAAGAGATTAAAAACTAATCTTCATTTTAAAAGGGAATTAAATTAATGTATAAAAATACAAGATAAAACCAAAAACAGTAGTACAATTTACAGTTAATATTGAATTAGTATGTTAGAATATCCATAGCTGTTAGCAACAGAACAGGACTTTGAACAATGAAAAATGTCCTTTTTAATTGAGAAAATTTAGCTATAAATGTTGTTAAAATCTTTAATACTTATTTATAACAGAGGGTGACCGATCAACAGGGTTGCTTACTCCGCCTGGACACCAGATATCACGTCTCTGGTGTTTCCAGGGGTCCGATTTTATTTACCGTATAGCGGGTATTTTTAGCGGGGTGCTAACTTTGGCTTATTTTAGCGGGTTTGTAGTAAGCCGCTTAAATTTTTTAATCGCCAAATTTGCACTCTTCATTATCACTACTGAATACAAGAAAAATTACTTAAAATAACTTTGATTAGTCTGTTGTATATGCAATATAACTTTCATCTGGTATTGTATTTATCCAAACTTTTGTGTAAATCGGTATTCAAACGTATATTAAACGTAATAAAACTTATCTAAGAGATGAATTTCCCCTCTTTTGCAATGTCACGAAACTCTGTGTCCGTCAAAAAAAGTTTCGCCAAAATTATTGGCATTCCTTTGAGCAAGCAAAACGCCAAATTTTAAACCCGCTAAAGAAACCTGCTATACGGTATTACCCCGCTCACGCTTAGTTTTGTTTACTGGATTCATGAGATCGATTTCTGTTCGTTAATTTAATTAAACTTTTACATTTTAGACGTTTTTCGTTCACAAAGTTTGTCGAGAAAAAAGAGTGACAGTTGACGTTATGAAGAGAGGGAAGAAATGTAAGACGATCTCAGTTCCCGTCTCTCATCCTGCCCGATTCTGTCTGGCAGGAAGCGATAGTGGTAAGTATGATCCTTCTGTCATGCTTATTGCTGTTACGGACTGATAAAGAGCAATGGTTATCTTGAGCAATAAAGGAGAAAACATTCAATGGGTGTAAATATTTGTAAATTATACCATGCAGGTTTCATGACCCGGGTTTAACTTCACGAGACGAAGTCGACTGAGGTTATCCGGGGCCGTGTTGTGAAACCCAAACCATAGTATAATTTTACAAAACGCCACAAAACAGTTTAAATACGTATGGTACATCTGTTTTAACCTATATTTTGAAAATTTGGAATCCAGTTTTAATTAAATCGAGATCTATAATTAATCGATTAAAATAAAAGTGAAATAAACCCTAATAAACCTTATACTCAGTATTATTACATCATGTTCAGATTTGGAGAAGGTATATGAGATTTTAAATTAAAAGAAGATAGATGTTCTGCAAAATGCAATTAATTGGGCGATAAATACCTTTTTTGTAAACTTTTTTAATTGCAAAATTGTTTTATTACAATGACGACCAAAAATTTAAACAAAAATGCTTTATTTCATGGATTCTGATGACCTTTTTATGCCCCCGTATCGAAGATTCGGGGGTATATAGTTTTTGCCCTATCCGTCCGTCTCTCTGTTTGTCCGCAAAAACTTTAACCTTGCCCATAACTTTTGATTGGTTGGAGCTATGGCTTTCATATTTCAAATGTGTATTCCTTGTGACAAGACCTTTCTTTGGGTACCACCATATTTGACCTTTTGACCTTGATCTTGGAGTTTTGCAAAACTTTACCAAACTTTAACCTTGGCATTACTTTTGAACAATGGGAGCTAGGGCTTTCATTCTATACATGTGTAATTCTTGTGACCTTACTTTGGATACCAATAACTTTGGCCTTTTGACCTTGACCTTGGAGTTTGACCTACTTTTGAAAAACTTTAACCTTGGCCATAAATTTTGAACGGTTGCTGCTAGGGCTTTCATACTTCACCTGTGTAATCCTTGTGACAAGACCTTCCTTTGGATACCAACAATTTTGACCCTTTGACCTTGACCTTGGAGTTTGACATACTTTTGAAAAACTTTAATCTTGGCCATAACTTTTGAACGGTTGGTGTTAGGACTTTCATACTTCACATATGTAATCCTTGTGACAAGACCTTTCTTTGAATACCAACAATTTTGACCTTGACCTTGGCGTTTGACCTACTTTTGGAAAATTTTAAGCTTGGCCATAACTTTTGAATTGTTGGTGTTTCGGCTTTCATATTTCACCTGTGTATTTCTTGGGAAAAGGCCTTCCCTTGGGCACCATTAATTTTGTCTATTTGACCTTGACCTTGATGTTTGACATACTTTTGAAAATACTTTAATGTTTTCCATATCTATTCAATGGTTGCTGCTAGGGCTTTTATATATCACAGGTTTATTCCTATAGACAAGACCTTACTTTGGGTACCAACATATTTGATTTGCATTTGAGAAAGTTTAACCTTTGCTATAAGTTGCCATACGGGGGCATCAGTGTTTCATAAACACATCTTGTTGTCCTCTTGTAAATAGTCAAGTGATGTACTAGGATATCATAACCGTCTTCCTTGGAGTACGGTATACAGAGTTGAAGTATTTTACAATCTTCGGACTATGCACTTCCTCTCTTTTGTGATTGGTAGAAATTGCATGATGTGAAAATTTTCAATTATTTCATTGGTTGAAATGCTGTTCAATGCAATGGAGATAATTTTTCTGATGATCTAATTTTCGTACGACTTAACAATTTTTCAACATTTTCAATCGTGAAAAAAAAAATTACAAAACGAAAAGAGGAAAATTGCAGGAATAAATTCTAAATAACACGTTAGTTGTTATAGCAATTACTGAAAACGTTTCTATATTTTCATTGTAAACAGAAATGATCTTTATTGCATGCAAGCTTAACAGCTTGTATTTGTTCTTTTTTCCTCTTTGCTTTGCACTGTCATTCTAATCTCGGCAACAGAGTCGGAGTCTACGGTGACAGCCGAGCGTCTGTTGAATTTTCACATGGTAGGGCTAATGTCAGTAAAAAGCCAATGAAGAAATACAAGCCAAAAAATACTCAAGAATAATACGGCCTGATCAGTGTAGGTCAGTTTACTGTTTGGGGTTGTTGCTAAAGACGGCCAAGCTTTTTTGAAAAAGCTCTACTCGTTGTGTAGATTACGTTTCAAGAAATAAAGTTTTCCTTTTTTCAAACTGGCTTGAAGTTAAGTCACGCCCATGGTATGATTCCTTTGGATTGCAGTCATACCATATGAAACAAGAAAACACTGATGTTGCCATCAATTGTCGCCCGGGAAATAAATGAAGTAAAATCTTGATCATCAAACCGCTTCGATTTGTGTGATAAAGGCATACGTCTGAATGATCGAGACTTTATACTCGAGAAGATTTACGGAAAGCTTCTAATCGGATGAAAATAGAACAAAAACGATAACGTTTTAAACTTTTTAATTTCCTCAAGTAACTTTTGGCTGCATGAAATATAAATTAGAATCAGACACATGCATCACTTATCCTCAAATATATATTTGACTTAATGAATATATAACACAAACTGTGTTACGTACGTTTTTATGCGATAAGTAAAATTTTATGTTCTAAAAAGGAACCTGTCGTTTTGTCGATAGTAAATGATATTTTACTTTGCATATTACCTATGAAAAACGTATATATTTTAAAAGATGTACTTCATGGAAGTAAATATATTGTGCATCTCGTAATTTATAAAGGGAAAGAACATTCTGATGTAAAAAAAAAAAAAAAAAAATTTGCAGCCCGGTCATCCGGGCTGCAACAACTGCAAGTCCAGGGAAATACATGTATTTCATGGTTACAGTTCAGGATTTAGCCACAACTGGCTTTACTATAGAGGCAAATAAAGGTACTACAATGTACCTCCTTTTCGTTATTTAAGGATTACGCAACAAAGTTCCTTTCTCAGATCACCGTTTCTCATACAAACAATTGAAATGTTCACAAATTGATAAATACCAGTTGCTGTCCTTCACCTCGACATTTCGCCCTGGAATCATGTCTAGACCAATCAGATGTTGCATTTTATAGAACTATTAAAGTTAGAAATTAGAAACCATTCAGTGTACTTTTCAATTCTAAAAAAAATGAACATCTTTTTTATTTTACTATTTATCAGAATCACCTGATTTTACCATGAAAGAAATTTTAGACATCAACACATTCCCTTGTGATGTCATAGTTTCTCCTAGATGTCATTTCCGGATTAAACTGGGTGAAAACAAAAAGATGAAGGACGGTATTGTACTCCGTCTGAAGGAAACTTACGAAGAAACATATCTGCTGGGAAATCCTATCACTGAAGGTATTATCAATTACATGAATTAGCTGATTTTTGTTTGTACAAAGAATCCTTTGTGGAATTTCTAAAACAAATTTCTTTATCGTTGAATAGAAATCGTTAAATTTTGGTCTTCACTTAATCATTTTTGTAGTTATTTCTTTAGTTACATATAGATTTACTCTTTACATGTATATTATCCTGGAGTTTCTGAGGCTTAAAGTGTTTTTACGATATTTTTTTCTTTTTTTTTGGGGTGGGGGGTGGGGGGTGTATATACATGTGTTATAAACCACGTTGTCCGTCTGTCTGTCCGTGTAATTTAGTCCAGTTCAGACATGTTACTCCATAATTAGTAGAAAAATGAATTGGAGGTACTTACATGAAACAAAGATTTCTTATGACCCTAGAGTGTAAAATGACCTTGCCCCAAAGTTATTAATGGCAAGTTCAAGGTCACATAGAAATAAAAGAATTATTTCTTTTCTGGCCTTATTTTAAATGGAGAAACATTGGGAAGCTGCTAATTGTAACAGAGATTGCTTTTGAACTGATGTTGTGTTATGACTTTGACATAAAGTCATTGGGCAAGTTCAAGGTTACTGGCAGATAAATATATAATTCATGTCTGGTCCCTTACTTTCTATTGAAGTCACATTGGAAGTTCATTATTCACACTTATGGCCTAAAGCTGTATCATGATCGACCTTCACTCTTGTTTTAAGTTCAAAGTTACTATCTTATAATGTTCAAGTATAATTACTATCAATTCCATATACATGTACCTCTATTGTAACAATAGGGAAGTTGATACTTCACAAAATTATTACTTATGACCAGGGAATGTAACATGACCTTGAACCAAGGTCACTTCTAGAAAAATCTATAATTCATGTCCTGGTCATATCTTGTAATGAAGAAATATTGGAACCTCATTCTTTGCACAAATATTCTTGAGCTGAGATTGGTTTTGTCTTTGAATCAAGTTAATTTAATCACTGACAGAAAATATAACTCAGTATGTTTATCGTAATAGAACGGACCATTCTTAGAGGCATTTGTGCTTACCAAACATATCCTGTTACTTTTTATGACAAATATATGGTGGGATATTTCTGCCCCCTGTATGCAAGTTATTTTTCTACAGACTATATTGACATGCAAGATAATTACGTCAACATGCAACATAAATAAGTCAACATGCAACAAAACTAAGTTGACATGCAAATGTATGGTGGCATATTCTAAATTATGTTAACGTGCAACATAATTATGTAGACATGCGACTTATTTATGCCAACATGCAAAATAATTATGTTGACATGCAAGTTACCAATCTCTATCGAAAATCTAATTTAAATGTTGATAAACTTACTTACTAAGCCATTGTATGACATTATACAAGAAAGATGTAACAGAAGTATGTCGATATGCGACTTATTTATGTTAACATGCGAGAGAATTATGCAGATATGTGACTTATTTATGTCAACATGCAAGATAATAATGTAGACATGCAATTCATTTACGTCAACATGCAAAATAATTATGTTAACATGCGAGTTAATTATGTCAACATGCGAGATATGTTTGTTGACATGCAACTTATTAACTCGCATGTTAACATAAATAAGTCGCATGTTAACATAACTAAGTTACATGTTGACGCATGTTAACATAATCATCTTGCATGTTAAAATATAACTCGCATGTTGATATAAAAAAGTCACATGTTGACATAAATAAGTTGCATGTTAACATAATTATCTTGCATGTTGACATAAATAAGTCGCATGTCTACATAATTTTGTCGCATGTTTACATAATTATGTTGCCTGTTGACATAAATAGGTCGCATGTTAAGTTGTTAACATAAATATCTTGCATGTTGACATAAATATCTTGCAAGTTAACATAAATATCTTGCATCTTAACATAATTATCATGCATGTTGACATAAATAAGTCGCATGCCAACATAATTCTGTTGCATCTTGCTTGTATTATGTCGTATACCGGCGTTAGTAAATATGTTTACCAACATTAAAATAGGATTCTCTAAAAAAAAAAATTGGTAACTTGCATGTCAACATAATTATTATGCATGTAAACATAATTATCTTGCATGTTAACTTAATTTATCTCGCATATTAACATAATTTATCTTGCATGTAGAAGGCAGAAATATGCCACTATAAAAATGTAATCAATTAATAATTTGGAAAATTTACCAAAATTATCAAATATATATAGTGGCATATTTCTGCCCCCTACATGCAAGATAAATTAATATGCGAGAAAAGTATACCAACATGCAAGATAATTACATGTATTATAAATTATGTTGACATGCAAGTTACCAATCTTTTTAGAGAATCTAATTTTAATGTTGATAAACTTACTTACTAACGCCGGTATAAGACATCATACAAGCAAGATGCAACAGAATATGTTGACATGCGACTTAATTATGCTAACATCCAAGATAATTATGTTAACATATAAGATATTTATGTCAAAATGCGACTTATTTATGTAAATATGCAACACGCAACATAATTATGTAGACATACGACTTATTTATGTCAACATGCAAGATAATTATGTTAACATGCAACTTATTTTGTCAACATGCAACTTATTTTGTCAACATGCAACTTATTTATGCCAACATGCCACTTATTTGTGTTAACATGTAAACATTCGAATTATATTTTAACTTGCAAGATTTTTCAACATGCAAGTTAATAAGTTGCATGTCAACATACATATCTTGCATGTTGACATAATTAACTCGCATGTTAACATAATTATCTTGCACATTGTATGTTGACATAAAATAAGTTGCATGTCTTCATAATTATCCTGCATGTTTACATAAATAAGTCGCATTACAACATAATTCTGTTACATCTTGCTTGTAAGATGTCATATAATGGCGTAAGTACGTAAGTTTACCAACATTAAAATAAAATTCTCTAGAGAGATTGATAACTTGCATGTCAACAGAATTATTTTGCATGTTGACATAAATAAGTCGTATGTCTACTTAATTATATTGCATGTTAACATAATTTATCTTGCATGTAGGGGGCAGAAATATCGCCCCCATGTGACTTCCAACATGCTAGATGCAATTTATTTATGTTGACATGCAGCTTATTTATGTCGACAAGCGAAATAAATATGTGATATGCATATTTATTTATTGCAGAACGTAGTGCTTACTAGGGAGATTTTTTTCAAATGTTGAAAAATATTATTTTTTACTTTTCCGCAAGAATTTTTATTACGTTTCCGCAAAATACCATATATCTTATATTTTACTTGATCACGACAAAATACCGGTATTTATTTCGCGTATCAACATAAATTAGTTGCATGTAGACATATTTATTTTACATGTCAACGTAAATAAGTTGCATGTTGACATAAATATGTTTATGATATTAATCTCGATATAAATAAGTTGCATGTCGACATATTTATCTCGCATATCAACATAAATAAGTTGCATGTTGACATAACTATGTTGCATATCAACATATTTATCTCGCATTCCAAATTTGATAATTTTGAAAAGAAATTCCAAATTCTTAATTGTATGCCAACATAGTTATGTTGCATGTTGACATATTTATGTTGCATTCTGACATAATTATCTTGCATGTCATAGTCTATAGAAAAGTAACTTGCATACAAGGTCCAGAAATATGCTACCATACAAACTAGATAAAAATACACGACTGCTTTGTTTATAGATGAACTACAATCAAAATTGATACAAAAGGATATTCTACCTTTTTCATAATCCATTTATAATAAATGAAATGATGCAAAATACACCTCACAAAAGTAAATATTGCACATCTTTTTTTTTTGTTTGTTTTCCTAGCAACTATCAGTAAACTTAGTGACGAGGTGGTGCAGATTTCCCGTGGGCCCACTTTGAATGTGGTGACAGGAATAGAAGGATTCGCAGGAGAGTGGTCGACATATCTCCAGCTGATATCTAATGTTCTAACCTCTCATCAAATAGACAGTTGTAACTCTGGCATGTATTCACAATTCAATTGTCTAGTATCATATTAAACACTAATTGAATCACTAAATTTATTTAGCTTACCTGTGCTAAAATTTCAAGTGAATTTTATTTGTAGACCAAATTTGTCAAATAAATGCTTCCCTTTTTGTTATCTAAAGAATTTTACATTAACGTTACCTTTCTCTTGGAAGACAATATCACAAAACATTTTACAAATGTCTATTTAGTAAAGAAAAAAATGAAATGTTTTCATCACGTCTTCAGAAAAATTGAGTAGAGAATTGTCTTTTTCAAAAAATATCCCTTTTCAGCTCTTTTGTATGAGGGCTCATCAAAAAAATTTGCCAGCCCTATTATCTTTTTTACTAATTTTTTTCATTTTTCTCGAAATTTCCATTGTTTTAAAGAATTGGACTTGTAGAGTAGGCTTTTCCCTCTAAAATCTTTCCCTCCGGAAAATTGGTTCTAGAGCAGGATGCCCCCCCCCCCCGGAAAATAGGCTCTGGTTGGATCCCCCCCAGAAAAATTACATTAGAGTAGGATTTTCCCTACAGAAATCCAACATTAGATTGAATTTTCCGGGGAAAGGGGGGGGGGGTCCTTTTCTGTATAGTAGTTATAGAGTGCGATTTCCCGAAGAGCATATCCCCCCCCCCTAAAATATCTTGGCGGTGCTTATGTATGAGGAAGGGGGGGGGGGAAATATAGTTAAATATAGTTAAAAGTGTCTTCTTCAAAATGGCGAACATTGTATGTTCCATTGAAACATACGAGGTAAGAAAATTGAAAATTTAAATTTAAATCTCCAACCAATTCTTAAATTCTGAAGCAATAAAATCTTTTTCTTTTGATCAGGTCAAACTGGTTCCTGAAATAAAAATATTGTGTATAAAAAGATGAAAGAATAATGTCGGATAAATTTTAAACTGTTTCCATGAAAACAAAAAGGGCCAAAGGTTTTTAAGCAGTATATAAATATTAAATTTTTAATTCGAATTGCCCGTTTAACTTTCAATAAGCAATATTTGTTGCTACTTTATTTGTAGATTTTACACCTTACCAAGATTATAATCCAAGCATTGTTTGCTCCGATTCTCATCCCATCTTTTGTAATTATGTGACAGTCTCGAGAGATTTCCATCAAGGAGATGGTCATAAATACGAAGATCTACAAAAACTGAACAGGAAACGGAAAGATTATGAAATCATATGGATTCCGACCACTGGCAAGCATTTATGTGATACTAGACCGGAAATTCAACCCAAACTCACAAGTAAATCAAAAAAGAAAAGTGAAAGTACAAGCGACCTCTATGATGTGGGCTGGGACCCAGTCACAGGAAGAGCGTTGTTAAACGGAGAAATTTTGAATACTTCAGCTGTGACAGAACAACGAAAATCAGCCACAACTCCTAGAGATTACAAACCAGAGGTGTCTAAAAATGAAAATTTTTCAAAACCTTCTCCGGAATTTCAGAAGAGTTCTATACTTATTTCTGATCTCCCTAAACCGAAACCTAAGAAATTTTTAAGTTTGAGGAAGGCAGAGAATGAAAAACCAGATGGTCAAAAGCTACACAAACTAAGGAAAGCTCGTAGCGAAGACGGTGAAAGTGGATCGAGGTTTGGGCAGTTGGATTCGAACTCCAACGATTTCCATTCGGAAGAAAAAGCAATAGAGCGCATGCGCGCCCTACCGACGATGTCTATTTCAGACGTAACATACTGGCTGAAAATTTTAAAAATAAAGTGTGTGGATAAGTTTGTAGAACAGGCTGTAGATGGCGCTCTTTTGATGGATTTATCGGACGATTTACTGATGTCATCGGACTTTGGAATGTCCAGAATTGAAGTGTTTAAACTGAGAAAATTTATCAAAGAAGGCTACGTACCAAAACCATAAAAAAACTGAAATTCCAATATATATCGGCACCGGAATCGTAAATTCCTCTTTCACCCATACATGCATGCTATTTTATTTTATAAAATACATGTATATATTCTTCTTTTATGAATATTTTCGTGATCACATAATTTACTGTGACGGATAACAATCACTTCTGTTTACAGCAATTTAATGATATAACATAAAGCAATTTAATGATATAACATAAAGCAATTTAATGATATAACATAAAGTAATTTAATGATATAACATAAAAGTTCACGTAAATTGTAGTATATAAAAAATGGCGGGGTTTTTAAAAAAAAATTTTTAATTGATTTTACCAATATTATATTTATTTCATTTTATTTGTACATAGATGCATCAAAAACTACTTATTTCTTCTTGTTTGCAAATGAAACTCTGAATTAATTTTCATCTGGATTATGATTCTTAATTCACATTAAATAAAAAGGTTTAATGTAGATGTACAATGTACATTATTGGTCTATAAAGAGCAATCATAAAGGAAATATTTTTAAAAAACTTGTTTTTTTCGGTCGAATCTAAATCATGGATTCTTTTTTTCTACAAATAAATGAATTTTTCCTTCAAAATAAAATAAAGTAAATTGATAAGAAATTGGTCTACGAGCAGTAATTCTGTATTGGTTATGAAATGTCAACAAAATAAAAAAAAAATCAGAAAGGCATACTTGTCAATTTTGTGCGTAAAATAAACACATACATCTTTTGTTTTTAGTGTCACTTAAGGAAATTACCTCACATAGAGACAGAGAAGAGCGGCGTGTCTAGTTCCTGTCGTTTTACTTGTTGTTTTGTACCTTTCTCACCTTATCGTTAATTTTTTATGGTTGGTGACCATTTGGCAGTCTAGGATAAAATATTTTATGTTATAAGATGACGAAATAAAGGTGGGATGTCCAGTAGGGAAATATGACGAGAAGTATACTGCGATATTAAATCTAGATCGCTTTTAGCATTGTGCAGACTGAGCGACGTAATCAAAATTTGACCAATCACTAAACACCCATGTTCTTTAACTTTCTCATTAGTGTGACATTTATTAACGATATTGCATCGTATATATAGTTTAATAACGAATTGTATTCAAAAAGATAGACGGTTTAATCCGAATCAGTTGTCACAATGTCTCTCTGCTGTGTGGTTTTATTGTGCCTTGTGTCTTCTCTTATCCCGACCTCAGGTAATCAATTATTTAATTTGCCTTGATGAATTAATGCTATTCAATTTTATTTTTGCATATAAAATAATTTCTCCGATTTACGTAAATTTTGAATATATATTTTCAAGAGCGTGTTAAGTAAGAGAAATTCTTTGTAATTTTTATCATATCTTTATTATATATATAAAGAAAGTAGATATTTATACCGTAATGTTAAAATACTTCCTACAGAAGTCTATATACATGCATCATGTATTCTTCATAAATTATCGTATCCACTGAACCGCTGCTAAAGTAAACAAGTTTACAGCATGTACAATTCAATGTTTTACCATCTTTCTTCATTATCAGGGTCACATTCTGGATTCAGGCCCAACGTCATACCAGTTTACCGTAGGATTTCGTCGTCCAAATTAGCCAGTTTATTTCCCAGTTATCTAAAGAAAATGGTCAGGCGGAACCCCATTAGCAGGCCCCGCCCACCGTTTTTGTTTTCTTCCTCTGACAAGATTCCAATGGTCGTTAAAAATGGATCTAAGAGTCCCATTATTTCCAAAAACTTTTTGAATCGAGGTTGTCCTGTCCTTCGATGTCCGGATTTGAGAGTTCGTTCCAGGTGCAAGGTGCCCGTTCTATTCCGATACAACGGAAGACTGTGTCGAGGATGCAACAGAAATGTCTGCTCGAACAACACATGGAGGAATTAACAGTAAATACAACAAAGTACGTGTCTTGGAAAAATATATACAGGTATGAGATTTATTTAAAGCAATAAGAACGATTTAACTTCATAGTTTTTATGATTACTTTCAGCAAAAAAAAAAAAAAAAAAAAAAAAAAAAAAAAAAAAAAAAAAAATCAATAAAAATTCCTGTGTTGCTTCACATAAAAACAAACAAAGTAGATGAATCAAGTTTCTATGTTGAAATAAACGTACATAATTCTTTTGTTTGAAAAACTAAAATGTGGATCCCAAGGATGAAAACTACATTTATACAATCATTAATAATACATTTTTGCTGCAGGGATGATTGAGGTCATGCGAACAATTAATTAATTGTTCTACGTTTCTTCGTCATACGCCTTAAATTCGTTCATGGTTATCTGGGGCAATTACAACAATTATAAATGTCTTATTATTATTTTAATACACTTTTTTTTCTTGCAACAGACATACATGCAGCCGGACATTCCTTTAACACTGAGTCGCCCATGACGAAGTTTTTGGAGTGGTAATGATCTTCAAAGTTGACAAATTTGTCTTAACGTGTTTTTTTTTCCACAGTGGTGCTATGAATTCCTAAAATGGTTTATACACTGTATTATTTTTGTGCAATATTTCTTCATCCTCCTGTGATGTTGTGAATTCCTATGTTTAAAACTATTTTGTGTGAAATATTGTTATCTTCTGTGTGTTCATTTTAGAATTATGTATAATTAAGTCTTTATTATTTGTTGTTTATAATAAATTAACGTTTGCAATCATTTTATTTTATTTTACCAAAAGATTGATACTCAAAAGTCAAAACATAGTTTTATTTAACTCATCGATTGATTTGTCAGAAATAGTATGGGTTCCTGTAAGTCTGTCCATCAGCCAGTTTGCTTTCCTACAAATCAGTTTAAAAATACAGGCCCGTTAGAAGCAAACATTTTTAGTTTGGGGGGGGGGGGGGGTTACTACCAAAAATTTAATTTACCTTGACAAACAAAAAAAGGGTCAACAGATGTTATTATTGAGGGGACACAAGTATAAAGTAGCTATGTTTTCTATAGTATTCTATATATTGGAAAAATAAAGGGGGCACGGCCGGCACCTACTGCAATGAAAGGACATGTCATCTTTGCAGAGTAAGACATGTATATGGAGGAAGGACAGCCATTACGGCTTGGCAGAAGTATATAATTATACATCATACAAATTGAAATCGTTTCTGCTTTATTAAATAAGTTTCAGTAATTTTAGTGGAATGATATTGCTTTGTATATACAAACTCAAATAGTTTTTTTTGTACACAATGAATACATCCTCTGTCGATGCATCCTTGAAGGATGTGCTATAGCTTAAAGGCAGTTCAGTCCCCATTATCAAAACTGTATCTGACATAAAGGAAGTAAAACGAAGAACATTATGACAAGTTTTTTTTTTTATTTTTTGAGTTAAAAACAATCATAAAAAGTTACGACAAACATATTTTTTTTTCAAAAATCGTATATTGGTTGAACATAAAAGAGATAATTCTTTAGAATATATAGTAATTAGGCTACGGATATTAGGGACGGGTCAATCTTCTTCCATAAAGACATATTATCTGTTAAAATGTATTATGGAGGCAAATAAAAATAGTTCCCATTCGAATGCATTATATAACCTACGTCTACTAATCCACGGTTTATACTAGGCAATATTGTGGGAACTCTCACAGGCACTTGGGGTATGGACCCCCCCCCCCTTTTTCCATTTTTTTTTCTTTTTAAATCTGGGGCCGAGTCACCTTTTTCATATTTTTGTATTCTAATATGCACTGTATGTTATCAATAATGTAACTCTTTTGTCCCTATAAGCTGTTTTTAAATATATGGTTTTCGACTGATAAATAAAAAGAGAGAAGGCTTGCAACTCTTTTCTCATCGTCTGCCTCACCTCGCTTAAACTTCGCCTGATTATTTATCGAAAGAATAAGAAAACATGGAATATGCATACATCAATAAATTCGTTATACATTCTTCTTCCTTTTCATATTTCCATTTAATTTTTATGTGCCCCCGATTTGTAAATATTTCGATTAAATCACCTGCATCTAGGGTAAATTTTGTTGATGTGCACCAGCTGGGACGGAAGTGCCCGGTATTTTCGGGTATCATCATTACGTGTAATGTCATTCGGAACATTAAATGCGAGAAGGAATAAATCCCGAATTTTCTCTTCATATAACATGTAACGGTAAGTTCTGTGAATAACAAGATAACTTTAACTAGCAAATTCTAATGGATGAATATTAACTTTTAACAGACGACCTAGACAACCAAATTTCACAATATTGTTATTGTAAAGCCTGGAATTTTTTTTTAATGCAGAACATTTATAAAGTTAGAGTTACCGTTATTGCACTTCCGTCCCAGCTGGTGCACATCAACAAAATTTACCCTAGATGCGGGTGATTTAATCGAAATATTTACAAATCGGGGGCACATAAAAATTAAATGGAAATATGAAAAGGAAGAAGAATGTATAACGAATTTATTGATGTATGCATATTCCAAGTTTTCTTATTCTTTCGATAAATAATCAGGCGAAGTTTAAGCGAGGTGAGGCAGACGATGAGAAAAGAGTTGCAAGCCTTCTCTCTTTTTATGTATCGGTCGAAAACGGTTTATTTAAAAACAGCATATAGAGACAAAAGAGTTACATTATTGATAATATAAAGTGCATATTAGAATATAAAAATAGGAAAAAGGTGACTCGACCCCAGATTTAAAAAGAAAAAAAATGGAAAAGGGGGGGGGGGGGTCCATACCCCAAGTGCCTGTGCAGTTACCGTGGGATTTAGTCATTCAATTTAGAAAGTTAAAATATTTTTCTCTCTATCTAAAGAAAATGGTCAGTCGAAAATCCTACAGTAGATTCTGCCCACTATTTTTATTTTCTAAATCAATTAACAAGGTTTCTTTGGTCGTAACGTTAAAAATGGGTAAAAGAGTCCCATTATTTCTGAAAACTTCTTTAATCGAGGTTGCCCTTTCCCTAGATAAATAAATAGAATTTAGTATGTTTCGAAGGAAAAATATAAACAGTACGATATTATTTAAGATGTTTCAATAGCATTTAGAACAATTCAACTTAATTGGACTTTATTATATTTTTAACAACGATATCATTTTAAATCAATTGAAGTTCTGCGCAATTTCTTGCTAAACCATACACTTTGAGTAGATAAATCAAATTTATTTTCAACGTTGACTTTCATAGAAATGTACGAATACAATTCTTCATTGTAAAACCAACGAGGTTGACACAGATCAGGACAACATTATGAAATTGTTAATTATAATACTAGTATATCTTTACCTTTGCTGCAGGGTTGATTGAGGTCATGGAAACAATCTATTAATTGTACAGCGTTCATTAAGTATACACCTTAGAATTTCTTCAAGAGTTACTAGGGACATTCTTGTCAATCAATGTCAAGTTTTTTAAATAAACATTGTTTTTCTTCTCTTTATTGTAACAGACATGTAGGGAGCTGGTCACTCCTCAACTACTGAGTCGCCCACTAGAGAATTTTTTGGTGTGCTGCTGATATTCCAAAACAATCAGCCAGAGATTTGAAGTGAACAAATTTGTGTTAACGTAGTTTTCCCTGTGATGTTGTACGATGATTATTTTTGTTGTTAAACCTTTATATTCCTGTGATGTCTGTTCCTGTTATGTTGTGAATTTCAAAACTGTTTTAACTTCCTATAATGTTTTAAATTCCAATAATGTTTTAAAATTTCTATAATATTTTAAGTTCCTGTTAATATGCCCACGTATCGAAGATTCGGGGATATATAGTATTTGTCCTGTCCGTCCGTCTGTCTGTCTGTTTGTCCGCAAAAACTTTAAAATTGCCCATAACTTTTGATTGGTTGGAGCTATAAATTTCATGTTTCACATGTGTGTTCCTTGTGACAAGACCTTTCTTTGGGTACCACCATATTTGACCTTTTGACCTTGGAGTTTGATCCAGTTTTACAAAATTTAATCCAACTTTAACCTTGGCCCTAACTTTTGAACAATTTGTGCTAGGGCTTTCATACTTCACATCTGTAATCCTTGTGACAAGTCCTTCCTTTGGATACCAACACTTTGCCAACAACTTTGACCCTTTGACCTTGACCTTGGAGTTTGACCTACATTTGAAAAAAACTTTAACATTGGCCATAACTTTTGAACAATTGGTGCTTCAGCTTTCATACTTTACATATGCAATCCTTGTGACAAGACCTTCCTTTGGATACCAACAACTATGACCCTTTGACCTTGAAGTTTGACCTACTTTTGAAAAACTTTAACCTTGGCCCTAACTTATGAACCGTTGGTGCTAGCCTTTCATACTTCACATATCCAATCCTTGTGACAAGACCTTCCTTTGGATACCAACAACTTTGACTCTTTGACCTTGACCTTGGAGTTTGACGTTTGAAAAACTTTAATCTTGGCCATAACGTTTGAACCATTGGTGGAAAGGCTTTCAAACTTCACCTATGTCATCCTTGTGACAAGACTGTTCTTTTGTATACCAACAATTGAAATCCATTGACCTTGACCTTGGAGTTTGACCTACGTTTGAAAAACTTTAACCTTGGCCATAACTTTTGAACCATTGGTGGTAAGGCTTTCATACTTCACCTATGTAATCCTTGTGACAAGACTGTTCTTTTGTATACCAACAATTGAAATCTATTGACCTTGACCTTGGAGTTTGACCTACTTTTGAAAAAACTTAAACCTTGGTCATAACTTCATAACTTGCTTCAGTTTTTATATTTCACCTGTATATTTCTTCTGAGAAGGCCTTTCCTTAGGCACCATTAATTTTGACCATTTGACCTTGACCTTGATGTTTGACTCACTTTTGAAAAACTTTAACATTTTCTATATCTATTCAAGGGTTGCTTCTAGGGGTTTCATATTTCACAGGTATATTCCTTGAGACAAGACCTTACTTTGGGTACCAACATATTTGATTTGCATTTGAGAAAGTTTAACCTTTGCTATTAAAAGTTGCCATACGGGGGCATCAGTGTTTCACAAACACATCTTGTATTTTAATTTTTTTTTTGTGAGTAATATTGTTGTCTATTTTGCGCATATTTTAGAACTACGTATAACTAAGTTTATAACATTTGCTTTTTACAATAGATTTTAGTTTCAACATATCTAGATATCATTGTACTTTTATGCTCCCGTATCGAAGATTCCGGGGTATATAGTTTTTGCCCTGTCTGTCCGTCTGTCTGTCTGTTTTTCCGCAAAAACTTTAACCTTTGCCCATAACTTTTGATTGGTTGGGCTATGGCTTTCATATTTCATATGTATTCATTGTAGCAAGACCTTTCTTTGGGTACCACCATATTTGACCTTTTGACCTTGACCTTGGAGTTTGACCAAGTTTTGCAAAATTTTATTAAACTTCAACCTTGGCCATAACTTTTGAACAATTGGTTCTAGGGCTTTCATACTTCACATATGTAATCCTTGTGACAAGACCTTCCTTTGGATACCAACAACTCTGACCTTTTTACCTTGACCTAGGAGTTTGACCTACTTTTGAAAAACTTTAACCTTGGCCATAACTTTTAAACGGTTGGAGCTAGGGCTTTAATACTTTACACGTGTAATTCTTGTGACAAGACCTTTCTTTGGATACCAACAATTTTGACGCTTTGACCTTGACTTTGGAGTTTGACCTTCTTTTGGAAAACTTTAACCTTGGCCATTACTTTAGAACGGTTGGTGCTAGGGCTTTCACACTTTACATCTGTAATTCTTGTGACAAGACCTTCCTTTGAATACCAACAACTATGACCCTTTGACCTTGACCTTGGAGTTTGACCTACTTAAATCTTGAAAAACTTTAACCTTGGCCATAACTTTTGAACAGTTAGTGCTAGGATTTTCATACTTCACATGTGTATTCCTTGTGACAAGATCTTCCTTTGGACACCAACAACTATGACTCTTTGACCTTGGAGTTTGACCTACAATTGAAAAAAACTTTAAACTTGGCCATTACTTTTAAACAGTTGGTGTTAGGGCTTTCATATTTCACATATGCATTCCTTGTGACAAGACCTTACTTTAGATACCAACAACTTTGAACCTTTGACCTTGACCTTGGAGTTTGACCTATTTTTGAAAAACTTAAATCTTGGCCATAACTTTTGAACAGTTGGTGTTAGGGTTTTCATACTTCAAATATGTATTTCTTGTGACAGGACCTTCCTTTTGATACCAACAATTTTAGCATTGAACTTGACCTTTGAGTTTGACCTACCTTTAAAAAATTTAACCTTAAGTTGTCATACGGTGGCATCAGTGTTTCACAAACACATCTTGTTTATACTTTTAAGTATATACATGTAATCGACACTACGTTCTATTTGCCTTATCGATTGACAGTTAAAGTTATGTTAGTATGTCCATCAGTTGTCAGCTAGTATTTCTACAAATCGGTTCATAAAGTGGCGTGTAATCTTGAGGAATACTAATATACTAATACGGATGTATCCTTGAAATGGGTTGCAAAAAACTAAAGGCAATTCAGACTGGCCCCCATAATTGAAACTTATGACATACATCAAGCTCGTGGGAGAATTATGTACTTCAAGAGAAAATTTAATTTATTAATTATTTTTGATTCATGAGTTAAATCATATTTGATAAAAAAAAAAATTGCGTACTGGGTGTACACAAAAAATTAATATAAGGAGGTAAATAAAATTTCATGTTTCTGACACTCGATTGTACAATAACTTTCATTTGCTAATCCACGCCATACGCTATGCCAGATTGTATTCAAAACAACGATGGAACTTTGCAATATACAGTTCGGAGCTGCCATGAAAAAGGAATGTTTTCATTTTGAGGAGGGATATACGTTTATCAACCATGGGTCTTATGGAGTAGTACCTACAAAAATCAGGGATAAACAAAAACAGTAAGGTTTGCTATCAAGTAAAAAATTGCGAGTAACAGCTGCAATAACAAGATGTAGCCTTAAAGTTTTATAAACTTCGTAGAAGGTAATTTTATCTTTCAAATGATTTCAAAGTTGTGACGAACTTGTTTATTAATATACACAAATTTAATATAATTCCGTTTTCTTCAACCAATTTTACGCATAAGAAATGAATTTGAAAGGTTTTTTCAACTTAAATGTGGGTCAGTTTACATGAAATACGATAACCCATTGGTTACAAAAATGACTACAATTTTATCAAATTTCAAGCTGGGATTAGTTTGTAAAATCTGAGCACCCTTATTTTCGAATAAATATGGTGCAAAATAAGGAAGACACAGGGCAAAACATGTAGTCATTTAGATACTGAATAATCAGTTTCATCAGTATCTATACCACTGAAGACTTAAACCACATTCCAGACCTTGGCACGTCACCTTACACCTCTCCAGATATTAATCATATTACAGTTACCAAAGATAAGAGTACAAAAACTACTGGTTGGCTTAAATTCAAACAAAGCAAGCGGACCAGACCAAACATCATCACAGTTTTTAAAGTTCATGTTAACTCATATAAACTCCAGCACTGACGTCATCTTACAGGTCTCAGTAAGTGAAGTCCAGATGATTAGAGATCACCCTGCTGTTCAGGAAAGGACATATAGCTTTTAATTATAACTAACCCCAGTCAGTTGCAAGTTGATTGAAGTTATCTCATCAACCACCTAGAGAAAATATCACATCCTAGCAAGATGAGCAACATGGATCTAAGAGAAGACGTTCCTACGAGAGCCAGCTTATAATTAACACACCTCGCCAAGGGACTTATCTCCAGACAACGCTATACCCTGCTGGACTTTACGCAGCACTGTAATTTAAAATATGTTCAATCGGCATAACTCGGCCGATTAGTACCTTATGAAGGCGACGAATTACCCGACGTTTGCAGAACGGGGAATGTTAACTGTGACATTTCAAAAAATAAAAATCCCCCCCAAAATGAAATATTTTGCGATTTAAAACAGTATAAAAGTATTAAACTACATCAAAACTTTCCTCTGCATTCATTTTTGTCGTTAGTTAAATCTCGTACAGGAAGATACATTGTACAAACAAGTCAATGAATCCGAAATGACGTCATCTTTGTAAAAATTCAACGCATTTTCTGAACAGTGAGAGGAATATGAGTTCTTTTTCGCAGTAAAAATTTTATTATTAAGCAAAATATAATTTACAGATATGCAATAGACCATTCATACATGTACCAATGTAACATTGTTTAATACCATTTTTTTTAAATTATTTTATTTTATTTATTTTATTATTATCGAGAGAAGGTATTTAATTAATTCTACCGTGTTTTTGTGTACGAGGTGCCTTATTAAATAGTATTTGCAAGGATATACACTTAAAGCAATATGAGCTGCAACTTTGATGTCGGAAATTTTTGTGGCAAAATTGTAATAAAGAATTTCAATGACAGAAAGCCGGATAGGCTCATTTTTGACAAGATAAAAAAAAATTAACTCGTTATAACGAGTTAGTTATCTCGTTATTACGAGATAATTATCTCGTTATAACGAGTAAGTATCTCGTTATAACGAGTTAGTTATTTCGTTATAACGAGTTAGTTATCTCGTTATTACGAAATAATTATCTCGTTATATAACGAGTTAGTTATCTCGTTATAACGAGTTAGTTATCTCGTTATTACGAAATAATTATCTCGTTATATAACGAGTTAGTTATCTCGTTATAACGAGTTAGTTATCTCGTTATAAGGAGATAGTTTTCTCGTTATTTCGAGACATAATAGCCATATAGGAATAAAAATGGCTTTTGTTTTTAATGCCATTGAATTTTTAGCTAGTAATTATCAGTCAAATTTAACCTGAACAATTGATAAATGTTTGAAAATTTAATTTGCTCTGGGGTTTACTTAAGATTAAATCTTGAACTATCTCGCTGTCAATAATCATATTTTGATAAGCATAGCAACTCTAAGGCAAACACATTTACACATTTTCGTGAACGCCTCCTCAAATTGTTGCATTAGGACGTGATATTTTTATTAAAATAATATTGTCAAACATACTTGCTTCAAACTTTGGCAATTTATTTTTGACAACTATTTCTGATGATTGACACTATTTCGACATGTTTTGGACGACTTATACACTTTCATATACCAATTTCTACACCGCTAAAATTTAAAATCAGAGACAATATAAGTGCAACATATCGTTTATTCAACATATACATGTAATATACATGTATACGATTACAGTGTGATACATTTGTTACTTTTGAGATTCAGAAATGTTTTGAAGACGGGGGATGGTGAGCCATCAGCAGTTAGATCATAGGCGTAGTAATAGGGGGGCTAATGTCCCCACCACCACTTTTGAAAAGGGGGCGGTCAAGAGTATCTTTGTGCCCCTTCCTCCATATTTTTTTACCTGAGTAAAAATCTTCCGAAAATAATGGCGAATACTCGTAGTTGGAATATCAAATCGCTTTTTTTTTCTTTTTGCTTGTCAAATATTTTACTTGGTTTACCCCCCCCCCTCCCCTGAACTTTGTGACTAAGCTTATGCAGATTGTCCACGATGATGAGGAATGATGAAAATGATATTACATCCTTTTAAGTAATAAGACGTTAGATCTGATCTGCTGATATTGACATTTTATCTAATATTCTGTCACGATTCACTGTTTATATTTTTTGCGGAGGGGGGGGGGGGTCCAAACTGTGGAGATTCATGGAGACGTATTTGAGATTCACGTCTATTTGGCGGTTCCTATGTTTACCACATAGTGACAAAACATCAAACCAGAGTTTACAAAACAAAAAAAAGTTTACAGAGTTTACAAAGCCATTTCACTTGTATAATCTTTTTACTTAGATTGATCAACGAATAGGCCTAATACTGCATATGTACATGTATATCATTAATACAACATTGAAGCAATGTCGTTAATTATTTTCCTCATCACAATATTTATTATGTATACTTTGCAAGCATATGATTTTTATTTCAAAAAGAGATTGATGATTTTTTTTTTTTTTTTGGGGGGGGGGGGGTTGGGTTGGTTGGTAATAAATAGAGGATATTCAATGTGTTGTAGTTGATATGGAATTTATTTCACGAGTGGGAAAGGATTTTTTTTTATATTTTCATGAGTGCGAAGCACGAGTGAAGATATCAAAAATACTGTCTCACGATACAATACACATTTGTAGGCATAATTTATGCTTGAAATACACCTTAATTAATGCGTATCATATTGTAAACTTTAGATATTAAACTTTCATTCTATACCCAAAAAGGATCACATGTCAACTGTTTATACTAATGCTGACCTTCACCTTTTATTATGGCTTCCGTAAAATAAAGAGCTCCAAAAGTTTTTTTTATTCTACCACATTGATAATAACACAAAAAATACATAAATAAAATAACGAGATAACTAACTCGTTATAACGAGATAACTAACTCGTTATTACGAGATAACTAACTCGTTATAACGAGATAATTATCTCGTTATACCGAGTTTCATGTAAATGTTTTTTTTGTCTCGTCAAAAATGAGCCTATCCGTCTTTCGTAGTTGTTCACATTTTCGATGGAAAAACTATTTTTAAGCTTTGATTGAAGTAGAATAACATTAATGTCGTCCTGTACAATATTGATTTCTTACATCATACTATATATTCCATTATACAGAAACTTTTCTTCTGAAAAAAATAATACTTTATTTTAGTCTAATTCATCATTAAGGTTTAAATTACATACAGATTTATCATAACAGCACATTTTTGTAGAATGCATTGAAAAGAAACCTTTACGGTGAAACATTCTGCGCAGTTAACAATTTCTTTTTTACTGTTACCCGTCGTCATGTATTTTCAACCGTTGTAATATTACCCGGAATGCGTGGTTTATTAATTCACGCGGTATGATAATAGTACTTTTTAACAAATGTTTTTAAACCAATCAGATTTGACTGTTTAACATGAAAAGATAACAACAACACATACCAGCAGAAACAAGAAGCAAGAGGACCTGGACAAGTTGCAGGAATGGGTCGGGAGAACTGGATGACGTGTTTCAACCCAGACAAGTGTGAGGTCATCCGTATAACCAACAAACGAAGGACTGTAAGATCCATGGCACACTACAGGAAACAGAGCAAAATACTGTAAACGTACATGTATTACATTTTGCTTTGTATTCTTTTTATCGCCTTTGGCGGAAAGAAACTTCCACTAATTCAAGTGCAACGCTAAATGTCTTGCACATATATACATGAATAAGAACATGAAGAAATGCGCTAAATCAAATATACGCTAACTTGTTCAGAAATCAATTTCCACCAAATATCATACACGCTAAATATTATACATTTTCCAGTACCTTGGAGTGACTTACTGAAAGCAAGCTCTCTTGGTAACCTCATATTAATATCATGACAAAGAAGGCATATAAACCATTACCACCCTTATCAGGAATGTTGCCAACTGTCGAAAGAAAAACAAGGAGCTGAGCTATTAAAGCCTTGTTTCGACTCCATGCAGAATATGCTGCGCAGTGTGGGATAACTTCAAAAACCGGCTGTAGAAAGGGTTCAAAGAAGAGCATCATGGGTACTTGAGAAGTGAGAGAGAGTAGTGCTACCAGTATGATGGAACAACAGCTCCTGGAGAGCCTTCAATCCAGACGGCAAGTGACTCGTGTTACCATAATGTATCGCATTGACATTAACGTCATAGACATACCATCCACGTCCCTACAGCCTCCAGGAACAACAATAAGAGGGCATTCACAGCGGTTTTTATAACCTTTTTGCCACATCAAAAATTATCAGGACTCATTTTTCCAGCCACCATTTCCCTCTGGAACTCCTTATAACGGCATATCGTGGACGCGATTCACTTGAGACTTTCAAAGTCCGAATTGGCCAACATAGGACATTGTAAATAGAGACGCTTTTATTCAGTTTTAATCACAAGAGTCCTTCATCACAGGATTTTAGCCTTTTACCCATGTACAACGGTGCTCCAGATGGAGCCCGGTACATTAAAGAAAGAAAGAAGAAGTTTTTTTTTCATTTGCAAAACAATGTGTTGTTTTTATTTTTAACTTTTATGCTCTACTAACATGTAAAATTATGAATTTTATACAATCATAAATTTTAACATGAAGCAATAACTTTCCGAAGGAATGGAAAACCCACAAAACCGTCGCCATTCTTTCTTATGCTTGTATTTAGCACGTTGAGAATTTTCTTTAATTAATCATGTTAATTATCCATGTAATTGTGAAATCTATGAACTATCAAAGGTGATTGTATTAAAAAGCTCGTGTTGACAATTTTAAGTCAAAATTCATATAAAAACCAGAAGTCTCTGACGAGACTGTAGCTCTACTGGTTGTACTTATAAAGGAAGATAAAAGTAGCACTTGGAGTTGAAATTTGCAACAGCAATAAATACAGTAATGATCCTTGGTCACAGAAATTTCTATTCTAAGTAACCATGGCAACACCGTTCATTGAAATAAAAAACCGATACACAGAATTATGTATCTTAGTATAGTCTACTTGTGTGCTAAGTTATATTGATATCAGACCAAAACTGTAGGCGGAGTAGCATTTTGAAAGTATTTCCCAGAAATCTCTATTTTTAGTAACCATGGCAACACCGTTCATTGAAATCAAAAACTGATACACAGAATATAAGCTTTCCTGGTCTTTGACCAGTAGAGCTAACAACGATCCTAAGAATATAATGGATACACCATTGATTGAAAGGCCTGCAAAAATGAGTTTTGATGCAAAGTCACAAGACTGAATTCTTGGCTGTCGTTTGAATTTTTTTGTAAGAATACTCTTGTACATCGTACAGGAGTAACCTTTGAAAATTTCAATAACTTTTGCAAACTACCGTTGAATTTATCAAAAATTTTTAGTGACAACTTAGTTTTGTTCAATGTAGAGAAGTGTATCCACAATGAGTTATGTAAAAGATTAGTAATACTGTAGAAGCAGAAATTTTCATGGAGATAAAATTTCGTCGATCTGTGATTCGCGGGGATTTAATTTCGTTGTTTCAAAAGTAACCATGTTCAATATATATTCCTATAAAATTTTTGTGTAGGATTTAATTTCGTTAATAACTGTTAACGCAATTTAATTCCCAACGAATATTTTTGCTTCTACAGTAATTTGTCTCAAGACCTACTTATATAGTGCGTTACACAGAAGAAAAAAGATTACATTATTTGCATAATTTTCATAGAAAATTTTTGTTTTAATCTCTATTCGATGTTAAGCGCAAAATTCATGTTGATAAAGAATTGTGTGTAATGAATTTTTCCCAGAATTAAAAATCCCTTTTCCAATCTTAATAAAATTTGATCCTTACAGATTACTGGATGCCCTGAATGATAACCCTGACGTATTCTACCGGCGAATAACCCAACAACTGTTCAGTAGGGCTATAGATACTGCTGCAAAATTTCTAGGGGCGGATCCTAAAAACTTGGTCTTTGTACAAAATGCCACAACAGGTGCGTTACGAATGCGATTGATTGTTTGCGGTTTAACGACCCTCGCCATTTTTTTTTCTTATGAATCGTTACCAGATACTGATAAAGGGGTTCAAATTTAGACCTTTACTAGGCACACAAGGCCCTTGAGCAGTGAGGCTTCTTTAGCATGTCAACACTTGATGTGACACGTTACCTCTGTTTTTAGGTCTCATCCTTTCACTTCAAAGTGCCGAGCGCTTGGCAAAGGGGCAATTGCTTTCTATTTTATATTTTATATTTATGTATAGACCGACTTCGCTGGGGCTTGAACCCACAACATTCAATCAAGGAGGGAGCGCTCAGCTACCAAGGCGGTCAATTAGGATGAAAAAGGTGAAGATAACGAACAGTGACCGACCTCAGAATTTATAAAAATAATACAATTTTTTTGTGAACAGGGCATGATACAATTAGTATAAGCGAATAAATCATAACATATAAGCTGGAACAGTTTACGCTTTTTTATATACAAACAGCTTCGCGGTTTTAGCAGGCTTAATCTGCCCCAATTCCAGATTTTACTCGTATAACGTTTTCACTGTTGAAGATATAATAAATATGATTTTTTGTTTTTATAAGAAATATTTTAAATTATTGATTTATTCGCTTATACTTATTGTATCATGCCCTGTATATATTCGATACTCGAAAGTTCGATCGGGTACTCGTTGACATCCCTAATATATATATATATATATATATATATATATATATATATATATATATATATATATATATATATATATATATAAATGGACTGATGCGTATTTTATGTCATACTGTGACGTTGGCAGGATAGGTTATACAATATAATTTTTTTATCCGCATAAATAGCGCTTACAACCAAAGTTAAAATATTTATCTTTTGAAAGGAAAAAAGACATTTTCACAGGACTTACTTGAAATTCTCACTGTAAATTTTTTTAAAAAAGCAAATATTTTCACAGCATGTCACAACAGGTGCTTGCACGAAAAAAGATCCCTCACTGCCCAAAGACCGTATGTGCCGAGCCTAGGTCTTAATTTGCAGTCCTCCACCGGCAAGTGGTGGCTTCTCAATATGAGTGAAAAATTCTCGAAAGAATGTTAAACAAGAAAACAAATAAACTGATTAACTTAGTGCATTATTCTTATTGACCTATATTAATCGTGCAAAATACTTTTTTTAAAATTTCAATTAAGAGACAGTTTAAATGCTCAAAAGGAAAACCAAACTAAATGTAAAAATAACGTTTTCTAGTTAAATATGATTTTTTTCAAACGGGAGACAAGATTTTAAAAAAATCATTGGTGCTTCGCAATTGTGAAAACATAAAAAGAAAATTCCGTCCATATCCAACTTTTAAGTAATAGCATTTTTTTTATTTTAGGCGTAAACAGTGTCTTGAAGGCATTCCCATGGCAGAAAGGTGACGAGATTTTAGCGACAGTTTACACATATAAAGCGGTCGAATATGCCTGTCGAAAGGTAGCCGAATTTTCAACAGGTATACATGTGTACTTCTGAATTTCTCTTCTTTTTAGATATTTTGTACCACACAAGACAAAGTAGACAATGAAGTACTGGGTGTTTAAATATCACCAGATTTAACAATCCCTTACTAATACATAGCTTAAATGGTTTGTTTTTTAAATTTTCGATAGCAGTACTTTTAAAAACATATGACGACAACAGGAGGTATATTTTAGGAATGACTCTAATTCTTGGCCAAATTATTCGAGTATAACCTGGTTTGGGTCAGTTTACGCTTTATAATCCGCGAAGCGGATTATAAAACAGCGTAAACTGACCCAAACCAGGTTATACTCGAATAATTTGGCCAAGAATTAGAGTCATTCCTTATAATTTAATTCTAAATCATTAAACAACTGTCGGTGTAAAATTTCGTTGCTTTTTATTAGTACAAATTTGCCGCTCAATAATACAACCCTAGTAACGGAAGTGATGGGAAGCGAGGGGAGGTAAAAACTGATACATAGTCCTAGCAGCCATGTTGTTTGTTTACATGTGGTAAGATCCAAGTTACTGTTTGAAGTTAAAGGTACGTTTATTAAATCTGGAATTTTCCATGAATCCCGAGGACTGGAAAAGAGAGGATTGCATGGATACAGACGATTCAGCTGGTTGTCAGGGGGGGGGGGGGTGTCCCCATACCAAACCAGGTTATACAGAATTAATTTGTGTTCCTTTTTGGATATTAACCAATCAGAGGCTAGAATACAAACAAAATTAAATTATACATATAGAGAGAGAGAGAGAGAGAGAGAGAGAGAGAGAGAGAGAGAGAGAGCTGCATGTTTCATTAGAAAGTACGGGGTATTGTCATTAAATAAAATATTAACATTAAATTATGTAGGTCCGTGTTTGCTCTGCTCCCGATTTGTATTGTTTTAACGGACTTTGAGCTTGAGTTATCTCCATATTTCAAAAAAATTCTCCATAATTTTTGGGAACAGTGAAGGGTACATGACAAACGAAATTGAATCGATGTACATAAAAATATAGTTTATGCTTTATAAGTTTTCAACCCCTACAACAAGTTTAAATTAATTCCATGTTCATTAAGTACATGTAGCTTATATGTGTATATTGTTTTAAACAGGAGGACACATTCATCAGTTTGATATACGCTTCCCGATCAATGACGAATCAGAGGTTGTTAACAGCATGACATCATTTCTGGACAAGCATCCCAAAATCAGACTTGTGGTTTTAGGTTAGATTTCTTACAAAGATTGAATTTATAGAGTGAACAATTACCATCTGTTAAGCTACATATTGGTGTATGTGCCTGAAGAAATTCAACATTAAGTTAATGTTGAAGTTGCAGACCTAACTTTTCACTGTGAGTTAATAATATGTAATTATTCGAAATTTTATGGATATATCATATCATATCAAAAATATATTTTTGTGTTAAAGGTATTTTCTAAATCAACCACTAACCTAGACATTTCACCTTTTTAAAACTCTAAATCAACGGTATATTTCCTTTGTTTACATAACAAACAAGAATGAGATGGATATGCAAGAGCATGCTCTACGTATGTACAATTTCTAAAACGAGGTAAATTATTGACAAACAAGTTGATGAAACAAGAATATCAGCAGTCTCGTTTAAAGTCATCATTTCGTAAGTTCTATGGTCAATACAATGACCTTGTCAGCAAATACAATTTATCATTGAGTCAAATGCTGACTGACGTTTTTCATACTAATTGTTAGTCCATTATTTACACACTGAATTACACACCGGATTTTTCCGTTATTTCCTGATCATGACAAGGAGCACATGGCGGGTGTGACCGGCCGGCAGGGGATGCTCACTCCTCCATGGCACCTGATCCCACCTCTGATATTTTGGAGGTCCGTGTTTGCTCTGCACCTATATATTTTGTAATGTTTAATGGACTTTTGAGCTTGAATACTGTTCGTTATCTCCATATATTTCATGGAAACGTTTATCGATGTGATTTGTTTGTTCACAACATTAACTTGTTAACACCCATCATAGCCATTGTCAGAGATCTTGAAAGATTTCTTCCACTTGTAACCGATAGTCTCATTTTTAGTTAAGACTGAAAGCACAAAGCGTTCTCTTTATATATTGGTTTCATATGACCACTAAACTTATCACAACTAGCAATCTTCACTTTTTACCAGCAGTCATTTTATGTTTAGATCATATTGCAAGCCCTACGGCTCTAGCGTTCCCAGTAAAGAAAATGATAGCGGAATGCAGAAAGCGAGGGGTTATGGTGTTGATAGACGGTGCTCATGCACCAGGACAAATGGAGATTAATTTAGAAGATCTTGATCCAGACTTTTACACTGGGAACTTTCATAAGTGGGTGTTTACACCAAGAGGATGTGCGATTCTCTGGGTTCGTAAGGATCACCAGGATTGGTGCACTCCTCTTGTGACGTCACATATGTATAAAAAGGGCATTCAGTTGGAATACTGTGTTCAAGGGACACGTGATGATATTCCATACTTCTGCGTACCAGAAGCAATTCAATTTTACAAAGACATTGGAGGGATGGTTAGTTACTTGCAGTTTTCAAACAGTCAACAGACTTACTAACATTATTGTTGTTTAAAGTATTTAGAAATTAATCAAACTAAAACAGTTGTCTTCGACAAATGTTAGGGAATACAGTCAATATTTATCTATTCAATATCTAGGACAAAATAAACAAATACACGAGAAACCTCTTGGACAAAGCCAGTGCGTTGGTAGCAGAAAGATTGGGGACGGAGGTGCTGCAGATCCCGAAGTCAATGGAAGCTCCCGGAATGAGACTTGTATTGTTACCGGAATATAAAGGCTATGATAAAACATGGGTAAGAAATACGTGTTTGTAATCAATATACTGATAATTTGTTGATGACATTTGTGATTTATTGGAGAATAATGTCTACGGCATTTCTAAAATCTGACAATATATGTAGTAGAATTCTGATTTCAGGACGGTGCAGATAAATTACAGATGGACATCATGAATCAACATAAAATAATCTGTGTTATTTCTCCAGTACAGAGCGAGCTTTACTTGAGGCTTTCTGCCAATATTTACAACGAAATGACTGATTACGTCAAAATAGCCGATCTTCTAAATGGTCTGCCCAAGAAAAGTTAACGATGCCGGGAACGAACACCTGGTTGTAGCTGACAGGGTCTTTTAAAATATGTTGATTTACTTGTGTATATTGTTTAATCTTGCAAATTAGAAATTTATATTTGATATTTTCCTAATCATTTCGATGTTTGTTTTTACCCATTGTTCATTGTTTTTAACTTCAGTTTCTAATCAATTTCTAATATTTCTGCTTGTAAATAAATATTTTATATCAAATCATCAAAAAATCCTTGACATTCACACGTGACACACTATCGCGGAAATGAAAGACCACACTTTTGTGTCGTTTAAGACCTGTTTTTATTTTATTCTTACCTGAATGCATTTTAGTAAACCGTGTAGTACTTAAATTGGACAGTGGACAATAGTTTGTAAGAATCTCCTTATCTAGCCCTGATTTTTTGAGCAGTGGTCTGACGATATATACTTTATGTAATATTTCAGAATTTGATAAATCATTTTAATGGATTTTAAATGTTAATTACACTGTAACTGTTTTCATCTTGTTAAATATTAAAATAGATCGTAGCCACTTGGCTGGGTTTCTGTGACTATTCGTTTACACTGAATGTCCAGCAAAACTAAAAAACGCACCTTTTTGACCCGAATCTTGACTTCATATAAAGAGAGGTTTGCTAGCTATTTCTTGGCAAATAACTTTGAAGATGCCTAACTGATTCCAGCGCGTCTATATATACATGTACCTCCTTGGTGCCAGAACGTATGCTCTAATAAGAGACTTAACAGCCCCCAAAATACCAGCAGAAAACACATATGATTACATGTATCTCACAAGGATTCTTAAAGAACACTACTCACCAAAACCATCGGTTATTATTAAAGCGTTTCTGTCTCACAAAAGATTTTATTTACAGGGAGAGTATCCGAGATTACAATGCAGTTTTAGAGAGACTCTTTTTGTGAGTTCAAGGACCATTTAATGAAACCCCGAGAGACAGATTTATTTGTGGTCTCAGAAACAAGCAAATTTAGAATAAACTTTTGCCAGGGTCTGATCTAAGTTCCAAAAGGCTTTCGACATTTCAATTGCCATGGGAAACTACCATAAATGATCTAATGGAATTTTGTAGAGAAAACATCCTCCACCGACCGGCGTCCATAAAATCAACACACAACAGACCTAGAGGAACAAAAACTACAATCATTCAGGACTTCACAATCACAACAGATGTGCTACCGTCGTACTGAAAATCATAAGGCCGATTCTTGCTGGTTAATACATGTAAAGTTTTGGAAATATGGGGAAAAAGTTCACTTCCATTTAGCATTTAGGTTTTAACATTAAACATGACACAGGATCATGAAAACTAAACTTCATGAGGAAGACATTGATGGAGAATCAATGTATTCCCTTAAATGAAAGCAGTAGGAGGATCCTGGGATGCAGTTTTGGTAAACCCTAACATAAGTGGGAAAATATTACGTATGAGGCCTCAGAAGACTCTGCAATCTCCATCATGAACAGAGAGAAACAAATTAAAATTATTTTTCGGATAACGTGAAAGTTTCGCAGCACTAGGAATGTGTACCGTATAAAAATATGTAAATATTATACAACAGGTTTAACTTGTATGTTGTTCAGGACGGAGGATCTCCTTTTTTAGTCCAGAATGGCTAAGAGCCATGAAACTGAACTGGGCAGAAATAAGGCTGTAGATACTCCAGAGAAAGGTGTTATAACCTGCTGGACACGTAAAAACACGTTATAGTGAAAAAATCGGCACACTGGAGGGGATCTATGCAAGAATCATGGCCAGGGAATCAACTACATCAAAACTCCACAAGTATCAGTTGGCTCCCTAACAAAAAATACTAAAGTTAACTAAAGTTTACCATGGTTTACTATATAGTTACATGTACTTTAGCATCAAAGTTTTTACTATAGCAAATCAAAGTATTTTTACTATGGGTTTCAGATCGCTATATTTTATGTGTTCCAATTCATATATAAACATTTTTTTTTTATATAAGTGGAACTATAATTACTTGTATATTCACATATAATTTTTAAATTTTACACCACTGCAATCGACTGTAAAGAAATTTATAGCTTTGATAAAGTTTTGGAGTAAAGTTTGATAGTAAATCGAAGTATAAAGTATTTACTCTATTTGAATATAGTAAGCTATAGTTAAAACTGACATGAACTCTTAAAAATGTGATATTTTCATCCTTGTACGACTTATATCACTCCCGTACTCACTTATTTTACCGGCTATATAAACCCTGATGCCTTTTTTACACTTGAGTGATTTTCTAGCCTGGCTGTCGGCATGTACACATCTCCGATAGCAAAGTTTTGGAACACGTCATGAACTGACCGAAAACATGTAGGCCTGTACACATCTCCGATAAAGCAGTTTTGGAACATGCAATAAATCTAACAATCCTACCAAAACTAGGAATTTTACTGAAAACTGGAAAGGATTACTAGTATATAAATTTTGAATAATTTTGATGCAATGCATAAAAATCAAAACGGCAAATGCATGTTTGATATACATTACATATATATTTGAACAATAAAGAAGCTACCACATGCATTTTTTCAAAAAAAAAAAAAAAAAAAACAACAAAAAACCAAAAAACAAAAACAAAAAAAAAACAAAACAAAACAAAACACTGTACTGTTGAGCTTTATGCATGCTACACGGTAGAAGCATATACTATGCAACTTACGCATTGAAGTAATGCATGCATGCATGCCGAGAAAACGCGTCGAACGCTTTATACTCATCTGCCTGAAATACAGCTATCGCTACAGGGATGTGCACATGTCGAAAGAATTACTTCCTATTTCCTTTTATTGAAATATGCATCACAGAAGAAATAACTCCATTTGTAACTCAACGGTAAACAAATTGTCAGAAGCACTTGAACACACGTGGTCCCTGCCGATCAGCATTTTTGGTCAGGGAAAATATCGAAGGTGGAAATGACACTGGTCAAGTCAAGTCAAGTAAATTTTATTTATAGTCGGCATATATATACAATATAACATAATAACATGAGCTATGATAGCTCTTTAACCGACTTTAACAAATTTACATAGATAAAAGTTAGTAAAAGTATTCATAGTTAAAAAAAAAACATAATTTAAATAAACCATAGGAAATAAGCACATATGCTAGCAATATCAGCAGAAATTGTAATGCACATGTATAACTATCACAAGTAAGAAAGAATCTGACAAAGCATAATACAGAACACACATTTACTATCACTGATCATGCTAATGGAAAGAATAAAAACTAAAATAAGCAAAGGAGCACAAATAACATTGACATGTATGACTATCAGAAGTAAGTACAATCACATAGCACATTTACTAGCACCGATAGAAGAGAAAAACTGAAAACACAAGGAAAGCAACATAGACAGTAATTATACATATGACTAGCATGCATATGGACAATCACAGAACATGAAAATAAAATAAAACAGAATATAAAACAAATTCATATTAGAAATAAAAAGAGACACCACAGATGAACACTTAAAAAGGCTTCTCAGACATAGGCAGCATGGACTGGTGTTTACATAAACTACATTTACATGTCTGATTTCCACACCAAGTAGATATATAGTTTTTAAATAAATTAAAGGATGTTGTGTTTCGAATATCATTAGGAAGAGTATTCCATATCCTTGCTGCCTCATATCTGAAAGAACCTTTTCCATACCTTGTAGTTTTTGGTCTAGGAATAACTGCGGCTTTAGAATACCTAAAATTATATGAATTTTCTCTAATTATAACCAGATCTTGGAGAAAGACTGGATCCTTTTTATTAATAATTTTAAATGTTTCTAATGTCAGCAATCTCATTCTTCTAGTCTTTAGAGAGGACAATTTAGATCTTTCCAATAATTGTTCATATGAACTTTTATAGTCATTATAAATAAAACGCAGCGCTCTTAACTGAACTTTCTCAATTTTTTGAGTATTTTTCTCACTACAGAAATGCCAAGTCAAGGGGCAATAGCTAAAATTCGACATAATAAAACTATGATATATGGTAAGCTTTTCCAATCTATTCAAGTATTTCCCAATCCGTTTCAAAACATTTAGTTGTCTTGCTGCCTTCTTACACATCTCTGAGATATGAGTATTAAAATTAAGTTTAAAATCGATTGTAATTCCTAAAAGTTTAACTTCATCTTCACATTTGATGATAACGTTTTCCAAGTTAAAACATATTTGTTGTTTTTGTGTTTTGGACCCAATTGCAATTGCTTGAAATTTTCCAGGATTTGCCTTCATTTTATTAATTGAAAACCATTTAATAAGAGATAAACTGTCCTCCTGTAAGGAATTTATAACATTTTGTAATGTTTTGTGAGATTTTGCTAGAGTATTGTCATCTGCATAATTATAAAGGGTACAGTTTTTAACAAAAAAGAACAGGTCATTAATGAAGATATTGAAAAATACAGGTCCAAGAATGGATCCCTGAGGTACACCTTTCAGAATATCCAGTATTTCACTTAAGTGAGAACCAATTTTAACACATTGTTTCCTATTTGATAGATAACTGTTTAACAAGTCTAATGCTGGATTGGACAAACCATATGCTTTAAGTTTTAGAAGGAGCAGATCATGAGGAAGGCAATCAAAAGCCTTTGATAAATCCATCAATATCGCAGCTATGTATTCATTATTATCAAGGGCATGTTTCCAGTCTTCGATAACCAGTAGAAGGGTTGATTGGCATCCAAATCCTGGTCTAAAAGCAGCCAAAAATGGGTTAAAAATCTTTTCAAAATAGCCAGACAATTGAATTTCAATGGCTTTTTCAAAAATTTTAGAAATGACAGGGAGCACACTGACAGGCCTGTAATTGTCTTTCATAAGGGCACTATTTTTCTTATGAATAGGTGTAACCTGAGCTTCCTTAAGCTTGTCAGGGAATGTCGATGATAATAAGGACAAGTTTATAATATTTGTAATAGGTTTAACTATAACCGATTCTGCTAAATGGAGTAATTTAGATGATATTCCATCAATTCCTGTAGCCTTCTTTACATTTATTTTACTGATTCTTTTCTTAACGAAATTTTCGGTCAAAGATTTTCGGTCAAAGGTATTTGCCAGATTAGACAATATAGTCACGCAAATAAAACGTTTCAGAAACTAACTGTTGTCGGTACATGTAGTAAATATGTTCGTGAATGTGGCTTCATTACAACAAATTTATTACATAAACATACATTCTTGTTACGGATCTTACATCTTTTAAAGAAAATGAAAGGGGGGGGGGGGTGGAATATGTAGAATACATTTTTCTCAATATATTTTAAACAAACGTCGGAAAAAGGTCGAATTTTCCTTGATCAAATATATTTAAATACTTGCCATGAACTGGCCTCAACTATTTTAGATTAAAAAAATCTGATACATCTTAAATTTA